TGCTCCTTGGTGTTGTTCTTACTGCTTCTTCTAGTTGCAACCATTGTCCTTTGCTGTTTTATGGCGTGTAAGCGCCACGCTGGTCCTTTTCATATTTGTACTACTTTTTTGCTGCGTTTCCATCAACTCACACCATTATCTTCCGTAGGAATTAGGTACACTTGTACGTGAGAGGGTTGTTTTCGATGAAGACTTATTTGGTTTTGTAGACAAAATATGAGTGGAGTACCAAGTTGAGTGAGTGTAGTACTGAAAATTAAGATCAGTTGAAAAGAAAATAGACCTAAAAAAAGTACTCCAAATTGTGTACTCTACTGAATTTTTGTTTTCSGAGTTGTATTCAGGTTCGGCCTGACTACTAGCATTATCGTGGAAAAAATTGGRCGCTGCCATAGGGATGGCGCTGAATACAAATTCAGAATACAGTAATCAAAATTTGAGGGTTGTACTCCGATGAGGTGCGAGAAATAGGACCCAAAATAACTAGTGTTTCTTAGTGCGCGGTTTTAGTATCACTTAAGTATTCAACCGCGCGTGATTACATGCTAAAATCCAGCAACTGGTCGATTACGTTGAGGACAGAGGTCCAGAGGTCCAGAGGACGACTTGTTTCAAGTTCATTAAGAGACTTTGTAAGTACTAGTAAGATTGGTCTGCTTCGGTGCAGTGGAAGTCGAAGGTGTCAACACTGCTGTATGTTCAATTTAGTACTAGTTGCATGCCACCAGCATTTAAGCTGGCATCTCATTCCCATAACTTTATTGTTTTACAATGTTTCTTACAGTTCAAAATCCTACTGGCTCTATGACTAAAAAGATGAGTATACCATGTTTCTTCAAAATCCACCCCCCCAGCAGGGGGAGATCATCATCCTCCAACAAGAAGAGAACAACCACCAATTAGTACAGTCAAAACTGTTTTAGTCTTTTTTAGGTTTTGATTTCCATGATTACTGCTAGATTCCTGCGAAGCAATAGAACCACCACAAACACATTCTTCTTTCTTTGGTTCTTGCAAGGAGGGTTGTTGGAGTGCTGGTGGAGGGGTGCTCTTCATCCCTCACTGGTGGTTGTCTTCGTACCCTCCTTCTTCAATGTGCTCCTTCCCACCTCAAAGATTTTTCATTTCACCAAGCAATGGTGCAATTCTTGTCTAGTAGTAGCAGTAGTACTACTACTACTATTATTTTATTATCATCATCATGTGTGGGGATGGCATTTCAATGATGAAGGCTTTAATACTACTTCCACCAACAGATGGAGTTGATGCACCAAATTGTACAAGGATAGTTGTGGCCATGAGTTGCAACTACTTCATTTCACTGATCATCATGCCCAGTACTAGTAGGCAGGGAATTCCCAAGTGTGACTCCTCTCATTACTATGATGATACTTTCTTGGTTGCTGACTGGTGTAGTAGTAGCAGAGTCTTGAACAAGAAGGGGCTGGACCTCCTGTGGCCTGCTGCTGGTGGGAAGACCATGATGAATGTTTTTTGTTTCTATAATCAACACTTAAACTACAGGAGATTTTTCTGTTCTTGTACTAGTACTACCTTCCACCATGATGAAGGTGCTGGGTTTTTGGGGTTCTCAGCAGAGGGGTCTCAGCAGGGTTATGGGTGATTCCTGTTGCAGAGGACATGACCCTTTGTTGTTCTCACATGTCTTGTTGGTCCTTTAAGTGATAATACTTGCAATTACTAGTACTACTATACTGCAATTGATCTATCTGTTGGTGTCATGGGAGGCTTTTGAAACTAAAATATGATCACCTCCTCACTCAACTCCTGTTTTTTAAGAGTTGAGGTCCTCATAGTATTCTAGGTTCCAGGGCAACAGATACTGGTATTTTGTCAGGGAGAACTTTCAGATCAGAGCAACAATACTGAAAAAGCTTGTATCTAACTCTCCTATGACAGTGGATGACAATATCAACATTAATGCTGCTGAAAAAATTCAAACTACTTTCAACTCCTGACTTCAGGATATTTCCTGTCTCTTGTTTTGTGTTCTGTAAAATAAATGGCATCATTCATTATTCTCTGGCTACTAGTAGTACTACTACTCATAGTACTAGTCATTATTTTACACTAAGTACTAGTACTAGTACAAGTAGTAGTAGTTCTTGCTCCTCTTCAGTTTTGGACAGTAGTACGTGTTCAGCATAGTACAGTATCAGAAACTAGTAGTACTAGTACTTATGATTGTGTGAAAGGCTATTACTATTACACTCAGTTTCATAAATGAATTTAAATTGTAACGATGTTTGATAAGAGGGCACTAAATTGAAAAACAAATAGTTTTGTCAAAAGAAAGATGAAGCAGTACACAAACTGAGGTATGATTGGAAGAAAAATTCTCAGGAATACAGCAGTAACTCAGATCTGATGAAAAAAAAATGATTTTTTAGTAGTAGGCATATGAAATTGATTCTTTCTACTCATAGATGGAGTCAAAATAGAAAAAATAACAAAGAACTTAGAAAAGGAAGGGCGACCCAAATGCAACAAAACAAAGCTATCTGGTGCAATGCTTACTTATATGAAGTTTGCAACAGACATTAGTTGTCAATCAACAACTTCTACTAGCACTATTGGTAACAATAAAGCAAGCCTCAGGGGAAATTGTAGATTGTCTCAAAAAGTCTTCAAAAGTACTTCTAGCTAATACCCAGCTACTACTGCACTCTACTGGATAAGCATTTAACTGTAGGATGTTCGTCTCCTTTCACAAAGTTTTCCAATTGCACATAGGCTAGTATGAGTATGATAATATCTGAACACAATCTTAGTAGATCAAGAATCTTTTCAACAATAATAGGACTCATTAGCAATTAAAATTGGTTTATAATCCTACTATTTGTAGAGTTTCCAATCTGAAGCATTCAATCCATTTAAACAAAAATAGCAAATGCAAAAATCATTGGTCTGGTTTTAAAATATGTAATATGCATGATACCTAAAGTTATGAATGTTATAAGGATTTCTCGAGATGGCTCCGCAGTCATAGTTTTGCGTGCATTTCGTTGCACTATTGTGTCTGCGTGGAATATGTGTCGTTTATCTGTCTATCATCATTGCAGCACCGTTTGCTGGTATGGTATTCGGTATCTTATTCTTCATTTCTTGTTCTCGAAACTATCGAAGCCTCCTCCGACACCAAATGCTATGGAAACAAAGCATTCTAGTAAATTGGAAGGGTTAAAAACGATAAAGCGAGGGCAACTTTATACCAGTTTGTCCAAGGAAGCTGTGCAGAGGACTTGGGGGTCGGAGAAACGGAAGGCTCGATAGTTGGTACTGAAGAGGGCATTTCTGTAATTGGGATTTCACAATGAACACCCCAAAAATTCTCTTGACATTCGCACCTGAACAGGCCGCTCGTTCTGTAGAAAAGGTTGTGGACAAAATGTCAAAACAAAAAAAGTAAGTCACTTCAATCGCTTTAAATTTATCCAGCAGAAATCACTGATCACCATCGATACTATTTCTTACACTCGTAGCATGAACAAGTCGAAGTTATCGGTGTCGCCACAGGTTCCTCCATTTGCGCAGAACAGATTACCAAACGGTTCAGGGAACATATGTCCAATGGGCAATGGGCAGAATTCACCAGATCTTAAGCAAAACTCGTGAATGGCGTTGTAGTCAGTGCCAACTTCATCAATTAAACAGATTGTAGTCATGAAATGCTGGCAATGTTCTCCAAAGTAGCCATATTTGCAGTGGCAAAATGACGGCGTCACATTTTCATCGGACGAATGTGCAGCATCAACGAAGCAGTCTTCTCCATAACACGACCAATCAATAGCATTGGTCTGATCACAGTCTCCGCCGAAGCCTACATTTAAGTTGGAAAAACAAAGCAGGGATGAAAACCCTTTGTTAGGCCCAAAGAGAAGTGACAGTTCACAGCAATAAACTACTGTGGTACTTACAGGTTGCGTTGACTGTATTTCGTTGACTGCACTTGCCACCCGGGCACCCTGGATTGATGAGACCGTTCTGATTGCACAAACCGAAAATGCAGGTAGCACCAGATCCACATCCGCGTTGATCGCAGCCACCATTAAGACATGTGCAATCGGCATCCGGATCGAAGACCTTGTAGATATTGTCATCATCGTCGTCGTCATCATCATCGTCTTTGAACAAATCAGAAAAAATGGCGGTTATGTTAAAGTCACCAGGCGTGTTCTCTGAGATGCAGTATCCACCGTTCTGGCATCCTCCACATACATCAATTTCTTCGCATTTTTCTCCTTGATATCCGATCGGACATTCGCAATAAAGTTCGTACGGGGGAAGCTCTTCCCAGATGTAATTTCCGTCCATGTTTGTGGACGCAGTGCATTTCAGCGGACGATGGACCATTGTTTCGTCGCTTTCAGAAGCATCCGTATATAGATACTTGACCATGCAGGCTCCCCCGTTGACGCAATTGATCTCGTTTTCACAAACGGGTTCGTTTTCTACTGCAATTTCTTCGCAATGGACACAAGTGTGATCGTCGCCATCGTCGAGATCTTGCGGCGAGTCCACGCAGAATCCACCGTCTGAAAAGAATGATTCATTTGAGATGCTAGTGCAATTTAAATCGCATGGTTCATCGAGACTATTGAACTCGCATTGCGATCCCCAAAAGGGTTCTGGGCATAGGCAGATATGCATGACCCCCCCAAAAACGGAGGTGCATTTTCCTTCATTTTGACACCCAAAGGGGCACCCTTCGGTAGCGAGAAGAATCAGATCATCTATTCCATTATCATTGTCGGTGTCATTGTTGGCTTCATCTCTGGTGCTGTTTCCTTCGGAGTAATCATAGTGGAAATCGTCGTTCATTCCAGCTTCTTGATCGCAAAACGCACCGCTATAGCCCTCAAAACAATCGCAATGAAAAGATGTTTTGTCCCGTCTGTATTGATCGGAGGGAACATCAAAAATCGAAACTTTGTCTGGGACGCATTTTCCACCCGGAGAACAAAGAGAGCAGTCGTCAATCTTGGGGTCTAGTGTGCCAGCACCAACTTGAGCAAAAGCAGATGTAAACCTGTTTCCAAACAACAAGAATAGACAGAGATTCGACCAGAAAGGTGAGAGTACTGCGTTCTTTTTCTTGAAACTGGATCGATAGATAAGGCGACGATTGAGAAGGAGGTGAGAGGATTGCCTTCGATCCACATCTTTTCTGAAGATTAAGCTTGGCATTGTAATGGGAGGTTACAGTCAGTGGCAGAAGCAACGACAACGAGAGCGACCGCAGACGATTGGTCGATGAGTAGTGGTAATGTGATGGAGAAAATTGTAATGAAACGTTTTCCTATTTGCAGCAAGGCTAGCTCTGCGTGAAACTTCGTAGTTTCCACCGACGTGCGGTGCCCCGTTGGCTTGAAGGCAAAGAGATGCGAGACTCCATATTTGCTTCTTTGGTTTACTGTAGCGTACCGAGATCCGTTGTCGTCACACGGCACTTCAAAAATTTGAAATATCACGGTTCGTCAGGCGCGGTCTGCGGTTTATCCGTAGTTTCGCGTTATCCTATTTTGCGGCCTATTCGGCGCGCTTCTCTTTCGCAGTCGAAAAATCTCATCACGAAATTCTACCAAAAGCTTAGCCGCCTTTCTGGATTGCCAGAGCAGATGAAAATTATTGTTGGCTATTGTTTCATCGCTAGATTGCATCGCGCGGCATTTTCGTTGAGCCGAATGGACCATCTCCTATTGTTCATCTCATGGTCGAAAGAAATGTGTTCGTTTGGTGTCGTCAAAAGATATGTTTTTCTTCGAGTGACATCTGTGAGAAAGGCATGACTCAATCGATCAAAAATCAATCTGAATTTTTATATGATAAGATCAGGCTTCGTACATACGTATGGTAAGTACAGTTAAAAGATACCAAAGTCTAATGACGACTTCTGACTTCTGAGATTGATGAACTTCACAAGCGTCTGTCGCGGTCCGTCACTAAAACCAGCTACTCGTGATTGCGTTCTGGGCATTTCGTACCTCACGCCCATCATCGATATTCAAAATCAACTTCAAAGTAATCTGGAGTTTTCTCTTCCCATTTTTTCTGAATTTATTTTTCATCCAACCAAGTCAAAATCCCAGGCTACCACTATCCGACTTGTACAATACGGACTCATCTTCCTCACAAACAGACAATTCTAGAAATCGGAATGGCAGAAGAACCATCACTCATCGGGACCGACTTTGACGACGAAATCCACGGCCCTCGCCCTACGGTCGATGAGGTTCTAGCTTGTCAGTTGTCGTCTTGGTATCCCACTTTTTCAAATATTCTTCCCCTGAATGCATCGGATAGAGAAAATCATCAATGCGATTCCACTCAACAACAACGCCAAAATAAGCTTCGAAAAAATGTGACCATCCCATCAGTTATCATAAATGACCTGCCAATGCCGGAGTTCAAGAATTTTCTGTTGACGGATGGGGTGAAACTGCCCAGGGGTGCTACCAAACTCTCTTCCTGTGCAGGGGTTTCCAGCAAAAGCGACGACTACGAAAACGGCGACAACGAGGACGACGAGAATGATGTCGAGTTTCATTTCCCGGATCTGAATGACCGAATCATTGAAACAGTCAGGGAACGATTTTCATCGGCTGGAGCAGTCATGCCAAAACTCAACTGGTCGGCACCGCGGGATGCAACTTGGATCAACGAGGGGACGATGAAATGCAAGACACCGGGAGATGTATACTTATTACTAAAGAGCAGCGATTTCTGTACCCACGATGTTCTCTATCAATCGCTGCAAGATTGCCAAGACTACAGAACCAAGGTTGAAGACTACGATGGCGACTCATTATCACCGGTACACCCACCCCTGCAGTTGATTTTGCGGAAATGGTGCAATCTAAATCCGAGCATGGAATTCCGCTGCTTTGTGCGGCGCCACGAGCTGCTCGGAATTTCACAGCGCCAACACTCCGTTCATTTTCCACATCTCAAGCAAGACAAGGACCAGATATACGATCTGATCTACGACTTTTTTGAGGATTATGTCAAGCATCGGTTTGCAGATGGAAAAATTGGCAACTATGTGTTAGATGTGTTTCTCGACAAGAAAGACCGGATTTGGGTCATCGACTTCAATCCGTGGGCACGCACAACGGATTCTTTGCTCTATGAATGGTCGGAGCTGATGTCCATGGACGATGAACCAGAAGACAACGACGACGAGGGAATCCGGATTGCTGCATCCGAAGGAGAGGTTCGCCACGATCCACTATCCTCCTATCGGGCACCGATCGATACCGTCGATTTGGCTTCCATGACGCATGGAGATGCGAAACAATTCGAAGAATTCATGAAACTGTGCCAGCGGCCGACGTATTGGGAAGAAAATAGCGACGAAGACGAGGAGGATTGATGGTAACAATGGTTGAAGCAATTATAATCAACACGTCAAGTTTCCATTGTGGACCTTCGGTGTGTTCATGAACCAGATTGTGATTTCCTACATTATTATACAATATTATCGACCAAGTATATCACAAAGATAATAATGTAATGTGCTGTTTAAAGTGTGATCGAGAAAACCATTAGGTACTAGCTTACAACCAAGCACAGCCTAAAGGATGTGATCATTGCTGCGTATTATTTTCGGATCGTCGAATGGCTTGAACATTCATTCCGAAGCTTACCCGTGGAGGGAATTTCTATTTCTATATGTTTCTACAGAGAGACTATTATGCGAGTCTTGAATGACTACTATGTGTTTTCTTCCATTGGAGCGGTGTTTGTATCCTGGGTGTTAGAGCCTATCGCGTCTTCCACAGTCTTCATCATTTTGTCAATGTCCTCCATCTTGAAGGGCTTGGCAATAAAGTCAAAGCCTCCGGCCGCAAGCGCCTTTTCCTTGAATTCGACAAGGGCATGGGCTGTCACGAACACAATCTTTGGGCAATCAACCTGGTCCTTGTCGCGCTCAACGATGATTTTGCAAGCCTCGAGGCCACCCATGATTGGCATTTGCATGTCCATAAGGATGCAATCGAACTTGATGGTGCTGGAAATATCAACTGCTTTCTTTCCGTTGTCGACAATGGTCACGTCCTTCACCCCAACGCGTTTTAGGATGCGGTCGAGTACCTTTTGATTGACAAGGTTGTCTTCAGCCATGAGGACCTTGAGTTCTCGCTCGGGGTATTGCTTCGTGCACCTTTTCTTCTTGGGAGGCGTCGAGCGTTTCTTCCGGAGCTCGTCACCCGAGCTTTTTGTCTTGACAAGTCTATTGGAGAATTCCTTTTTTGCGGTTTTAGCGCTATGTATTGTGCCGAGGCCCTCTATAGTTCCCAAGAAAGTATGGATCTCTTGCATTTTCAGTGGCTTCGAGATGTACCCAAACGCACCCGCCTTGTCCGCCCGTTCCTTTATGTCCTCAATATCATGTGCCGTCACAAATACCACCCTCGCGGACTCCTTGTCCCTTTGGGTAATGATCTTGGAGGCTTCCAATCCACCCATCACGGGCATTTCCATATCCATGAATATGCAGTCGAACACGGTCGTTTCCGTGAGATCGACAGCCTTTTTCCCATTGTTGACGATTGAAATATCGTTGACGCCAAGGCGCTTGAGAATGCGTTCTAAAATTTTCTGGTTGATTTTGTTGTCGTCGACGACCAGCACCTTGAGATCCCGAGGTGGGTATTTCGTGGCAAAAGCCTTTCTCGATTTTGTGGACGATGATTCAGTTGCTGAAGGCGATGAATCATTTGTGCCCGGGGGTTTACCATGAATCAGTCTCGAATCTACGGGGCTTGCTGAGCAGTTCTCGGATGTGGCAATAGCAAACAATCCCGTCGCCTTTGGAAGAACCTTTCCATCATCTGATTCCTGCGATTCCGACATGTCTTCGATCGACAGCTCCCCGATGCTCTGATTGAAAGTGCTAAAGCTTGCGTTCAGCGAGTGATCTTCCTGGAAGCCAATACTCTCAGAACTCGTAACCTCGACGAGCCGTTCCAGGAGAAATGCCGGAAAGATCCCCGTCAGGGTTTTGAAATGCCTTTGGCGGTGGTTCAGCGAGCTCTCGGATCCAAAGGAGAACCACGAGCATCGGTTCCTACCCACGATTTTTTCTGTATTGAGAAAGCCCTGCTGCTCTTCGATGTCCTCATGGGCGAGAAAGATGTAGTTTTCCCTGATGTTCGCCTTGAGGCCGAGCTTGCTCTCGAGCTCCCCCCAGCTCGAACACCGGAGAACGTTCAGACCATAGTCCTCCACCATCTCTGCCGGGAAGGGAAGAAAAGAGTCGTCGGATTCCTCGTTTTCCCGTTCTCCGGCGCCGCCGTCCATTGGATCGAGGAGCACAATGGATGTTTCCGACAACTTGTCCCTCAGGAGGGACACATCGACAGGCTCGTCGACGTACGGCAGGTCGACGATGAACTCGGTGAACCGTCCGATCTCGGACCGGATTTTGATCGTCCCCCCCAGCCGGGTCACGAGTTTCTTTGTGATGGAAAGACCGAGTCCCGTTCCCCCGTAGACGGTCTGGGTCTCTTTCGAGGCCTGCGAGAAAGGCTGAAATATTTTCTCGAAATCCTTCTCCTCAATCCCCTTGCCGTAGTCCTTGATCGAAAACCGTATCGTGTGCTTTGGTGGTTTGTTTTCCGTGGGTATATTGTCGTTGTCTTTTGCCTCATCCTCGTTGTTGTCGTCGTTACCAACCTTGGGACAATCCACTTTTGTTTTTGTTGGTTCCAAGAGCTTCGCCGAGAAGTCAATGGTGGTCCCCTCCATGCTAAACTTGGCAGCGTTTCCGAGAATGTTGTACAGGATCTGCTGCAGCCGGCGGCTGTCGGTGGTCATGGTCTTGCCCAGCCTCCCGCTGTAGCTGGTCCGGACCTCAACGTTTTTGTCCTGCGACCGCAGCTTGTTGGCGATCGAATGAACCACCCCGTTCAGAGTCGACTGAAGGTCGCTCTCGTGGATGTCTAGCTCGAAGTGGCCGCTCTCGATCTTGGCGTAGTCCAGGACGTCGTTCACCACGCCCTGGACCAAATCGGCACTGCTGTACACCATATTGATCGTTTCCAGGAGCTCGTCGTTGAGGTCGTCGCTCTCAAGGAGCAGCGAGGACAAACCAACGATGCAGTTTAGCGGGGTGCGAATCTCGTGGCTCATGCAGGCAAAGTGCTCCAGCTGTTTCGAGGCGTGCATGGATATCTCCTCGTTCGCCTCCTCGAGCTTGATGTTAGCAGCGGCCAGCTGGTTGGTCCGTTCGGTGATCTCCGATTCCATCCGGTCCGTCAGAGTCTTGAGGACCATGTCGTTGGTGTGGAGTCGCATGATGGTGGTGAGGGCCGGGTGGGTCATCCGGAAGAACTGAATGTCGTCGTCGCAAAACCCGTCCGGGCACTTGGTGGACCATGCCAGGCCGCCCTTGGAGACCCCCCGATGGATGTCTGGCAGCGCAAAGTAGTCCTTGAACTTGCCCGCGCGGAACCACTTGGCCGTGTCGGGGGGTATGTACGAATCGGTATCACGGATCCGTACGTAGTCCGCCCGGCCCTGCTCCAAGACGCAAAAGGGCTCGTCGGGGCTAAAGAGCTCGTTCCGCCTGGCAAAGACCTCCGGGGGCATCTCGCTGTGGGTGAACTCCCCGTGGGGCTCCCACTTCCAGAGATAGGCGGTCAGTTTGGGGTGTAGACCAACCCCCCCGTAGTACAGGCGGTCCAGGGGGATCCCAAAGTGCTCCCGAACGTAGAGCGAGTATTGAGTCATTAGTGTCTGGACGTCCTCGAAGTGCCCGCCCTCGGTAAAGAGCCACCGGTGGATTTCCTCGACGGCCATCTGTACGTGGAGGGGTGCCGTTCGGATGCGTGTAGGGATTCCGGCTCCGGTATTTTTGATATTATTGTTGTTATCGTTGCTGTTGCCCTGGGCTTTGCTTTGGTGCTGGCCTCGAGACTCCTCGTTGTCATCTATCATCGAGTTGCCTTCGTTGGTCAGACCCGAGAGGATCGAGACAGCGGCGGGGCCCTGTGGGTGAGAGGAACTGCCTTGAAGGGTGCTATTGCTGCTCTGGTAGTGAATATCGGTGTTGTTATTGTTGCTGCTGCTGGTAGTGCTGCTGCCGTTGGACATCGGGGTCTTGAAGTTCCGGTTGACCCGCCGTTGCTGCTGCCTCCGCTTCATCTCGTGCAGGTTATAGAGGCCGTATTTTCTCAGTCGGGAGCTGATGTGCTCCTCCCCCCGGGACACCGAGCTGCATATCGAGTTGGCGACCGTCGTTTCGGTGTAGTCGCTGTTCGAAATCGATCCGCTGTGCGTCTCGGTGGCGGGACTAACGGTCGAGTCGATGTTGCTGTTATTCGAGTCGATGTTGCTGTGGCACGTGGCCTCGGCAATCTTGCTCGTGGCGCCCGTGTTGTCGTAGGCGCTGCTGCCATAGTACAGATCGCTGTCGGCGAGGGTACAGCAGCTGTCGGCGTCGTCGTCATCAGTGTCCTGGGCGTTGTAGTTGTGGTTGGCGTGGTTGGTTTCGCGTTCGTTTTCGCGTCCGTGGTCTTCGGTGCTTCCCTCTCCGTGGCGGTGTGTGGGCAGCGTAGGAGATATCGAACCCCCGTCATCTTCCGGCAGTGGAAGGCCCCGTTTCCTGGAACGGTCGTTCGAGGATCGGCCCCACTGCTGCAGGATTTGTTTCGTCACGTGGTGGTTGCTCGCGGGTGGCACGTGGTCAGAGGAGTAATCGGCTCTATTCGTTATGCTGCTCGAGGGTGGGTGAAGGGGAATGATCTTTCCTTCCACAAAAGAACCGCTCACGGAGTCTGATTGCTGCTGCTCTGCGAATGACCGCTGCCTCGTTTCCCCGTAGCCAAAAGAGGATCCACGGTGGGTTTGGTTCGATGGCAACGGGCTACAGCTGATTTCGAACATGCTGCTCGTGGCCTTGTTGTTGCTGCTGCTGCTGTTGCCATTGCTGTAGTCATCGTTGCTGTTATTGTTGCTGTTATTGCTGCTGCTTCTCTGCGAATTGTCGCGTATTCTCCGGGTCAGCATGGAGTGATTCGTATTCCCGGCCCTCGACGTGTTGTTGTCTTCGTGGCTGTCGTCGTCGCAGAGTCGAAGCACGATCTCGTTGTCGTCGAGGTTGACGTCGCTGTTGCTGTCATCCGATGGACCTGCGGTGTTTTCCGCCGTGCTTTCGTCGCGAGGTTGCTTCTCTTGCTCGCATACCCGCACCGGTTTGCCGTATTCGATGGAGTGGTCCATGCTGGGTACGGTATGTTTATTACTGTGAGTAGTAGGAGAAGTAGTATGATTCGTGATTGCGTCGAGAACGAGTATCGTGTTCGGAATCCAATCGTGGAATGCCGTGTGCGGCAGCTTGTGCTTTTGTTTCCCCCACAACTTGTTGTTGGCGTTGTCTAGTTGTTGCCAGGGAGAAAAGGTAAACAGTCGTATGCTTTTGATTACGCAACGTTTGTTCTTGCCAATTGGTTTCGACGATGTGTGTGCGTGTGTGCTGGTGTGATGTGTAGCAAAAGTGCGAGGTGCTATAATTGCCCGCGATTAACAGTATTCGTGCGAGTACCAGCAACTGTGCTTCGAGCAGTAAAAGCGAGCAGGGTACGAGTACTGCATAGAGACAATTACATCTTTTACTTTCGTTTGAATCGCCTACTACTGGCCTAAATTTAAATTTATTAGTGAATTTAAAAACTAGGTGTTTTGGGCAATTGCAGTGGTGGTGACAAAAGAATGCAATCAAACACTAATCGTTTTCCATGCGGTATGAGTGTCTTGGAAGGCTTTGCAAACTGGCGTGATGGTTTCACTACATTACCTTTCCTTCAGTTTGTTCTTCCTGTTATAGTACCATACGTAAAACCCTCGTATTCTGGTAATGAAAGAAACAAGGTTATAGAATTGCCCCACTTGTACTTGTCTTTAAAAATCGATTGCGTTAACATTTTAAAGGGTGTTCGGAAGAGTTTTCGATTCACTTGAGAACGACTATTCAAGAAGAATAGTAGCTGCGCACTTATTCACATTACCAAAAATATTTTTCCTATGCCCTATTTTAAATCTTAAGATTAAGTCTCGAGGAGGTATCCAATCCCGTTTTTGCTTTCTTCCCATAAAATAGTCATTCGTCGATGACTATTACATAGTGCGATTGGATAGGTGCATTTCTCGGCGACATCTTTTTCGATGAGTACGAGTACGCTTACGGTTTAACCTATCGCTTCAACGATGTGTTCTTTGTGGGATTGGTACTATTGAGATGACTATTTCTCCGTTGGTCCGAAGTGATTGGGCTAGAGTATCGATGTGCAGTGTCAATAATGGTCAGGGAAGGAATGGTATGGAATGAAATGAAACTTCCCTCAGAGTACTATCGAAAACTTGTTTTGTAAAAAGAAAACACTCTGACATGTTTTCGGACAACACAATTCTAGTGAAAAACCAAAAACAATTCAACCCATTAACGGAATCAACTATGGATTTCAGGAATTATTTTACATACAATCTCTTGACAATCGATCACCGACAGACGAAACCTCCTTTCTTCTCCATCGCCGTGCAGTGTCGTACTTTCCTCTGCTGCTGGTCTCACTAGGCGAGGACCGACCAATAGTCCTTGCCCTTTGCGAGCGTTTTGGTGTTACCCCTCTGGGTTCTGGCGTAGCAGTGGGTTTTCGTTTCCATGCTCGGGAGCAGCGTTCCGTAACAGGTCCTCCCACCAAACTTCCACTCTACTCTGCCCCTCGCGTTGGTCTTCGCACCGGCACTTGGCTGCGACCCCATCCGGGCGCCTTTGTCAGCTTTCGCCTTCGCCCCAGTCCTGGGGGAAGCGTTTTTCTTCGCTTTTTCGCTCGCCCCGACTGGGGTAGCGGTGCGCTTGGAAGCCGGGCCGTCCCGGTTCGGGGACACTCCCTGCAGGACCGACGCCAGCTGCGCCCGGTCCTCCGGAGATAGTTTTTTGGTTCCGTCAATGGAATCCACCGACAGCTCAAAGCCGGTATAGGATTTGTTTCGATCGGACACCATCAGGTCCACCACGTTGTTTAGAACGTCAACCACCGCCCCAACGTGGTAGTAGGAGGTGGCGGTATGACAGCGGATGCCAACCTTGAGCTTTCCCTTGGCAAAGGGGCGGTGGGTCGACTTGCATTTTCCCTTGCCGGTTCCCGATTTTTCGTAGGCGCAGCAAAGGTTGTCCAGGAGGCACTCCGGGCACTGCCAGGTGATGCAGTTCCGGCCGACGATCCACGCCTCCATGCCCACCCGGGGCTTGCCCTTTTCGATGGGGTTCCGACACTTGCGGCACTTGGACCGGCCGGTCTTGGCGTATTCGAGGGTGAGGCCGCCTTTCGGGTTAACGCAGTCGAACGAGGTAGTATCGATTGCGGAATCGCGGGTGCTGGTGCTTTTGCTGGTTGCTGCCGCACCGGAGTCGCTAGGCTTGTCGACTTCGGATCGTTTTCGTTTCTTTTGGGGTTTTGGCTTCAGATACGATTCGTCTTCGTCCTCTCGATCGCTGTCATCGTCATTATCGTTGTCAGAGATTTCGTAGTCGTCTTTTGCGTCCTCGATTTCGTCTTCGTCGTCAGTGTTGGGTCTGTCTGACTCTAGGTCTTCTTCGTCGCTGTACATCGGGATCACCTGTTCCGCGCTATAGTTGGCGACCGATTTTCGTTTTCGAGAGGAACGTCGCTGCGGGAGCTCGGGGGACACCCTCGAGGTTTTTTCCTTCTTCGTCCCGGTCTTCTTTTTCTTGAGTGCCTCCTTGGTCCGGAAGAGACCGAGCTCCTTCATCCGGTCTTCGTTCCGCTTGATTTTTTGCAGACGCAGCTTCTCGTACTCGCTCAGGTTGCTGGTGTGGTCGTCGGCGCCGCCCCGGTCGTTCTCGGAGGGTGTGGAAGAAACTTTCACTTCCATGATGAGTGCGTACAATGGTCAAAAATGATCGTGATATATGTTTTGACGTCTCGGCTTTGGACAACGCTCTATTCTTCCTTGTACTATGATAGGTGCGATATGTGTTCGTCAGCGAAACGGAAAAGGGAGCAAAACGTTGTCGTGTTTTTTCGTTTTGCGCATCAGGAAAAAAAAAAACACAATCATTTTGACAGATCTGACTGACTCATCCAGTTCTCTACTGTTTCGAACGAATACAGAGAGAAAAAGTGAATGAAAAAGGCTCCCCTGGCTTGGAGGCAGAGCGCATCAGCTCTACGTCCATTTTCCATTTGTGTTTTTTGGTTGTGCGGTGCGAATTATGTCTAATAATCGTCGAGTAATTAGTCGCACGCGGGTAATCAATGAGTAATCAAGGTCGAATGGAACAGTAATCAAATTTTCACGATGCGCACACTGTAGATTCTTCTCCTAGGGTGAGAGCGAGGTACGAGCACGAATCCCTTAGGAGAAGAATCTACAGTGCGCGCATCGTGAAAATTTGATTACTGTTCCATTCGACCTTGATTACTCGTTGATTACCGAGTAATCAACAGGAGGCCGAAACCGAGGGACGAGGATGAGACCGATGTTGATTACTCTAGTAACTCACTGAAGTTGTATCCGAAGTATGAGGATACAACTGAAGATGAGTTACTTTAAGCGCACAGACTAATTACTCGACGATTATTGACGTAACCGTCTGGTTTACTCAGTTTTTTGCCTAGTAACCGCGTCCGGGCGGGGATCCGGCAAACAAACTACAAGCGCTGCCTCCTCCAATATAGGGGATTGGGCTCTTTTCCCTCCCTGGTCCCTCCCTGGATCCGGCAAATGAACTACAAGCACTGCCTCCGCGATGTAGGGGATTGGGCTCTTTTCCCTCCCCGGTCCCTCCCTGGATCTTGCAAATGAACTACAAGCACTGCCTCCGCAATATAGGGGATTGGGCTCTTTTCCCTCCCCGGTCCCTCCCTGGATCTTGCAAATGAACTACAAGCACTGCCTCCGCAATATAGGGGATTTGGCTCTTTTCCCTCCCCGGTCCCTCTCCGGATCCTTTTTTTGCTTCCGACGACTGAAATCAGTCCTTATTTTCTGTTTCTGGTACAAAATCGATGTAGGATTCTACGACAAAATTAGATATCAAGGCACTAGACTGCTCAATTTTGCTAAAATCTGAATTTTTTTTCTAGTACATTATTCTACTACAACTGTACGTAGGCTCACTTTTGGGATACGATTAGCTCCCCGACGAGCACTGCCTCCACAATGTAATACTACTACTCTCAGGGAATAGGCTCTTCTTACCACGATCCCTCCTCCCTGGATCGATTACATGATGAAGCACGCGCTTCCAGTAGTAGTAGTACTATTGCGAATGATCGATTCACGGATATTGCTGATACTCAACTCAAGGCGCATATCAATCTGCTCAATCTTGTGAGTTAGCTCTCTTCCGATTGCTCTCAATTCATCGTGAATTTCCTTGCTGCTGTCCTCGCCGTTCCTTGATGCGAATTCCAACTTTCGATTGCTCTCAAGCAGATCTTCATTCACTTTGTCGAGCTCATCTTCAAGCTCAGCAAGTTTGTCAGCTTGGACATCCTTCATCCGCTTGATTTGTTTTTCCTGTTGCTGAATGGTGGCCTCAAGGTCATGAACAATTTTGGTGAGCTCATTGTTATCTTCTTTGATTTCCTGGAGCTCTTTTCGGTGCTTCTTTGAATCCTCACTTGCTTGTTCTTTGAAGCTATTCTTCCGCTTCTTTGCTTTCTTCTTTAGCTCCGCAATTTCTTTTTGCAGCGCAAGCTTCCTTGGTGACGGGGACGACGACACAGCAACTTGTCCGCCTCCTGGTGCCTCAGGGAAACTGCTGGTGCTTGTTTGATTCCGTGCCGTATTCTCCTTGTTGTTGTTATTAGTAGTACTATTACTAGTAGTAGTAGTATCCAAATCGTGACGACCACTACCAGCAGTACTAATACTGCTCGGCAAACGACGATTCAAACCATCACGAAGAGCTGTTTGAAGCCGGTTTTGAATCATTGAGTTATCATGAATGTAGGGCTCGGCTGACTTGGCATTCTTATGCCTGACGTGGTTCATCCTCATCTTATCAGTTACATTCTCATTGGATGCAAGAGCTGTAATACAACGATGCCTGTTATCATGAGGAGTAAACTTGTCCCAGTCAGCAAATCCTGCTATTTTGGCAAACTCTTTGATCCACTCGCGGATAGGATCCCCCCCAATCTGTGAGTTAGGTCTGTAATGATATGGGTTGCCTTTCCTCCTTTTGTGGTTCACATAACAGAAGAAGCGCTTCTGATGCGGACTGCAAAGGCTGCGATAGTGGAAGATTAGTTTTACAATACAGTACTTGTCCTCCTTTTGCTCCACGACCCGTGGCTTCTGTTCATTGACAGTTGGATGGAGGACTGATATCTTGTTCGCTTTATCATCCCCTCCACATGGCGAGATAGTAACGTGCCGTAGTCCCTTGTTTACTCCACAGTCGTATGTACCGAGGGATACATCACTCCACTTGAGGAACACAAGCTCACTCTTTCCTCGAAGACCAAACTGTCTTCCAAGCTCCATTGCAATCACCTTCATTAGATCAAGATCGTCATCGAAAGGCTTGTAGGTTCCATCATACAGCTTCGACCGGTATTTGTCATCGCCATGCTCATCAAACTTGGCTTTATTCCTCTTGGTTCCGAGTGTTGGATCTGCTTCCCTCTTCTCATTCCAATCTGCTTTGCATACTCCCAGGAAGCCTCCCTTCCCATTGAAGTCACTGCTCTTGTATTTAATCCCTCTTGCCGCGAATGCAGTGAATACATACTTGATATACGTGGCATGTGTCGACGTATCGAGTGACTCATTACTAGTATTCTTCTTCCCACCTCTTACTCGCATCTTCTTGATATTGAGTGTCCAGATGCAAAGAGCTTGATTTGCGATTTGCTTCTTGAAGGGCTCTGGTTCCCCCCCAACAACAGCATAGAACTCAAGGTCTTGTCTCAGTCCATCAGGAAGATCAACCTTGTTTGTAAAGTATCGATGGAGCTGGACATCACCAGGATCGTTTCCGCGAGGAGCTGTTGCTTCTCTTACAATCTCCTCAAAACGACGATGAACAGAGGCAACTCTTTTTGAATAGTCAGCAGTTGTTGATGTTGCTTCCATTACAGTTTTTCCTTTTACACCAAAAGTATTGGCATGGTTTGGATTTTTGAAGATCTTCTTTGCATACGCCCTTGCTGCTTCACGCTTGTTCCTTCTTGCGGCGTCTTCTTCTTGTCTCCGTAGATATGGATTGACGATTTCGTGTCTGGTGGTGACAGTACTAGTAGTAGTATTCTCTCCTTGTTCTTGTTGCTGTGGAGGAGGAACATCCCCAGGATCAATCGATACTCTTGGGGGCGCTAGCGCTGGCGCTTCTTCATCAGGGGCAAGCAGAATCGATTGTTCCTTGCTGGATCGAAGGCGATGTGCTATGTAGCTTTGACGCGCAAAGGATATCATTGTGTTTGCCCCATCCTGTGTCAACTCTCCCCTTGCTGCTGGTGGTGGGGACAGAGGACTATTGTTCCTGTTGTTGCTGCTGGTGCCGTCATCGATAATGACGCCACCACTGTGATTACTGGTGCTCCTGGTGCTTCTCTGAGAGAGTCCTAACTCAGGTGGGGGCTCATCGAATATCGCGTTTGAGTCAAAGGGACTGTTCTTATCTCTTCGATGGGTCATGCTGATTACTGGTGATTACTGATTACTGCACTGATTACTGCACTGATTACTGCTGATTACTGTACTGATTACTGATTACTGCACTGATTACTGTTCTTGCTTGTTCTTCCACGCTGTATCCTGTTAATTACTCCTTTTTGCGTACTAGCAATTAGCGCACTGAAAATATCAATTGAAAATAGCAATTGATTTGATTACTGCTTCTCTATCGATGCGAGCAAACTTGATGCCGACAGCTGCCAGTAGGATTTGTACAGCTGCTCTCCTGATTACCAATTTGATTACTAATTTTGTGGAGTAATCAGTCATCCGGTCGAGCTGCAATTTATATTGAAGAAAAATAACACGCATTTGTTAGCAACTGATTACTCGATTTTTTTGGTAACGCGCAGTAATCTAGCGCGCGGTTACTAGGCAAAAACTGAGTAACCAGATGGTTACGAATCGTACCAGCGTCTCCAGCGTGCAGCGTTCATACAGTAGTTCATACCTCCATACGTACGTTTGTACGTTCATACAATATCCGAAATATCAATGTACGTACCGTATGTATCGGTAATCCTTGTCCTACAGTACGTACTACGTAAGGGGTGAATTACCGTACTCTTATTGGTACTCGTACGTACTACAACAAGGAAAGGACGGAAAAAAATAAAAATGGCATGCAATTCTGTCCTTCGATCTTCAACAACTGTCTTGTTCGGTACAGATTCTGTTTCAATAGTCGTTGTTGGAAGACTGCATCGAAGAATCCATATCGCACGGAAATTTTATCTTCGATGAGCCGAGGGAGAATGATGAAGCAATCCTTCGCGTCAACTGCAGCAGTCCTGGCCCTGTCGTCGTCCTTTTCGTCGTCCCTGATCGGAAGTGTCCATTCCCTATCACTGAGCATGAGTGCAGCCTCGTCGACGAGCAAGGCCGGCGCCAAAAGCATCGTGGTGGTCGGTGGGGGCATCCAGGGCACCTCCGTGGCCTACCAGCTGGCCCAGAAGGCGACGGCCGAAGAGCCACTCGAGATCACCATCCTGGAGGCCAAGGAACCCGCCTCGGCCGCCTCCGGAAAGGGGGGTGGCTTCATGGCCCGATCGTGGGGGGACGGTTCCCCGACGCAGGGCCTCCACCACCTGGCCTTTGACATGTACGAGGACCTCGCGAAGGAACTCGGTTGTTCCTCCTACCGGAAGCTCCCCGTCCTAAGCGTTGCACCGGAGGGCGGGGGTGGCATCCGGGGGAGCAAGGGAAACCCCCTGATCCCCTCTTGGCTGGACGGAGACTCGATCGGCCGGATCTCCCCGATGGGATACGGCGACGACACGGCCCAGATCACCCCCAAGGAATTCGTGGAGAAAATGCTGGAGGCGGCATCGGAAAATGTTTCGGTGGTACTGGGAACCTGCACGGGGGTCGATGTCTGCGAGAGCAGCGACGAGGACGACGAACAGTCGGTCACCGGTGTGAGGTACCAGCCCCGCGGAAGCGAGGACGGCACCGAAAAAGTCCTCCCTGCCGATGCGGTGGTGGTGTCGGCAGGGCCCTGGTCGTGCCAGGCCGAGGACTGGTTCGAGGGATCGGGCGTCCAGCTCCCGATGGAGGGGGTCAAGAGCACCAGCATCGTCTGGAAGCAGCCCGAGGGCACCAGCGAGGTGGACGCTACAGCCCTGTTTTGCGGGGAAGACTACCGATTCAACACACACCGTACGTGCCGTCCCATGCCGCAGACGAACATTGGTTTCCGCTGCGACGATTCAAACGAATCCATATCCAATCTGCTCCTCATTTTTCTTTTCTCTCTGTCTCTCTCTTTCCCAACTCGTCTATTGCACACGTTGCATTACCAATGAAAACGGGGCAACGCATCGGACAACAATTAAAACGGAATACGACATCCACTCGTTTTGATTATTCACAACACTCTGTTCTATTGCGTACGCGAAACACTTGCAGTGGAAGTCTATCCCCGGCCCGACGGAACCATCTACATCTGCGGGATCGGTGGATCGGACTACATCACCACGCAGGAACTCAAGCAGGGCGCCTACCGGGAGGTCATCGAAGCGAACGATTCCCGCGTCAAGGCCGCCTCCGATAGCTTCCGGGAGCTTTCGAGTCTGTACCGGGAAAAGGGTGAGCTCGACCGCACCCAGGCCTGTATGAGACCCTGTCCACCGGACGCCCTCCCCTACATGGGGGCGATCCCGTCCTATACCAACGCCTTTGTCAACGCCGGGCACAACTGCTGGGGGATTGCCTGGGCCCCGGCCTCCGGCAGGGCCATGGCGGAGCTCGTCCTGGACGGGGCCTCTGAGAGCGTGGACCTCCGGCCCTTCGATCCGGCGCGCTTCACACCCTCGGCCGGCAAACGCGGTGGCCGCGGCCGAAAGAAAAAGGGAGCGAGCGTTGGCGAGCAGTGGTAGCCAGTGGGGAGAACGACGGTGACGGCGGTTTGCGCTGGTTCGCTCGTGCGGAAAATAGGTCCCGCAAAGACCTCGCATTCCCTACATGTGTGGTTCGTAGTGTGTTGCCTGGTTTTCACTGACCCCATTGTTTTGCCAGCTACCACAGACAACTACACTGCGCCTTTTTAAAAAAATTAAAGGCTTGTGTACCTCACTTTTCAAATGAACTCACGAGAATAACGTACTAGTACTATCATCAACAATTGTTGTTGTCCTGTACTTTGGCGTGCCAGAAAGAAATGTGGTAATTTAAAGCAATTATTTTACTGCAAGTATAGATATAACACATATTACATCATTGTTACGTTTGTTTATTATGAATTTTCTTCTCCAACACTAGAGTGTTATTAAAATAGAGAGTATCGTCCTTGATTGTTCTTTTCTATTCCATCCTCTGCTCTTTGCGCAACAGTGCAAACGCAATCTATGTTTTCGCCATTCGCTTGAATGGAACGTTCCTCGCTCGTCCCATTACTCCTCGTCGTAGCTAACAAAGTACGATCCATTCTCACCAAAGTCCATGTTGTGGAGGTATCCCTTAGCGGTAATCTTTTTCAGGACGGAATCTAGCTCGGGGGTGATGCCAGACCACCACATCTTTCCGTTTTCAGCCTTGAGGAACCACTCACCGTTTGGTCCGAGGTTGCAAACGACCAGATCGTCCGCATCGTCTCGTGTAGCAAGCTTATCCTCCAGAGACTTGGGGATGGATCGTCCCTGGTACTGCCAGCTTCCGTCGTGAAATACGATAAAGAAGGTGTCGTAAGTCGCCCCAAAGGCAACGGACCGCGGAAGAAGAGCGGCAGGAGACTGGGAATCCCGTGTGTCTTTCGAGTGGTGGGTGTTAGCGGCACTCACCACGCTCATCGCACCACTTTTTCGCCGGCTGGTTGATACGCTGTTGCCACTTGCCGCGCTGCCGGATGCTTGTTGCTGCACTTTGATGACCTTCTTCTTGAGGACCTTGTCAAAGACGTTGGAACCCTTCCAGTCAGCGCTTCCATCGTTGAAAGAGACAAAATAGCGATCCCTCGTACCGAGAGCTACATAACAGGGTCGCCTGGAGTAGCTGGATGACCGGAGCTGTCGAAGCTTTTGGTACAGGGCCTTGGGAATGGCGGGGGTATAGGCAACTCCCCCATTTCCGTACAAGAAGACGGTCCCTCGGCCGTTGGTGGCCACACCCTTGACGACCTTGTTCATTTTCGCAATGTCCCTGAGACACTGATCGACCTGGTTCATGACCTCGGATGGTAGCTTGAAATGGAACTCGTACCCGCAGTTTTTGAACGAGCTCGAGTTTTTGTTGTATTTATTGTATTTGGTGCTGTTGGTCGATTTCTTCGTTGACGACACAACGTGATGGCTGCTCGAGGTATGGGCATCGTTGCGATCTTCGTTATAATTGGAGGCATTGCTTCCGTTTCGCGTGAGTGCACTGGCGGCCATTGCAGCTGCGTTGGATTCGCTGTTAGTACGTTTTGGTGGAAAGGCTGTGTTGGCGAGGCTCAAGGCAGTCTGCCTTGCTATGTCGGAGTTGGATGGTTTGTGGTTGCTCCCAGCTAGTTTTCCTCCCTTTCTCTTCGTATTGTTCATAGTAATGGCGTTGCCATCGTTTTTTTTGACCTCTTTGTTGTGGAAAGTTCGGCTTCTTAGCTTGGTGAACTTGTTTCGTCGTCTTCCGATTCTGGTACTGTTGCCATTGCTACTATCGTCAGTTTTCTTTGCGGCCATGGCCTTTTCAAGCATTTGTGCTTGCATTTTCCCAGCGGGGTTGTGGCTTCTTATTTGCTGAACGCTTTGTTTTGCTGTTTTTGGGGTGTTTTGGCGCTCCTTTTGTTCTTTGTCTTTTTGTAGCTGACTATGCTCCTTGGCTTTGATTGCCGCTTCCTCTTCCAACTGCCTCAGGTGCTTTTCAAGCTTCTCCCTTTCTCCATCGAGGATACAAAATCCCACATCGGCCAATTCGACTCCCTTGAGATAATCGCTTTTGGTCCAGTCTTTGTTGCCATTCATGTGGCTTGAATCCTCAATGGAATCCGTCATGCCAATCAGAGAGGGGCCGATCTCGACGGGACCTTCCGGCTGTCTCAACAGTCGTTCCACAACGTCCAGGGACGTAATGTTCCTCCTAAACGTCTGACGGACCTTCCCATCTATGACACGGGACGTTCCGACAGTTCCCGTGTCACAATAGACATTCACCCGGAACGGCATCACCGCCTGCGATGGTGCCTTGTTTTCTTTTCCGTTGTTGTCTTCGGAGGGCGGGGTGATCAAAAAACTAATCGTTGTGGAAAATGGATCCATGTTTCGGTGGTTCTTGAGTTCCCTGCAACCCTGGATGGCCTTGGATCGTTCGCGCACAGCCACCGGACGGAGGGCATTCTTGCTGGCACCGCTTCTGGGAGTCCCGTAATTCCCGTATCCATTTTTTTGTTTGGCATTTCTGGGAGTGCTAGAATTGGTGTTCGAATCGTCGTTTCTGTTCGGCGTCGCTAGCGGGTTGTTGGAATTGTTGTAAAATGATAGCGACAGCGGAGGGGCCGGGGAAGACGACGAAGTCTTTTTTCTGGACGGAGTATTGTTGGATCCTGTGAGCGTTGTCCGAAAGCTCGGTGGTCTCGTCATGCTGCTCATGTTGTTGATTTTTTTGCGTTGTAGCTAATCGATTGTAATCTATTCTGAAAACGAACTAGAGTTCGAAGGAATGGTTGTTTGGTGTTGTCCCCCGATAGTCGCGTCACATGGATATTCGGCACCGAGATTACCGATTATATTGTTCTGGGTTGCTCCACCGTCCGCGCTTCTATTTCGTCTGGTCGCCTTCTCGGCGCAATCTCTCTTTCTTACCAAAATTACAACACAAGAATCTCGACGGAATAGGTTTGTACAGAGCTTTATTGATCGATTGGGCTAAATCTAATATCTAGACTTGGATGCTTCGTTAGCTTTCCTCCCGCCTTTTTCGTCCACTGTAATTGAAGATGGATCGGTAGGAAGTATTTCGCGCAGTACCGTATGCAGTTGGTTGGTTGGTTGGTTTAGTTTGTTTCACAGCTGCACGTTGAGCATAACGCTCAACAAGCGAACGAAAAATCGATGTCCTCTCTCACGAAATCGCCAACGTACCCGGTAGGCTAGACTCTGTTCGCGCGCATTCATACAACTTTTGAACCATACCACACAACATGCTTTGTTTTAATTTTCTCCGAAATGGGGAAACACACGCAAGTTAACGGTCCGGCTCGTTTGTAACATAATAATTCCTATCGTACTTATCGTACAAAACATTTTGCACTTGTGTGACTGACGGCCGGCGGTCAGTTTTGGCGATTCAAGTCTTCCTACATCCCCCCACTCCGCATCCCACCCGGAGAGAAATCTTTTCTAGGTTGTAGTTCATATTCATACCATGTCATGATATGCATAATACTGTAGTATATTACGATAAGTTCTATGTTCCGTGTGGTTACATCCGTAGGTACGTACGGTACTTGTTCTTCTGTCTACGGTATGTACGTAGTCGTTTTGTACGAAACTTACTGTGCCAGTACCTTTCTCGTACTGGTACTTTACGGACCGGTGACAAGCTATCCGAGACTCGCAAACGGATGCAAAAGCTCTCGCCGAGTACCATACGATACTCGTACTTTTGTGCTCAAAAAAATCTAGGACAGCCCTGGAGAAGACGAGCGCAGATACTCCCGTGCTCGACAAACAACAGAAGAAATACGAATATGCGTTCGGCATCCGTGGGAAAGGCGAGTTTGATTCTCAACCTATTAGTCGCGGCAGCACCCTTTTTACACCACTCTTCCACCGGCGCATCTGCGTGGTCGACGACACAGACACCGGGGATTTCTTTGCAGAAAGATTCGAGGAGAACCGCCACGGCCAGGAAAATGACGGAATCTTCTGCTGTCAATGCCGCAGCTAGCAAGCCTAGGCTTCCCATTCCCGCCCCACTCTATTCTGATGTTCCGGGAACCTGGGCTTACGACACGATGTCTCGTCGGGTCGACGAGGAAATCCTCCAGCGTACCTTTGACGACAACAAGGGTGCCTGGGAAACAGAGGAATTCAGTGACATTCTCGAGCGATTCAACGCCCTCCGAAAGGAACTACAGAATGCGGGAGAGACCAAGCTCGGACTCCCGCTTCCGCCCCCGTCGGATTGCTCCGAAGCTCGTCGAACCGAGTGGGAGGAATGGAAGCAAATCATGGAACCCTTCGTAGCGAAGGGGGACACTTGGCTGACGGCGCCCTGGATGGTCGCGGAATTCTACGTCTATCGTAGGCTGGTTGTCGATGTCATTCAATACTGGGACGAGTACGACCGGAACGATCCAGAAAAAAAGAACCCGGGGTACCTGTACGATCCATTCATCGACCAAAAGCACGCCGGATTGGAATCTTCCGTCGCCTCGGCCGAAGGGGTTCTGGCAAAGATCAACAATCTAGGAGGGAACGGCAGCAGCATCGATCAGGGCGGGAGACTCGCCGCGAGCATTGCTTTATGGGGCAACAAGATGGATCTCTCGCTGTGGCCTGCCGACGCGAAGACGGCTTCCAAGGATATTTTCTCCGCCATTCTCGACAAGGCTACCGAGGGGCTCTTGCACGACGACTCTTCCCTCCTTGTGGAACACTTTGAAAAACTCAAGGCTAGTGGTGGGGGGAACATCGACATCATAGTCGACAATGCCGGCTTTGAGCTGATCACCGATCTGGTCCTCGCCCAGTACCTAACAGAGAGCGGGATTGCCAAGTGCGTGACCTTCCAATTGAAATCGCACCCGACCTTTGTCTCGGATGCCCTAGAAAAAGACCTCCTGGAACACGTGAACCATCTTGCGGATTTTGACGACGAAGCAAAGGCCTACCCGAACGTAAAGATTTCGGGAGCCAAGTGGCAAGAATACCTGAACGACGGACGATGGAAGTGTACCGAGAACAACTTCTGGGTCCAGGGATTTCCCATGTGGGAAATGACGGAACCCCTCCGGAGCGATCTCCGCGATCGATGCGATCTAGCCTTTGTCAAGGGGGACGCCAATTATCGACGATTGCTCGGCGATTGCCAGTGGGATTATTCGACTGATAGCTTTCAGGATGTGGTGGGCCACTACTTTCCCTGCCCCGTGTGTGCCCTTCGGACTCTCAAGGCGGAGATTGGGTGCGGGATGGAGGCCAACCAGGTGGATCGCGCCAGCAAACTCGACCCCAACTGGCAAACTAACGGGCGCTTTGGTGTCCTCCAATTCGGGACCGGTGAGAGCCAATGAGAAGTTTTCGGTTTAGCATACGATGCGGTGGATCTCAATTCAATCAGTTGATATTGGTAGAAGGCTTGCTGCGCAGAGAATAGCGTAGCCGATGAGCACTACAACCAGCCGTAGTGGAAATATTTTTCAAGGACATTATCATTCTGATATTGTGTTCAAAACTACTACTACTTATTATTTTTCCTCATCCACCAGAGCGTGTCTGCGGCGCGGGTAATTTCAAATGTTTGAAGCAGCTCTCTCGATCGTAGTCGACTTTTTATTTGGTCTGTTATCCTTGCTTCTTTATGATGAACTATTGTGATAGCAAATCAAGAAAGCGTTGTTCTCGGATTTTTTCCTACGGTACCGAATGTTTTTTCAAAAAACGAAAAGAATTTTTTCGTGAATTACCATTATAGTTAGGGTTCAGGTGAAGAAGCCAAATATTGTTTCTTCTGACGTCACTGATGACGTCTCGGATCCTCCGCGGGATCGGATAGGATAATATCCCTGGAATCCCTCCGGCCGCGTTCAAGTTCCCCGTTTCAACTGGTAATACTGCACCTCACGCTGAAACTTTGTAGGGGACTGAAATGCTTTTTTTAAAATCGAACCATACGGTAGCCGAACGCCGAGACCGACACTTATCCTATCCTGTGGTTCCGTTACTACTCAGGTGAACATTCCATGCTTTGGCACATTCCGACGAAGCCTCGACCCCTTTTCATGGAAATCTGGACATAGGTTCTTGTTGCAAACCACCTTCGACTCCGATATCTTCCATACTTTCACCCATCAGTCAATCACCCATTTTGACAGCTTCCTCTGAACGCATTGGAATCATCTGGCATCATATAGCTACTCCCGAGACATAACAAAACACAACAATATTCAGCTACCATGATTTTCAATCCCCACAAGCTCGGAGTCCACAAGGTTCTCCAACATATCCCTCTAAATGGGCTTTTTGATGCTCCGTACAAGAGAGCCCTGCAAAAGGCCGTAAACATTGCCGATTTGCGGACGATTGCGAAGGCCCGATCGCATAAGGTCCGTTTTACCTTTGTTGCACAACAGCGAGAACATTTTTTTCGAAATCATCAGTAGTTGCTGTATCTCCTCGATCAGGTAGCATTGACCTTTCCGACACAGCTCCGAAAGCAGGCCCCACTGGATGCTGCCTCCGCAAATATCTCACTTTTTTGTCTTCCCTATCCCTTACCTATGCCTTTTGCTGGCAAAACATCATCCAATCGAACAACAATTTGCACATGACGGATTTCTTGGGTCACTCACTGAAAATCCGTTTTCTAAATCTATTGAAAATGGATGGTAAACCAATTCTCGCACGTCGATCCGTATCTATTGTGACGCTGTTGACTTCGTTGTACTATTCTATTGCAGATGGTTTTCGATTACCTTGATGCCGGAGCGGACGACGAAATTAGTTTGAGACGCGGAAAGGATGCCTACAGCGAGTTGGAGATGCATTTCAAGATTTTGAGTGGTCTGAAACCACCCCTCGATTTGTCCACAAAGATTTTTGGCATGGACGTCAACCTTCCGTTTTTCGGTTGCCCAACGGCCGGAAATCGCATGTTTCACTGGGAGGGAGAAGCAGCAGCCGCCAAGGCCTCCGAAAAATTCGGAACTCTCTACGGTCTCTCTAGTTTGGCGACTACGGGGATCGAGGAAATCGGCAGCATCCATTCGGGTCCGAAGGTCTTCCAATTGTACGTCTGGAAGGACCGTGAGTTGGTCAGGGACGTCATCTCCTTGGCCAAGGAGGGTGGTTTCGGCGCCCTAGCGCTAACGGTTGATTTCACCTGGTACGGCAACCGTGAACGCGACATCCGCAACGACTTTTCCATCCCTCCCAAGTACTCTGTACCCCAGATGATGGAGGCAATTCGCAAACCGGCCTGGACCTACGACTTCCTTTCGCACGAGCCCTACACATATGCCTGCATCAACAAGGAGGTCCCAGCGGATTCACTCGCGGCGTTTGTGAACAGTCAGATCGCTCCCGAATTCGATTGGAATGACGCCGAGTGGCTTCTTGGTGAATGGAACGGACCCGCAGCCCCCAAGGGTGTGTGTCGACCGGAAGACGCCAAGAAGGCCGTCGAGATTGGATTTTCCTCCATTTGGGTATCCAACCACGGAGCTCGACAGCTCGAAACCAGTCCCGCCACAATCGACGTGCTCCCAAGCATCCGAGAGGCTGTCGGACCCGACGTTGAGGTCATTATGGACGGTGGCGTCCAGCGTGGGACGGATATTGCCAAGGCTCTGGCTCTGGGAGCCGACTCGGTCGGAGTTGGAAAGCCATACCTTTGGGGACTGGCCGCCGGTGGAGAAGCCGGTGTGTCCAAGGCCTACGACATCTTGAAGGTCGAGCTGGACCGAGCTATGGGATTGTTGGGAACGGGTACGGTAGACCAGCTCAAGAAGGAAGGACCCTCGCTGATCAAGCGAAGAGGAGCAAGCATCCGGGATTATCCCGACCGATATGCTCTCGATCGGGGATACGGTGGCGGTATTGTCTAAGTCCCTCTTTTCTGAAATACATAGCTGATGCAGGTAACAGAGCAATCAAAAGCAGCATAGAACGGAGCAACAAATGCCTTGCTCATGGAAAAAGGCCTAGAAAACAATGCTACGAACCAATATATTACGAAGCAAAAACAAAGAATGGTTTCTACATCAAGAACAATAGAATTGGGTGCAAAACGCAGATAACAAAGCCCTCACATCTAGTGCAATGCTGGGCTAGTTCCTATCAGAATAACTACTAGAATAATCCATTTCTCGGAGGAACTCTTGGAAAGAAAACAGTCATTACTTTCGCACGAGTATTTTACCCGTACTCGCACCGGACCAAACCTGAACTCTATCTGGAAAGGCGTGTTGAACCTCTGATTAGACCCGTAAAGCCAAAAACCGGATGATGGCCAGACTGAATGGATGACTCTCAGCTCCACTTGTGTACGGTATCAATTCGTGTTTCCCGTAAAATGTTAGGAAGCGAGATTGCGATTCCGTATTCCATCACCTTCATTCAGCAAAGTCAGAGTTAGTCGAATGGATCAAGAGTTTGTTTTTGTACAATGGCGTTTTTAAGTTTGTTCTTGGGCACCCGTATGTTCGTTCTTGCTCCTCAGCCTTGAATCATGTCATGCATCCATGCATCCGCATTCAATTTCCTGCCCTGTGCATCTCATTCGTTCTGGCCTTGGCCTGTGTGTACAGCACCGTACGTACCCGTAGAGCGTTGGGGGCCTTCGTTGGTCATTAAGCGAAAATTACTCAGCTGTTCGACGTGAATTTTACTCATGCCCAGCACTTCCCTGAAAGCAAGACAGGAAAACACAGACCAAAGGACATCCATCCGTCATTTCACAGACCAGTACGGTACTTGTATCAACAGAACATCTCGGACCATTGAAAAGAGCTGCAGCTTCCATTCGATCTACGAAACGAAACTCGAAGAACTCTAGCAACTGAAAAACACTTCTGTCGAAATTCAGAACTTTCGCTGAGAACCGTGCCTCGATACGCACGCAACAACAACACAACGCAACAGACACAAAAGACACAACAACCATGGCAGGTCCTGCAAACCCTCCCGGTCAGCCGAAAGGCGGTTTCAACAAGCTTTTTGTGATGCTGCCAGTGATGCTGGCTGCCCGAAAGCTCGATGCCGAAGACCCACAAACCGTTCAATACTTGCGTATGGCCTACGGGTCCATGCAATCGCTCTGCGTTTTAGTGGTCCTGTATACATTCATGAAGGCCTCCTCCATCGACGACAAGAAAGCCTCAAACATTGTCTACATCCCTGCACCTCCAACGGTACGTTGTCTCTGGCCTCATGAACAATACATCAGGAAACGAAAGTTACACTTGCTCGTTGAAGGACGGGAAAAAGTATGTTGTTGATTGGCAATACCTATTGTGTGGACTCATCCTTTTATTTTGCTTTTTCGTTTCTTGGTGCTCCTTGTTTCCTTTCTGATTTCGCCCCGCGCTACTTGTTTTTCGTCTTGCGCAGCCCTTTGCCGATCCGGAAGCCAAAAAGAAATACACTAGCTCCGAATACCGGGCACACGTTTTGTCGACCGCACGCTCCCTCGTGGGCTCGACACTTTTTGGGATCTGTATGACGGTTGGTCTGCACATTTACAAGGGCATGGCCATGGGTCTTGCTATCCAGACCATCATGGGTCCCTTCAATCTTTTCGAGAACCCGCTCGTCAAGGCCATCTTGATGGGAAATGGCTTTCGTCCCGAGGACAAGATTTTTGAAGAAAAGGATCTGCAGGAACTCACCGAGAGCGACGAGGTTGTCGATGAAACCGGCAACGTGATTCCCAAACACCAGCTGTTGGCGTCTTCCAAAACGCAAAAGGCCAAGAAATCCCAATCGCCAGAGGACGCCTTTGAGGAACTCTTACTGGACACATGGGACGCTGGCAATGGGGCTGATGTTTCCAAATTTGTGAGTGCCGTCACTAAAAAGAACTGCAACCAGCGTTCGAAGGGAAACGAATGGACTCCGCTCATGATTTTGAGTGGATTGACCAACAAGGAAGATACCGCATCCGCTATCCGAAAGGTCATTGGTATGGGCGGAAACCCCGGAGTTACGGACAAGGATGGCTGGAACTGCCTCCATTGGGCGGCCTTTCACGGAAGCCTCTCGGCAGCCAAGGCGTTGTACGATTACGATGCATCCTTGCTGGACGTCAAGGACAATGAAGGAAAATTACCTCTCGAAATGGCACAACAAGAGGACAACAAGGAGGTTGCAAAATACCTCGAAGAAGTCACGGCTACCGCTGCCGCCTCCAAGACAGACGGCGGCGACGAAGGAATCCGCAAACGAAAATGAAACAGGAATCACCCGCCGCACCGAACGGTGCTCGCACCCGGTCCGCCGCTTGCCTCGATCGGATAGGAAGACACGGATTTGTTCGCTTGCTCGTTTTGTGATGGCCGGTGAAAGCAATCGACAAGGCCGGTACCTACCTATTTCACGAGTGTATGTGTTTGTAAAATTGTAGAACAAAACGTGGCATGTTGTTGCGAGACAATGCCGCTGGCTGCTGGACTATCCAATAGAAAATATACAAAACGAAACAACAAATCAATAAAACTTTTAAAAAAAGCAAAGAAAGGAGCCACGATGGTAGTTTCCTTTTTGACTTGCATGCCAGCGTTGCCAAACGGGGAACTGTTTGGCATGATTGACTTAAAACCATTGTTCACAAAACTATTGTTCCTTAGAATTGGCAGACGATACATTTGATTCGAGTTTCGGTTCATGTTCATCATCTCCTATGTTTCAACGCACTATTTTCTTGTTCATCAACCTTTTGTTTGCGACTGCTCATTTCGCAATACGAATCAAATTGTGAACAGGTGTGTCGACCATCGGCTAGAATTTGACATGGCCTTCCTTTCCTTCCGAATGAAGGTGTTCACAGTGATGACCTTTTTGATGGCTCACTAAAGAAAGAGGCAACCGCAACCCCTACGAACATGCGCACAAGACCACATGGCAACGTCATCATCACGGCAGCTAACTTCCATGCAACAGAATGAGATACAACTGCTGAAACAACCACTCACCTCCAATTGGCACTGTTAAGTTAAGCAGAGTGCTTTCTTCTGCTGCCACGAATTTAAAGCTTCATGGAGCCCTTTTCTTGCAATGGTATGAATACATGCTGGTAGTAATACCAGTTGTATATTGTAGTACTAGTGGTAGAAGTACTATGGAAAATATCTCCTGATACAAGTAGTCTTACTACTTTGATATTGTAAGTACAAGCAGGCTTCTTGATACCAGACATGATTTTATCATGGAAATACTATTCACTTACTCCTATCTATTCACTTTTTCCTCATTCTTGGTTTTTCAAGAGTTGACTCTCTTCTGCTACTCTCTTCTGCTACTCTCTTCTGCTACTCTCTTCTGCTACTCTCTTCTGCTACTCTCTTCTGCTACTCTCTTCTGCTACTCTCTTCTTGATGTAGACTCCAGTATAATTCCTAGTTCTTAGTATTAGTAAGAAAAATATAGTAAATAGTTTCTTTATTTTTTGGGGTGTGGTTTTACTTTGTTCTGTTCAGACTAGAATCCTCCATGTCACTAGCATTGATATAATAAGAGCTGGACTTGTACAAGTGATCACTGTTGTTGACTAGCACTAACACTACTTCTTCTTGCTAGAAAGGGGAACTTTTCTTTCAAGACTCACAGGAGTATTTTTGACAGTACTAGTAGCATAGTAGTAGTAGAAACATAGAATGCAAGAAGCACATTATACTAACAAGGAGTTTGTGTAGAAAATGAATCTCTTGTTTCTTGGAGTGGTGCTTGAATTTTCAATCAGCCCTGAAATATATATTTTTTTATCTTGATAGTATTCAGCAAGTTCTTCAAATGATTTTGGCTAGGAACATTCTTCAACTTCTGCTATCACTGGAATCCTGCTACTAGTACTGGTGGTGTCTTCTCATTGACTTCAATCAATACAACAAAATACTAATAGGACAAAGTAAAAAATAACAGTGGTGGTGAACATCATACTTCCTCCTCAAAGCATTTTTCATCCATTCTGGAATGTGTGTCATTGCTTCCTTGTAACTTTTTGACACTTCTGGTTCTCCTTTGTAACATTTTGGCAGTTGGATTCATCAAATAGTAATATTTAGTATTAGAAATAGGAGATTTAAAATGTAACATGTTGTCACACATTTATGGTGATTCTTTCCTGATATTTTTGTGGCCTTTTGCAGAAGCTTGATCTTTAATTATTATATTGAAATGACCAATGGAACCCTTTCTTTCTTCAACAACAACAAGTAAAATCACACTAAACAATTACAAAAACTGCTTTCTTAGTTGTAGTATTTATTTTATGTGATGATCCTGTGACAGATTTGTAGTGGAGCAAACATGGATTCTGAACCAAAATTTTGCAGATTTGAGATTATGTAGTAGCACTGTAGAAAAACAAGTTAGATAAATAATGATAAATGATGAACTTTAGAACCAGCATTAGACTACTAATACTACAATATTCCTTATACTCCTACTAGTACTAGAAAGTGCTGTTGCTGCTGTTGATTCTGGACAATACCTCAGTGAAGTGAAAAATAAAAGCAATGCATTTTATAATCAAGTTGTGGGAGATTGGATTTGACTTACATGTCAAACAAACAAGAAACAAAAAAGAAAAAGAAGTTTTCTGACTTGATTTTAAAGTAGCAAAAACAAGGTGGATGGCTTGAGGATCTAGTAGCCAAAAACAAGCCAAAAAATCTAGGATGAGTTAACCAAGACAATGCAATATTAGCAAAACTGCTACTGATCAGCATTTGACTTAACTGAATCATCTTATTTTCTCTCCCTCAGAGTGAGTTGAGTTGGGAATCAAGAAAAGGATCACAAAAAAATCAGTTTCTTGGAATTGAAGAACCCTTGTTTTGGCCAACAACAAATTGGCTTTGTGACATAAACTGTTCCTGACCAGGAAAAAGCAAGGGGTCCATGTACAATTTACAGATGCACAACTCAAAACAAAAATCAATATATTCCTCATATCCCACATGTTGACACCCTTGTTTCTCCCTTGCCAGTTGAATTTTGATCCCTCTTTTATAGAGTTTGCTGGCTCTCCTGGTGGTGTAATCAATGACCACCACCACTACTACTATAAAACCTTTTTAGCAATTGATTCTTGTCATTGCTCAATAAAATCACTGACAAGTGCTGCTGATGCAACAATAAACTAGTATCACCACAGTCAAATCTGCTGTGGACAACAAGCTGTGGTCCTAAAATCATGCTGATTTACTACTACTAGCTACTATTTGTACTAGTAGAAGCCTAATGATATCAAATAGGTGGAATTAAGTGCCATTAATCTGAAATACCTGTTTTGCAGATTATTACAAAGTAAAAGTCTACCTTGAGCTATGGACTATGACAGTAGTTGATGATTATCAAGAGTAATGATTACTTTATTGAAAGAAGCACTAATTCATACTGTGGTAGTAGTCGTGGTATATTCCCAACTAAAAAAGAGGAAGAACAACAAACCAATGAAATGCAAGGAAGATATAATACTACCAGTCACTTTGTACTACTCTCCAGTACACAAGCTTCTTGTTTGCTAAAAAATCTGGCTCCTTGGAAGGTGAGGAGGAGTGGAGGAAAAAGAAGCCACCACCAAAACAACAAGGAGCAACAAGAAGAAAGGAACACAAAGAATGGTTTGGTTGCAGATGCATGATTAAAAGTAGCCATCTGCCCTCAACTCAGCCCTTCTTGCTTGCTTGTCAAGAAAGAGAGCTTTCAGTATTAATAGAGTTGCATTTCCCCCTGGTTTTTGTTCTGATTGTTTATTGATCAGTAGGTCTGTATGACAGGTGGTAAGTTAGTACTGACCAAACCCAAAATCTGCCCACAGGCCTAGTATTTCTGGACACTAATATCATAGTAGGTGTCTGTGTATACAGGAATGATTAATTGAAAGGGGGCCTAACAGACAAATGGAACACATACTAAAGGAATAAGGAATTTTACATGGTGTGCAAAACAATTATTATTTTCCCTCCAAGGTGGTGAATCTTGTTTCTTGTGCCATTTCTCATTAGGATTATTTGATGGTTGTTGGATTCTTTCTTTCAAACAGTTCTTGCCTTCTCCTTTTGGAACAAGGATCTGTACTATCCTTTCTATTTGCCCATGGTTTCCTCCTAGCAAGAAACAAGAAAAATGTTAATGCTACTTGAGACAGGAGCCACCAAAGTCATGATAACAGAGGAGGGGGAAGAGGACAGAGTGAGAAGACTTGAAGCCAGACACAGGAGAGACGACTACTACTAGTAGAGGAGAACATCATTGATAGCAATCCATCAACTTGTGCATTCCTCCTTCTTGTAGTAGTACTATGATGTCCTTTACTCCAGAAATGATCAGGGTCTTCTAAATTGAACTCTTCTTCTTCTCTATCACCAAGATTGGCCTTGTTTCTACCAAGCAATGAAAACAACATGATCTCTCCTTTACCAAATTACCAAAGCCAACACCTCTGGTACAGTCTGAGGATCTCCAGTTGGAATCAACTTCCACTGAAGCTTCTGATAGTTCCTACAGATAGTGTTGACATCCATCCTACCAGTATGGTGGGGAAGGACACAGCATCATGAAGCTTTGAAACCCTTTCCCATTGGTTCTTGCTTCCACCAAGAAGAATAGGAGCAGTACTAGGAAGCATTGTTTTCATGACATGGAGCATGTGCATTATTTCAGCTGTTGTGTAGTTCACACTCCAACCCTTACAGCCAGGGGGGGGTCTTCAGATGCCGCCCATGATAAAAAATTATGTCTGCTGGAATGCCACCACCAGCAGTACCATCAGCAATAGTACTACTACTAGTACTATTGATACTTTTCATCACTCCTGTTCTTGTTGCAGCATCCTCCATGGTGCTGTTCTTTCTCCTCTTCTCCTGGTGCTGCTGTTCTGGGGGGAAGAAGTAAGTTCTTCATCCTCTTGTCAATAATGCTTGTACCAGCACTAGTACTAGTAGTACTGGTGTCAGGTCTACTGGTGGGGGTGGTGTTGCTTCTTTGTAGTAGTACTAATGGTAGCTACTAGTAAGAATCTGCTTGCTCCTGCTGTTCTTTTGTTCTTGTTCTTTTGCATGCTGCAACCATAGTCACACCAGGAGCAAGCATGGAAAGTGCATGACCTTCATTTTTTATGGCACAGACTTCATCTTCTTCTTGTTAGTAGTAGTACTACTACTAGTAGTAGTAGTGGAGGAACTGGTGCTCAATATTTTGGAATTGTAAATTCCATTGTACTACTACTAGTGTAGTACGATTATCTAAACTCCAGAAGTAGTAGTAGTACTACTAGTAGTGCTGGAACTCAAGGGGGGAGGGACTTCCATAACTATCAGGGAGTGTGCTGACCCTGACTTCCTACTAGATTGATACCCAACATTTGACCCAGTCAAATGACCAAAAGAGAATCCTTTCTGTGACTCCGCACTTCTGATTTTAGGTTCTATCATTCAGTTTTCTTCGGAGAACGCATGTGCTGACTTATTGATTAGAAGTACAGTAGAATTTCTATTATCTATGTATCGACAGCTCATTTTTTCAGTTCGTTCGCGGGTCTCCGATGCGTGCTCTACCGAGAAACGTAGAATATTACTTAATCACCTAAATAAGCCGACTAATTTTCTTCATTTTCGCTCATTGGTTTCTCTCATACAGTACATGGTAATCTACTCTCAGATTTTTGATCGAACTTCTACAAGAATTGGTTCGACTCTACAGTTTTGTTAAATCGGGAGAGAAAGATAACAATCTGAATCATATGCCTATGCTTTATCTTCTTTCTCGAGAGAACAATAATTCTCACAACTATTTATTGTCTCGGTCTTCATTTTGTCTCGTCTCTCTGATTCTTTCAATCGAAGTATATTGGAAGGATGGGTTCGGTGAAATTCACGATATCATGCCCTGACTGCTGATGCCAACAAATTCGTCACGCTGTATTCTAATCTTGACMTTTGAGTTAAGCTTCTTGCTAGCGTGCGGTGGTTGACACGAAGAAGAAATTGCAATCGTTGCACAGAAATAACATCATTGACAGAACCATTTCTGCCATCTCCCTCGAATATACGATATTACCGAGAATATTTCCATACGCCAAGCAGGGAAAGATAAAACAAGCCATCAATGAATCTTTCTAAAAAGCCGTTTACCTTTGTTTTGTTGACACTCTCGGTTGTCAACTCGTCTTGTTCAGTTATGATTGATAACCGCAGATATCTCAAAGCCGGCAAGAAGGAGAAGGGCACCAAGGCATCCAAAAAGAATTCGAAGAAGTCTGCCAAGAGAACCAAGAAGGGCGTCACTATTCCGCCGCATCCAACGCAAAATCCGACAAAGACCCGAACGACTTCCCCCACACGAGCTCCCACGAAAATGCCCACGCAGGACCCTACTCCCGGGAGGACCGAGGTGTCCTCTATCTCATCGTCGTCAGATCTTACCTTTACTACCTCTGGCGTCCAAAACACTGATGCACCTAGCGATGCTCCTACTTCTACTGATGAACCCACCAGTACTCCTACCTCTGAATCCTCCTTTCTTGCAGAAGATATTCCTACTGTTTTTCCTATTCGCAATCCCACTCCCAATCCCACTCGCAATCCTACTCATGCTCCTACTCGCAATCCCACTCATGCTCCTACTCGCAATCCCACTCACAATCCTACTCCCAGACCTACTCATGCTCCTACTAATGTTCCTACTCGTTCTCCTACTCGCAATCCCACTCATGCTCCTACTCGTTCTCCTACTCGCAATCCCACTCTTGCTCCTACTCTCAAAACCACTAAAGCTCCTACTCGCAATCCCACTCATTCTCCTACTCTTCTTCCTACTGGTATGTCGATGGGCAGCCGACGGCGATGGATAAAATATTAAAGTGTGAGAGCTCACTCATGGTCTTGTGATGCCACATTTTATCCCAGTTTTATTCTCCTCTGACAAATCAATCACAGTTTTGTCCATCTTGGCCATAAATTGTGTTCAACGTAAATTGATGACATTCGCGCATAACGATCGCGTCTGTTCATCAACAAATCCTACTCCAAACCTACTCAAATGACTTTTATTTTGTAACTTATGGAACAACAAAGCAGTTACAATTAAGGAAGGATCATGTGTAATAACCGTAACCATATTATGTTGTATTGCATCGTATAGTGTCGTAGATTTTTGTGTTCTATCGTGTTGTATCGCCGCCCCTCTTCACATGTGTTGTTGTTTGGTTGTTTGTCTCTGCACCGTGCCGTCTTCTAGGCGGGGGGATACAAAAAGGCATCGGTATTCCGATGAGCCAAACGGATTCTCTTCCCTTCCTCCGGTCGGGTCGAGCCTTTGAATACGCGGAATGGTATGGTCTCGTCTGTCGCGGTCGTTGCCATTGCTGTAAACAGTGGAATCGATGAAAACCGCAGATCGCACAGCCGGCCCGGACACCACAGTCTTTGGTTCCTCGAACGAAATTCGTTCTTCCTTTGCCTTTCGACGGCAGCTTTGGTGGAAGCGCGGGGCGAGGCATCGGGAGCGTGGACCGATCGGCGGTTCCCTGTCCGTCCCTTCGCCGCGATCGATCCGTCACCGGGTCCCCGTCGTCCCGGGATCGCCGCCCGCCAACGGTGCGGCTTGCCGCTCGGTGGCCGGGGCTGCACAAGCGGTTCCGCTGGGTTGCCCCGCCCGCTCGACGTAGGATTTCCACTTTTCCACCATGGCGTCCAGGGGCTTCATGAGGATTTCGTACAGCGATTGCGGCGGGTTGGTGCCCCCGCCTGCGCTGGTTCCGGGACCCGCCGCCGACCCCGAGGCCTCGAGCCCGGAGACGATCCACGCGATGCACTCGGCCGTGGACATCCACGACTCGTCGATGGGGGGATCCCCGTCGTCGTTGTGTTTGTCTTTGTTCTTGTGGCTCCCGCCGTATCCCTTCTTGGAGGCCTTTCCCCGCAGGCGGAAGCGGCCGGGACGAAACACCGGAGCCCGTGCTCCACCGCTATCGCTGCTGTGGGCCGGTCGCAGATCGTCCTGTTCCAGCGCCAACCGAAGCATGTGCGGTGGATACTGCCCCGCCCGGATGTTGGCAAGGTGCATTTCCCGGGCGTGCTTCCACGTCGCATCCAGGACGAGCAACAGGACGGTCCTTGCGCTCGCTTTCGGTTTCGCATTCGCGTTCGCGTTCGTTGTTGCTTGCGCTCGTTCGTGCGGTGGTGGAACGGCCGCGGTTTTGGGTTGCCCCGCCCCGGTGCCGGCGTCGCCGCCGCGGAGGTGTTTCAGGAGGCCCCCCAGGCTGAGCACCGTCGCCGAGTCCTCTCGGTAGGATTGCTCGCCGGGGCCGCTGGATCCCTCCCGGGCCCCCTCGGCGATCTTGATCTTTGGAAAGACCAGCACCGGCAGGTACTCGCCGGACCGGTCGTGGATCTTGGAGAAGATGTCTTCTCCGAGCGACTCCCTCCCGAACCGCCGTCCCTTGCGGAGCGAGAGGCTTTCCGGAGCGAGGCAGAGCTCCAGGAGGGGGACGCTCCGGTGGGAGGCCGCCTTGTGGTTCTTTACCTCCAGGGGGTGCTGGAGGACGACGATCTCGGTTCGCTCCAGCAGGATCGGTGCGGCCGGGAGGGAATCGCACAGGCAGGTCTGCGGCCTGGGCCGGTGGCACCGATCGCAGACGACGCGTTTCTTCTTTTGCCGCGGCTGCCCGGGTGAACGATCGGATTGGTCTTTTCCCGCCTCGGGTTCCGCTAGGGCCTTGCGCTTTTGGGCGTCGGTTGCCGGCGGTGCGCTGCAGTGGCGTTTCTCGCCGGGTGCTTCCATGGCGTTTGCTTGCCGTTCGATGCGATTGTTTCTTGGTTCGGGTGTTGCTGGGAATAATCCTCACCTCACACGGTACGGATGCTTGTTTGTGCAATGCATTTCGTCGCTGGGAGTTGCGCTGTGTCGTTCGCTGTAGAACACACAGTGCCGTGTGTTTGGAATGACTTAGGAAAGTATCGTACCTTGTGCGTGCGAGTATCTCAACACGGCTGGGATCGAGGTTGATTGGTTTGTGATGGACGACGGAGTACGAGTACAGGTATGGAGGATGGATGATGCATGATGGATTTTTGGTTTTGGTTTTTGGTTTTGTTTTCGATGTTCCAGCTTCCAGGCCCCCAGTTTCTGGTCGGGGGATGATTGCTCTTCTCGGTACTGTATGTTCATATGGTACATTACCTACACACGTATCGTATTGTCATAACCGCAAGGAATTTTCAAATTACTAGTAGTACTTTCAGTCTAACGTCACGGTCGAAGTTTTTAAGATTCAACGGTCACGTTCCGATTTCAATTGCAACATGTGACTAGTACGAGTGCGTACGTACGAGTAACGGATTGTACACAGAATCTTTGTACTTCCTTCGTCGCGTTCTGTACGCTACTATTTTTTACGGTACCGTACGGTACGGTATGATCATGGCAAAACAGAGAACGCTGTTCGTTGTTTCTTTGCACGCGCACCGCAAGCCACGTTTTTGGAACTCAAATGAAAACGACTCCATGTGGTGTGGGATCTCTCGTACAAACAGTACTAGCATAGTGCAGTACAAGTCATTTTCGCTCTTGCAGAAGTCCCCTCACGCAACAAATGAATGAATCTATGTGTTATGTGTTGTGTACTGGCTCTTGCAGTACCAAGTACGGTACCATACAGTAATAATAATAGTACCATCACGTATGACACTTCCAGTACCGGGACTCATAGTTAATGGTTAAAAAGTGTCGAAGAAACGATTCATTCATAAGAAGGGGAAACCCTTCGTGTTCTGTCATTTCTTATTTCTTCAACGTCTCATCGTACGAACACTTTGTCGACAATTTTTAAACACAAGCTCGGTTGTTTTTTTTCACAAACAACAATCGGTCAATACGGTATCAGTTTCAATACCAATTGGCAAACACCACTGGCACAACAAAACAAGAGAGAGCAGAAACAACTGTATTTTCGAAGCAAACATGACGGATTTGCCCGAAGCGAACACGAGCAATGCTCCTTTCAAGGAGGACACCGAACAAACCCGCAAGAAATGCTGCGACCCGTACGATGGCAACCCCGACGCCGCTGGTTACTCGTACCTGGGAGCGGGAAGGGGCATGCTGGTGATGTCCAACATTTTCATGTCGCAGTCCCTCCTGTTCTTGGCAACGACTGCCGCCGGCTGCGAGCTGGGAAAGACATGCACCACCAGCGTGCACGGTTTTCTTCCTGCGAGCCTGATCACCAACATTGCCTCGATTTCTGCGCTCGCATCGTGTCTGTTCATGCCCATCTGCGGGGCCTTTGTCGACTTTACGCCCTACCGCAAGCCCATTGGGATTGCCACGGCGGCGGTGATGATTGCCGTTCAGGCCATTCAGATCTACACGGTGGAATCTACCTGGTTTCCAATGGCGATCATGCAGTGCGTCGCCATTGTCTTTTACCAGCTGCAGATTGTGTGCATCTACGCCTATCTGCCGGACATGGCAAGGGATGTGGGAGAATCTAAAATGAACGGATTCTCCAAGAACTTTCAGCAGGTACAGTTTGGATCGCAGGCAATTTTCTTGGTGGTGATTGCGGCGATTCGAATCAGTTTGAAGACGGACTTTGTGGTCACGGGGCAGATCAGCCAGGGGCTCAACACCTTTTCGAGCCTGATATTCTTCAGCGTGGGCTGGCTCAAGTACATGACCCCGAGGGAGGCCCTCCGGGTGCTCCCGGACGACCACGGCTGTCTGCTAACGGAAGGCTTTCGCGAGAACTGGAAGACGGCCAAGAGCATCCAGACGAACTACAAGCGAGGTTTGCGGTGGTTTTTCTATGCGGTCTGCTTCTCGGAAGCATGTGAGTGCCAAATCCGTAGTTGATTGTTTGGTGGGGATCATTGTGCGCGGAGCGCTTTGCCGGGTTGAGCCCAGGCACTGCGCAGAGCAGCGCAACCACGACCGGTCCCTCTCACTATTTTTTTTTTTTTTTTTTTGCGTTGCGTTGCGTTGCGAATCGAATCGATGTGATCCGATAAAAATCCCACCAACAGCTGCCGCGGCCATCACATCGGTATCCGTTGTCTACCTGTCAGACACACTGACGCTAGATTCGACCGAAACGGCGATATTTTACACCATCACTCTGATCGGAACTCTGCCCGGAAGCCAGTTCGGCCATTTGGTCACGACGAAGACGAACCCGAACACGTCCTACAAGCTGTCCATGGGGTACATCTTTGTGGCGTTGATGGTTGGGGCGCTGGTCCTCGAGCCCCTCCCGACGTGGTGTGCCTACATCTGGGCACTTTTTGTCGGGTGGGGACTGGGCTGGTACTATCCCGTCGAAAACCTCTTTTTTTCCATGACGCTGCCGAAGGGACGGGAGGCCGAATTTGCGGGATTTTTCGTCCTTTGCACGCAGATTCTGGCGATGATTCCACCGGCCATTTTCACGGTCATGCTGACCTACGAGGTGCCGCAAAAGTACGGAATCATCGCCACCTCGTCCTTTTTCGTAGTGGCGGTTTTGCTGCTGATGTGTACTGCCTCGTGGGACGAGATTGTCGAGGAGGCGAAGACCCCGATCGCAGTGGAACCGGCCACCGACGAGAAGGAGGGCGTGGAAGAACTCGAGGCCTAGGCTGGCTTGGTTTGGGGTTGAACGGGATCGGCTCCTTCATTATGGCATACAGTACATACACATTTGTTCATACCTATCACCTACCGAATAGAACGCACGCCAAAGCCTGTCGCCACCATCGATACAGCTGCATTCACAGCAATAGTGTCATTTGAAATCGAAAGCAAATAGACGACGATTCTCTTATTTGTAGCGGGTGTTAACGATTGTTCTTTTAGTTTAGTTTAGTTTTGTTGGTGGCACATCGGGGGCGATGTTGTGTTTGTTTTGGTTTTCCAATAGGCGCACGGCACGCACAACTCATAGTTTGGAAAGCTGTATTCGACAGCGACAGCAACCGCACGGTTCGGTGGACCATCGCCTTGCATGCAATGCAACAGAAGAGATCGATTCGATTCCATTCCATCCACTCCATCCGATTGGGGCGTTGCGTTGCCGGAACCGACCGCGCGATCGATCCCACCAAACCCCCCCCACGCATCCTCCCCAAACCAATGTCGCCGCGACCGGCCGAAGCGAAGGACTCGCGCAGCTTGCCAACGAACCAACGAACGAACCAACCAACCAGCCTGCTAGCTAGCCCGCCGGCACCGGGCGGGAGCACCGGCCCACTCGCGGGTGGGTTCGATCCTTCGCACCGTCGATTCCTTTCGTTTCGCTTCGTTTCGGTTCTTGGCAAAAGCATCGCTAGCTGTACCGTTCGCAGAACTCCTGGTGGTGGACCTTCATGGCCTCGACGGACCGCGCCATGTCGTCCTCCGGCGGCAAAAAGGTGGTCCGGAATCCGTACCGGCCGGCCTCCTGTCCAAAGCCGGAGGCCGGGACGACGCAGATCCCGGTCCGCTCCAGCAGCGAGAGGGCGTAGAGGGTGTCGGGGGTTTTCCCCTCCTCCCGGGCCCGGTCGATGGCCCCCTGGGGGAGCTCGACGGACGGGAAGCAGTACATGGAGCCCTGGGCCGGCTGGCAGGAAAACCCGGGGATGGCGTCGAGTCCCTCCTCGACGATCCTGGCGCGCTTCTTGAGGCTTTCGAAGATGGCGGTCTTTTCGGCCTCGTGGGACTCGTAGGACTCGTCGCCGGGGGAGGGCCCCCTGCACATGAGGGCCGTCATGCACTGGCCGTTGAGTCCGCTGCAGAGGCTGGCCGAGGCGAGCTTGTAGAGCTGGTCCTTGATGGTCTGGTCAAAGCCGGTGAGCTCCATGTAGCCCCCCCGGCGCCCGCACTCCCCAAAGACCCCCTTGCTGGTCGAGTGGAAGGAGGCGAGCTCGATGGCCTCGGTCCCGGGCTCGCTTCCGAGGAAACCAACGTCATAGGCGGCCCGCTTGCAGCTGTAGAACTCGGCGTCCTCGTCGTAGACGTTTTCCTGGTAGACCTCGTCGGCGAGGAGGACGAGGTTGTGCCTGGAGCAGAAGCGGACGACGTCCCGGACGGCCTCCCTGGACAGGACCGCCCCGGTGGGGTTGCCGGGGTTGATGAGGACAAAGCCGACGACGTTCGTCCCCTGTTCCCGGGCCTCCTTGAGGGAGCGTTCCAGCTCCTCGAGGTTGAGGTTCCATTTGTTTCGCTCGTCGAGGTAGTAGCCGACCCTCCGGCCGCCCAGGAGGTCGATCGTCGCGCTGTAGATCGGGTACTGCGGGGTGGGGATCATGATGCCGCTGCGGATCGGCCAAATTAAAAAAAAACAAACACACACACACACAAACAAAAAAAAGGAGATGCATTGCAAGACAAGACAGGACAAGCCAATCGAACCGTTGCGAACCGCATCATCCACGACACCGAGAACCCCACCGAAACGAAAACAAGAAAGGAAAAAGAGAAAAAAAAAGAGCGGTCAGATGAGACGACGGCAGCGTCCCGCACTCGATTCGAAGCAAGCAGTCCGCGGGGTTGTTTGTTCTTTTGCCGATTGGAAGGGCAGACTCGACGACCAGAGAACACACGGCGATTCGATTCGACTCGACTCGATTCGGCGCGATTCGACTCACCACGCCGGATCCGACACCAGGGCCGTCAGCAGGTGCGAGATGGCGGCGCTGGCCCCGTTGGCCAGAAAGACGTCCTCGATGTCCGTGGGGACCTCCTCCCCGTCCCGCTGTCTCAGAAAGGAGAGAACGTCCTCCCGGAAGCAGGCCGCCCCCTTGGAGTGGCTGTAGGCCCCGCTCCCGTGTCCCCCCAGGCCCCGTTTGATCTCCCTGGCCCGGGCGATCGCGTCGGCCGGAAAGAGCTCCTGCGCCTTGGGGTGGTCGATCCCCACCTCGTTTGGGAGGTCCACGAGGGCCGAGACCTGCCGGGGCCAGGTCAGCGGCTTCTGGCCGACCGACTGGGGGTTTCCGATGTTGGTGTAGACGATCTTGGAAAAGGGGTGCTTTTTTGTTGTTGTTGGTGTTTGTTTGCTTCCGTTTCGGAGCTCGCCCGCGATGCGGTCGGCGGCAATCACGACGGTCCCCCGGACGGCGTATTCCATCTTGAGCAGGTTCTGGTTCAGCGTCTCCTCGTTCAGCCGCTTCTTGGTGTTGGCGTTGGTGTTGCTATTGGTGTTGGGAGAGAGGGACGGATTCGTTGCCGCCCCGGAGGTGTCTGCCAGGCACAGCGACAGGAGCAGCACCAGGAGCAGCGGGTTTGGTTTCGTCTTCCGCCCCGCGGAAACGATCGCTGGTATCGTTTTTGTCATGGCTCTCCGTGTTCGTTTGGTACGGGCCATTGCGACCGGTGGAAGAGACACGGGTGTCATGGTTACAGTTGTGTGTGTGTGTGTGTGTGTGTGTGTGTGTGTGTGCGTGTATGTTGTTTGGTATTGTGTTGTGTTGTTTGGTATTGTGTCGTGTTGTGTTGTGTTGTGCGGGGTGTGGTGTGGTTTCGCGATCCTCGGAGAGTCGTTGGGACACCGAAATTTGAAAGGGCGAAAGGGAATGGGCCGATGCGACGCGATGCGATGCGTCGAGTGAGGGAAAAAAACGTGAGAAGAGAGAAGGGAACGCCGAACAGGAATGTTGTTGTCATCACTCATCATCACCCCACCTTCCACGAACCGAACGAAAGCAAGACAAGATTGTGAGGCAAGCGTCGGTGGACAACGCGCGGAGACCCGTGTCAATCGCGCGTTTCAGAAACAGTTCTCCGGCACCGGTGGACCAAGGGTAGTACAGCAGTATATATACAATATTAGAGTACCTTTGGTAGCTATATAGAATACGTACCCTGCTGCCGAGGGAAACTCTCTCTCAACGGCGACCGTCCCTGCGCGCAAGGATCATAGTATTAACGGTACGTACGGGTACGTACTCGTACGTACGCATCCAACAGTTAAGGGACTTGTTGCGTTGTGCCTCCATCCGGGCCTCCGCACAGAGACCTTCCGCGGCACGAGTCGGTCGACGAAACAAATAAAGAGCGGAAGCAGCATCGTATCGTATCGTATCGTAGGATGTGGCACGTGTACGCAATGTACAAGTACCGTAGCGTTCGTAGGCGCAGCACGTACGGGTGCCGAGCGGTACGGTAGGCTAGTACCGAGTATCTGCTGTTTCCGAGAAGGAAACAGAAACAGCTCGTTTCCGAGAGGAAAGAAGAAACAAAACCAAGCTCAGCAGCAACTCTTTTGCGGCACCCCGGAAAGACCAACTCTTGCCTTGCGGTAGTACCGTCTATCGGATTCCGACAGTGCCAGCTGCACTACAATACAACCACAGCTACTACAGCAAACCACCAGAGCATCGGCAACCGATCCAGAGCGGTCGAACAGCAACGGTTAACAGCCAGGACCTAAATCGAGGGAAGAAACAAATCCATCGACTACGGGAATTGCTAGTTAGTCTTCCGTGCCTGCTGCGTTGCACAAGAAAGATCCAAATCTGCTGATTTCCAGTGAGACAAGCAAAAGAACTTTGGCGAAACGCTAGAGTCAAGTCGAAATCGAACCCCAAATCGATTCAATTTAATTTAATTTAATTCCATTCCGTTCCATTCAATCGAAATCGAAATCGGGTCGATTGGCAGGATTAACCGAAATCAGAGACCAAAACCACCCGACAACCATCTTTGTGTTTTGTCCAGGAAAACAATACACCAGCAACACCGGCATTGACATCAACACTGACATCAACGTCAACAACAACATCAACATTGACATCACCACGAACTCGAACGCGAATCACACCCACCGCGATTACGGGTCGATCGGAAGGAGCAGCAACAACAACAGATCCACCATGCCGTCCTCCTCCTCCAATCGGCGCCACCGCCGCCGGAACTACACCAGCGTCGCCAGCGACGACACGATGGACGGATCCTCCTCGGACGACGGTGCCTTTCACGACGAGCCGCTGGGAACCACCGGCGGAACCGAACCCCATTCTTTCGAAGGCAGCGGCAGCGGCAGCGGCAACATTGAAGGCCAAGGCGGGGAAACCGATCCCTCCCCGGACATGGAGATCACCATCCTCGACTCGGCCCAGAAGCGATTCCCGATCCCCTGCTCGGCCAGATGGACGGTCGGAACCTTCAAGCGGAGGTCGGCCGGGATCCACAAGGTCGCCCCGGCCCAGCAGAGACTCATCTTTCGCGGAAAGATGCTCACCAACGACGACGAGACGCTCGGGGAGAACAAGCTCGACAGGGACGGACTCATCGTCCACCTCTTTCCCAAGCCGAGGGTGGTCGTGACGTCCAAGCCGAAGCGGTCGGCCCCGGGTGGGAAGGAAAGCGGCAACCACGGTGGCAACAACAACGGCAACAACAACGGCAACAACAACAACAACAGCAACAACGACGACGACGACGACGACTCGGGAATCGTCGACCACACCGGCGAGGCCTCGGGAGGCGCCCACGTCACGACCATCGTGATCGACCAGGAGGAGCAGGACCGCCGCGGGAGGATCCTCGTGCTGGGGAGCGTCGAGATTGCCGAGTCCCAGAACAACGTCAAGATGCTCAGCCTGCTGCTGGTCATGATCTGCGCCATGCGCCTCCTGGCCCTCTTTAGCATCGCCACGGGGGCCGCGGAGGAACCCATCGATCCCTACAACACCCACCAAAACGCAAACGCAAACGCCCTCCACAACCACACGGGGGACCACCCCCGCAACGGGATCTACCCCAGCGACTTTTCCGACGACGGGACCACCAACGCCGGSGCGTACTTCAACGACTACGACTACGACGAGGGCTTCGAGCCAAGGGTCTGGGAGACCCCGGACTACTTCGACCTGCTGGTCTCGGCCCTCGGCTTTTACGTCGGCTGCCTCGGCCTCAAGGCGACGGTGGAGAACACCTCCCTCCTGGCCACCGGCTACGCCCTCGGGACGATCCTGGTCGGGATCGGCTGGAACCTCTGGAACGTCTGGGAGTTTCTCCGCTTTTACGAGGAACAGAGCGAGTACGAGCGCGAGCGCGAGGAGGGSGCTCTGCACCACCACCACAACGCCACGGAACCCGGCGGCAGCGCAAACGCCAGCGCCACCGGGACGCCCCCCGACTTTTCCCACGGCGGATACAACGACGACGACGACGAAAAGGCCTACCCCCCGCCGCTGACCCGGGACGACTTTGTCACGGTCGCCTTTTTCACCATTCTCATGCCCCTGGTGGTCTGGTTTCTCTGCTGCGTCCGGGCCTTTGAGTTCCGGAGGCTCCTCCTGGAGGCCGAGGACGAGGCGGCCGAGCGGATCCGCAACGAGTACGTYKTCCGGGAGGACGGGACGAGCACTTCCAGCGAAGACTTAGACGACCAAGACCAAGACGGAGACGGACACGAAACCTACGAGTTTGGCGGGGAGCACCGGGACCGGGTGGCTCGTGCCATTGTCTAGGGCGGGATGCCGATCGACTCGAAACCGATCGAAACCCCCCCAAAAAAGGAAGGAAGAACGAAAGACGAAACAAACACACACGCACGGAGCAAAAAAATCGAATCGTTCCCTTGTCGTGCTGGTTGGTTGGTTGGTTGGTTGGTTGGTTGGTTGGTTGGTTGGTTGGTTGGTTGGTTGGTTGGTTGGTTGGTTGGCAAAGGAAACTACAGGAAATGGATTCTCTGCGATGCCGTGCGACGCCTCGATTCCGTACCGTCGACCCCTTTTTCACGCCAAACAGGAGCCGCCAGCGACAACTCGGCGTACAAACAGGCTGCTCGGCATGCAGAGCATTTCGCGTTGTGCATCGTGCATTGTTTCGATCATATAATAGTATAGTGTATGGTAGCATTGCATTGCATTGTATTCCATAGCATAGTCGTAAACTATAGTGTAGTGTGGGATTCCTCCGGCACACCAAAARAAACGAATCCAACGCAAGCGGGTTTGCGACCAGATAGCCTTTGCTCGGAGCCACTATTGTAGGCGGTGAGGGTCCGCTCTTTTTTCTAATGCGATAAATGGGCCAAAAGACCATTTCTCGGGCCGCGGCTCCATCGGAGGTTCCTCGTGGGGGACTTTYTTCGACGCCAAAACGTCCAAAAAGCCTTTTTCAAAATGTAGTCAGCTACGTTCTTACTCTGGTTCTAATCTTACTCGTTTTGCTRTTTCTCTAATTCGTAGCACAAATCTGATGCGGTGCTCTGCCGTACTCAATCGATCACGCGAAAAGCCGGTTGGTTCGTGTTGGCACTCGTTCGCAATGCAATGCCGTTTGTTCTAGGCCGAGGTTGCAGCACGTGGAAAATCGTGCTTTCCTCCTCTYTCGAAATGGTGTAGCTGCATCTCCTCGATGTGGGGAATTCGGAAAGCGGATCYCATTGACGCATGCATCCTTTTCCTASCCYTTTTGGTTYCGGAATCTGTTTCACCTCCGTATCAATCTGCGTCGTTGTGCTTGTTCCTTGTCTCCTCCTCGGCTCTCGCTCAGTGGATGTGCTCGTCCAGAAACCTCAGAAASCGGGCCGCGTACTCCTCCGGGGTCACGGCGCTGAYCGCATCCGTGTCCTGCCCGGCCAGGCCCTTGAGKCGKCGCTCCAGGACCTTCCTCGTCGACCACGGCTGGAGGAAATCGATGAGGCCGAGGTAGTAGATGGCCCGSTGGCGCTTGCGCTCGCCGTGCAGGACCGAGAGCTTTCCCCCGTAGACCCCGCAGTGGCCCGACCCGTAGTAGGGCATCGGGGCGGTRGCGATCGAGTCGAGGGTCCGCCGGAGGATCTTCCAGGACTTGCGCGCCACGTACACCGGGGGCGACGCCAGCAGGCGGACCGGCGTGGTGAGGGTGTGGAAGACCCACGAGTCCAGCTTGGGGGCCGTCCTTGCACCGGAAGGAAACGACGAGGACGACGACGACGACGCCGGCCCCTCCAGCCGCTCGAGGATCCTGTCCCGCTGCCGGATGGTCTGCACCACGTCCGGGGAGAGCTCCACCGCCGCAGCCCTTCCGCTGCCCGTGGTGGCGGAAGCAYCGTCCCGGTGGACGACGCCCACCAGGAGGCTGTAGTCCATCACCCGGCATTCCTTCAGGAAGTCGACGTCCTTTCGAAGCTGGGACAAGAGCGCCGCCTTGGCGGTGGCCCCGATCGTGAAGCCCGCGTGGTCCGCCTTGTCGTGGMTCTTTTGCTGGCGACCGGCGTTCGTTCGCTGCCACAGCCTCCGCAGCGGCCCGACACCGCCGACGAGAACGCGCCGGTTGGCCTCGACCATCAGGAGGCGCTGGTTCTCCTTCTCCAMMGCGTCGACCTCTCGCTTCAGGTCCAGGTCCTTGAGGACGGCCATGCTTCCCTTGGWKCGGAGTTCCTCCTGCGAGACCTCRCGGCCGACGGTGGACCCCTTGAGGTCGAATCGCTCCGAAATGAACTTGTTGGACTCGGCCGGGAAGACGGCGTTCATGACCACAAAGGTGTATTCCTTTTCGGTGGGAGCAAACGGGGACGGGGAACCGTCGTCGCTTGCTTCTCCRCCGGGCGACCCCGAGCGAAGAATGGTGGCCCCTCCGGCCTCTTCCACCTCGGTTTCTTCYTCCCGGATGGTGATCCCGTACATGCCGCAAAAGCGGGTCAGGAGGGAGGATTTCCCGTACCGGGCCATGTGCCGGTGGTACCTCGGCAGCATCTCCAGAAAGGTGTTCTTTTCCCGGTTCGGGATCGTCTTGATCAGGTAGGCCCCGTCGCTGGTGAAGAAAAAGACCCCGCCGGCCCGGGCGGCACCCTTCGAGTTGGACTGGAAGGAGACCAGGTCGCTGGCGACGGACCGCAGGTAGGACTCCTCCGAGATCCCAAAGACGGATCCCCGCAGGTGGGAAAAGACCTTTGGGCAGTAGGCGGTCAGCTGGGMGAGCCGCCTCCTCTTGGCTTGCTCCCCCGTTTCGACCCCGTAGAAGTAGTCCGCCTCGGTGGCCCGCCCGTAGTCCCACGTCTGGCCGCGGAAGCTCCGGCGGTACTCGGCGGGGTCGAASCCGGTGGTTTCTTCCCCCGACACTGGCAGCCAGCCCAGCAGTTTTCGACGGGACGAGGACACCGATCCCGAGACCGACGACAGGAGCGCGTCGGMTTTCGCCCGGATCCGGTCCGTCCGGGTAACGACCTTGCTGGCGAATGGGAGGATCGGTGGTGGCGCCTCGTCGGGTTCGTCGTCGTCGTCGTCGTCTTCCGATTCCGTCGCGGGACTGCTTCGACCCGTGGCCATCTCGTCGCTTGGGGTGGCGGAAAAGGTTTTTGGCTCGTACGGAGCGTATCCCAGCGAGTACCCCCTGCTTCCCTTCCGTCCCGGTCCTCCAAAGGGATCCTTCCGTTTTTGGATCCGGTCTTCCAGCTGCCTCTTTTTTTGTTCTTGCTCCAAGACGGAAAAGAGCCGCCCTACCAGGCCCTGCGTCGTTTGTTCTTTCTGTCGCGCCCTCGCGGACGGGACCCCGCCCGAAGCCGTCTCGATCGTCACCGGCCGGTCCGTGGCCACGTTCTCGTACCGGAAGGGCCTCCCTTCCCCGACASCGCCGCTCGTTCTGGCTGCCCCCAGCGAGACCTCGACGCAGTGCCTAAAGTTCTCGGCGAGCTCGTAGAGGGCCGGGTTCCCGCCGCTTGCCGAGACGACCGGCCCGTCCACCAGGCCGATCGCCCCGTGCCTCGAGATGTACGCGGCGCGGGATCCGGCCCGCAGGCTGGCAACGACCRCCGCGGCGATCGCAAAGCCGTGGAGCAAGGCGTGCAAAAAGACCATGGGGCTGTGGCTGTGCAAGGATTGGTTCGTTTTATGGCTTTGATTCGCTTCGCTTCGATTGAAGGACTGTCTCGGTCGGAAGGCTGGTTGGTGGCACGTTTGTTTCTTGAATCTGTTTGTATTGCTATTGCGTGGGATACGATCCGGGCACTATCCAATGGATCTTATCTTCGCAGCAGTGGTTGGAAATATTGTTGAAAATTGCTAGTGCATTACGGAGGCGTTGATTGAGGATTGAATTGGAAACCCTGGGAAGAAGTTGAGATTGGGATTTGGATTTTGGATTTTCCTAACCAGTTTCGTGTCACGTGTATGAACGTCACCGTCTGGCCTTCGTTACTTACTGCTCCGTATTGAGCATTGAGTATGTTCGTAGTACGGTAGAGCATGAACTATGAACATATGTTTGGGCAGGATCATATCCACACAGTATGGGTATAAACATATATTGGATAGGAACGTACCCATACCCATATGGGTATGAACATACGGTACATATTTGTTTGGAGTTTGCATAGGAACGTACTAGAACGTAGAACCTACGGCACCGTATGACTCTTACACTAATGGAGGGGGTGGAAATTTAATTTTTTTTGAAATCAAAAACAAACCCATGGAACGAAAGAAACAATACACAGACTCACTCACGCCAAACAACCAAACTGCTGTTCACCACCACTACGTTCCCTCCTGCCGCACGCACGGAACGAATACGAATACGAWCACGAACGGCAAGMAAGAGGGCGACGGCGAAAAAACAATGGCGACGACTCCCCAAGCAACAACGTCTACAACGGCATCGTCGATCCGGATCCTGCTGGTCTCGGACTTTGACCTGCGGTCGACCTCCCGGCTGGCGGAATCTCCCCTTTTGTCCTCGAGCAACCGAGCCGCTGTCCATCGGCGAGCGAAACGCAGAAACGGAGACGGCGGCCGACCGATCCATCCCCTCCTCGAACGCAGCGTCGATCTGTGCATCGCCGTGAACGCAAGCGCGGGCGCTACTCCAAGCCATCGCGGGGACACCGCGGCGGCTCCTTCCTACGACGGGGACGACGAGCTTCTGTCCTACTACAAAGGAAAAGAGCGGAGGGACCGGATTCTTTTTGCGGCGGGAAGGGACCGACAATCGCCCGCGCAAACGGGTGCGGATGCGGAGGCCAGCGGCAACAGCAACAGCAACAGCAACAGCAACAGCAACGCCTGCGACTACGCCGACAACGGAACCGTCGTTTTGCAGCTCCTCGGCCGGTCCCGGCCCGGCCTTTCGGGGGTTCTGGGTCCTCCCGGCGGCACCGAGGCCGAACCCGGCGACCGCTCGCCCTCCTTTCGGGACGTTCCGGTCCCGGTCCCTCTTCCTCCGCTGGCGCAGCCCGTCTTTCACGGCGAAGGAAACTGCAACGGCAATCGCGACGGGATTGGCGGCGATGCCACGCCCTTCCCGGGCAACGACGAAAACGACGGAAAATCCAGCAACAGCGAGAATTCKGGTAGAGAAATCGGGGACGGCCATCGTCCCGACAACAGCGACAGAAGCAACGACAGAAGCATCTGTCGCCACCACCGACGCTTTCCCCTACCGAGCGTGGGCGGGCCCGAAGAACTCGCCGCCCGGCTAGGACTGATCACCGCGTCCCTGGCACAGCTAGAATCGATCGTGTGCCGGGTGGCCTATCTGGTGGACGACATGGTGCTGGTCCACAATAACAGCGATCCGTCCCACCACGCGGCAAACATCAGCGACAACAACAGCAGCAGCAGCATTAGCGGCGATGGAAATGGCCATCAGCAGGGATACAAGTACCGGCGACTGACCTCCAATTCGCTCGACATTGCCAACCGCTGGCTCCCCCTTATCCACGGACTGGGAATTGGCGGAATGATCGGAGGAGAAAAGGGTGGTTCCCTCGAAAAGATCTTGCGACTGGCACACCCAGCCGTATGGGGAGGAACCAGYGATACCGGCAACAGTATCGGCAAYGGCATCGRCAATGGTGTCGGYAATGGTATCGGCAATGGTATCGGCAACAAAGAGCAAACCGCCACCAATGGTCAACGCTGCCACCCCCATCTCTTTCAGTCCATTGTCGTAAACACGGGCCAACCCGCTTCGCAGCCCGGCGTGCCGAACGAACCCCACRATCCGGAATCCGCATCCCCATCCTTTGTGGGGGACCACTGCTTGCTGGAAATCGCGGCCGGAGCTAGGGGACGCCGGCGAAGGGAAAACGGGGRCAGCACCGGGAAATCGCCGTCCGTGGTGTTTCCGGGGAGCCTGCGGGCCGACGGCGAGTTTTGTTTGATCGATCTGGTGCGGAGAACSAAGGACAACGACAACGGCGACAACGACAACATTGCCAGCGGTGCAACCACCCGGGAATTCCTCTGGGAAGTCGAGCGGACGCAGCATTTCYGCCTGGACTGACGGTAGTGCAGAGCAGTGAATATGCGTTGGTTCGGCCCGTCCTTGCGGGATCAATGGCGACCGAGTGCGTCACAATTTCGTTGTGACCTCCGGAGAAGCATCGCAATCGTTTTGTTTGCTTCCGACGGATAGAAAACTCTCAAAACAAGCAATCCTGGGGTTTTAGTGAATGAAAAGCCGGGCCCCTGAGATCATTATCGGAGTKCGTAGGTTGACTCTTTGGTYGCTAATGCCAATCGAACACCCGAAGAATTGGCTTTGCCGAGGTTTGTCTATGACAAATCAAGAAAACGCGAAAAGGAGAAAGAGGGATTCAATCCACTGGCCTGTGGGATTATGATGRAGAGTCAAGAGAATTTCTCGATCATCGATCGGTTGCTTGCTCTAGCCGATGGAAATTGGAGTGTTGCCTTGTTTTCCTCATTCGGCTTCGAGCTTTGGGATAACATATCTCCTTTCAGCAGCAGCAGCAGCAGCACAAGMGGTGGAGTGTGCAGCAGCTGCACAGCACAGAACTTCTACGCATTGGATATTTGTCGATTGGAATTTGATCTCTACTGTGCAAGGAAAGGACAAGGGCTTCTGTGCTTTGCTTTACATGCGCCACCGTTCCGCTTCGTGTATTTCCATGCATCCATCCTGTCCCTTTGGATCGCCCTGAAATCTTATTCAAATTATGAGAACTACAAACTAGTAGTAGCTTATTACCTGCGTTGCCATCAGTTCCGAAAGATCGTTTTCGCATGCTAGTTGTACTCTGCTCTTAAGTGTCGTATGACAACGTGGTTATAATAAAGAGTGAGGTTATTCAYTGGCTACTCGTGATCGTGGATTGTCCTCACAAGTAGAAGTATTTCTTGCTCACAGAGTTCTACAAGTAAGAATCACCAATCATTACCGTTCCAAAAAGCGTTTGACCATCATATGGTACCCGGGGTATGTACGTACTGTACCTTGGTGTTTCTGAAACGAACCATCTAGTTCGTGCGAAGTCCAGACGAGAGATCTAAACATCAAAAATCACACCACTAGCTAACTGATCATACGGACATGTGACGACGGGATGCGACGGTACGAGGATGTRCTCCTAGGTCAACATCGACGACGAAATAATAATGAAAGAATAATTATCAAGAAGGTGCTACGTTACTACATTGATCAGCGTCGGCAACARAAAGAATCACCGGTGGAAAGAAGAGAGAAACAGAGTTTGTTTGTGTGCGAGGGAGAGAGAGAGAGAGAGTACAGAAAATGATGAAACGAAAGTTAGTGACGACGATACTGAGACAGAAGGTTCTGCCTTTGTCTCGTCAGCTCTCTTCWACGAGAACTGTTTTTCCTCCCATTAATCGAATCCCCAMACATTTGAACGCGAACMGTTAYAAAGTTCTATCACTACAGCWACAACAACCCATGCGATTGTTCTCCACCGAGATGAGAGCGCAAACCGCCGCCGTTTCCGCCGCAAACGCAGCGGTGGCCGCAGAAGGCGCCGCGGCAAAGGCCGGAAACAGCAAGAAAGACAACAACAGCAACGTCTTTCTAGACCACCTCGGAAAGATATTTTTGATGGGAATCGCCTCCGTGATCGCGACACTCGTGCGCTCTTCGTACAACACGAGCAATCGGAACGAGATCCGCGATCGCATCGAGGATTTCTCTGCGATGGACCCGCAGGAACTCCAGGATTTTCGGGACGCCAATTCCGAGCTGACCATCGACGTTCTGAGGAAGCTGGTCTCCGTGTATTACCAAGAGTTTTCACCTATGGATACGGCTCCCGCTTCGTCATCCACTCTGGACGCAAGCGGTGGATCTCCTGTCCGTTCGTCCACGACCTACAAAGAATTCGTACGAAAGGTCCGAACTATTATGGCCTCGAGGTTTCCGGAACACGGGGAATCCTTGACGATTCAGATGGGGCATTTCCTGGATCGRTTGGTGGTCGATATCCTGCAGCAGYGGGCCGAGAAACAAGCCGATTCCACGGACGACACTGCCACCACTCTCGGAGCAACCCTCCCGGAGGAGGAGGAAGAGCTCCCGGTCGCCTTGTTTTGGGTGGCACTGGTGGCAGCCATGAACGGCTCCGTGACCGATCGGATCCGGATCCTCCACGAAATCATGCTCGCGGACCAGGGCGGGCAGGCACACGGCGCCGCCGCGGCTCCGGGCGTTCCGCTCTCCGCCGTCCGGGACACGGTGGGCTACCTGCAGGAAACCTGCCAGCTGCCCCCCGACACGCAGATCGTTCCCACCGGCCACAAATATCCCACGCAGCACTTCCAGCGGGCGGCCCCGATCGACCTGGTCCCGGAGGACCTCTGCACCGCCGAGAACACGGAGCGATCCAAAACCGCGGGGGGCGACGAAAAACCCGGCGAATCGATCGACCTGGTCGAGTTTGCGGCGATCCTGCGGACGAAATCGGTCTGCGCCTGGGGGGAGTGCTACATGCGGCTCAAACCGGACGCCAGCGAATTCGAGGAGGCCACGAGTCCCTCGGATTGAATCGGGCACCACGGAGCTGTTGTTCGTGAGTGACTTACGAATCGGACCAACGGAACGGCTTTTTGCCAACCAAGTAATCAATGAAACAATATGCGATCGCCTCAACTGGGTTTCCTATCAAAGGCACGGTACCCGGACCATAACTTACCCTAGGTTCTAACGAGAGGCTACAAAAGATACCGAAAATAGCAGGTAGAAGCGTAAGTTTTCATTCAGATGCACTAACTTGTTACAAATAACAATTAAAGATTTTTTGGTGTTACTGCCACTTATATTGTAGCCTAAATCACAAAAATGCAATACTGGTGAAAACAGMACACGTGATGTATGGAGTAAAACGATAAACCTGGTATACACGGATCGATGACTGATCAAAATCGAATCACACCAAATCGAAAAAACTACAGGTGCAAGTTTATCGATCCGCCATTTCTTTAGATTCGATTCAAATCAAAGTATAGCCAATTCAATTCCAAGCGCAGTTTTGTTTCCGAGAAACGCAGTTCATACCAGATTTGCTGACTCGTGCTTGTTCCGGTCGGCGAGGGGAACAATTTCATAGGCGGCCATAATATCGAGTTCCCTACTTTCACCCTTGTCAYTGAAAGCACCGCTACCGCTTTTCCAGGCGGGGAAGATCTTTGATGTAATGATCCTCGAACCGTTAAACTCGTGGTTTCTTAGACGACTGGCGTTCTCTTCGAGCTTGGTGCCGAGGTGAAAGACGGGATTCAATTTGCAAATCTTTTTCTTCACAACTTCGATCTTTGGGCGACGGCAGGCGACGAGCAGGTGGGTTGGCGGATGGTACATGATGTACGTTGACTTGTACTTKCACCACGACTTACTGCGATGAATGAACTTGCAGCGGCATTCTGCGATGATAGGGTTGGTGAATCGGGCTGCCTGGGCAGGGGTGAGRTTGTTCTCGGTGGCAAAGGCCTTTGGGTTGAGAATTGATGCGAGGTTAATGGTTGGCTCATGCGCAACAATCTTGTAGCCTTTGGGAGCCATKGATTCGTCCAATGCGGTATGATGCGGTCGTTTGGCATGGTGGAAGGAATAGGGCTTGGCGTCAGCTTCGAAATCGAGAACATAGTCAATGTCCCCTTTTGAGGCTTGGAGGCACCACATAGCAAATGCCAGACTTTTGTACGCCGGGTGGTAATATTCCTCAATACGGGGTGGTCGACACACTGTGTCACCGGGAAGGTACTTCTTGTAGAAAGAGACAAATGTGTCTGTGGAGCAAATAGGTGTTGTTTTGCCGAAGAATGTCGGTAGAATGGCTTCGAGCGTGCGGGGGAGCTCGGTATATATGTAAGTAGGGCTAGAAAATGTACGCTTGCGTTTTCGGGCAATGCTTTCGGTTTCGCTGTTTTCTGTAGTGATGGTGTTTCTTGCGACATCTATTGCGTCGCTTGATGAGACGTTTGTTGGAACAACTGTCATGGTGCCGGAAGCTTCATTGTTATCGTTCTTGCTTGAGGAAGGCGAGGCAACTACCAGTCGAAGAAACGCACAGAAAAAACGAGCCTTGGCTTCATGCATGGCGAGATTGTTCATGATCAGGGAGTCCCAGGATCTTTCGAGGGAATTGATGATGGTCACGGAGTCAGTAGACCAGTCCACGGCAAGGATTTGGGCATTGAGCACGGGGCTAAGACAAATRCGATCCGGGGCATTCTGAAGAATTTCGAAGCACTGGGCAAAAACGTCATGTTTGGAAAGGTCCATGGTGGCTGGGGTGGTTTGGAATGGAAATCGGTGTTTCTTCCTATGTCACTGTTKCTTTTTGGTTTGCTGCTAATACTKTTGTGTCGGCAGAGGAGCTCACTTTGACGCATTGGTTAGTGGATACTTTTTTGGATGGTGGAGAGTAATTTTTGTGGATCCAACTGAGTTCGTTGGATCTTTGAAATTAGGAGAGGAAAATCTTGAAAATGCAGGTGTAGCATATGACGAGTTAAGAATATATAGCCCCTGCTAATGACAGGTAAGCAGCTGCACTGTCAACCCGTTCGTTCTTCCGCATCAGAAATTTTCCTACTTCCGATTTCCGATAGGGTTTRTTCAGGGTACGAGATGTGRTACGATGGATACGTACATACCTAGGTAAATGTACCGTAGCGACCGTACTGTAACCCAAGAAGAAATCCGTAGTACTATTTACACTACCCCCTACCAGTACTTGTAGAGTCTTGCATCACAACATACTAGTAGTAACAAACAAAACGGTAGGGTACGGTACGGTACCAATCGTCGATCCCTGCGCTGCGTCGAAACACGAAACAACGAACACAAGTACGATACTGGTCCAAACATCCTCAATTATTTTCACTAGAGATTTTCACTAGAGACAACTCGGCACAAGAAAACACAACGCGGAATCCGACGCACAGCATGGACTTTTCCCATCCCCCGAAGGTCGCTTCGTCGATCCCCCWCAGCCAGCCCGTGGTGTCGATGGACTACCACGCGGACGGGAACCACCTCTTCGTCGCCAGCGAAATGGATTCCAAGGTCACGATCGTCGACGCCGTACGCACCGGGAAACCCCTGGACAACGGGCACAACCGCGGCCAGTCCTTTCGGTGCGATCGGGAGGGGGTTTCCTGTCTTTCCGCCACGTGAGTAGGAATTTTCGAARCAGGTTGCATCGTGTAATGTGCTTTTGCTCCCTTTGGAACGGAACGAATCAATTCGAGCTGGTCTTTTTCTCAATTACCTTAATTTTCTTTTCCCTACCTCAAACAAAAATGTTGTTCGGAACCCTATTGCTTCGCAATGACACGTCATTCAACATTCTACACGAATATTGAATTGAATCGAATCGAATGGGCTTGACTTCTTTTCGAAATGACGTTTTGTCGTATGGTATTATAAATGAACATTCCAMCAAATGCTTTTTTATGACGGGGGCATTGCACATTGCAACTACACGACAACTCTGGCTCTTTGCGACACGCTTSTCTTCTGCGATGGTACCCAACCCGCAATCCCACAACGCAAATACAAAATACACTCACAACAAACATACCGTCGGAAAAACGACCATAAACGAACGAACCAAATAATCAATGAATGAACAATCGAATCAATAAATCATATTACTAACCCCGCAACAGTCACAACGATTACTGTGTGCTAACGGCGGGAAACAAAGAAACAACGGTGCAGTACTGGAGCCTATACGACAACAAGATATTGCGGAAGTTCCGTGGACACACCTCGACCATTCACGAGATCAACATTTGCCCCTCGGAGGACATGTTCCTGACGTCCAGCAAAGACAAGACGGTCCGGCTATGGAACCTCCAGCAGTCCGGCTGCGTGGCCAAGCTCGACCTGCCCTCCTCGAGCGTCAGCGCCGCCGGKAATCCACGCGTGGTCTTTGATTCGACCGGCATGGTGTTTACGATTTTGGCGGAGATGGCCGACGGGGAGGGCCACTACCTCCACCTATACGACGCCAGAAACTACCAGGGGGGTGCCTTTTCCGAGCTCAAGCTCACCACCAAGAGCGTCCAGGAGGCGATGCAGACGCACCGGGTGCCGCAGCCTYCGCTTCGGCCCGGTGCCGCCCTCGCGCTCAACAAGATCGACTTCAACGCCAGCGGCAACCGCATCCTGGTCCAGTCCGAGGAGGGCCTCGCCCTGGTCCTCGACGGGTACGACGGAACCCTCCAGCGGGTCTTTTCCTCTACCGTCGGAAGGGGGACCGTCTCGTGCTTTTGCCCCGACGACAAGTCCGTCCTGCTGGGAAACGACACCGGGACCATCGACGTCTTTGACCTCCAGAGCGGCTCGCTCGTCACGAAGCTCGAGGGTGGGCACAACGGCCCGAACACGACCCCGAAATCCCCGGTCAGGGCCCTGGCCTGCAATCCAAGATACGCGCAAATCGCCTCGGGCGGGAACTCCAACACGAGGTGCGTCGCGGCGACTCTCGGTTTTTTCGTTGTTCGCACCCGTTTTTGTGGTTCGTGACTTTCGTCGATGGGAAGAATGGGTTCTTGTTCTTGTTGTCGTTCCTTACACCGATTTCGTTCTATTTGTCCTTCCAATTCTCCCTCCCATCTCTGATCCAATTGCTTGTCGACCCAGCCTATGGATATGGTAAGATTGGCGGTGCCGGCTTCCGTTATTTCATCTTTAGATTGTACACTGGGGTACTGTATAATAGAGACGATTGGTTTGACTGCTAGGCAATGAATTCTTGTCAAGTTTAGTTAATGCGATGTTGTGCAACTGAAACCCAACGCACTTTGTAGAACATATGGGTTGTCAAAATCTTGTTTGTTTTTGTTCAAGTGATGCACCATAAGTTTCAGTTAGCTTTGTATGCGTTACAAGCTTTTGCTAGACCCCCGAAAATTTCGCATGGTCTCTTTTTGCCAGAATGCAATGCGATGTCGTATTGGGCATCCATGAGTCTGATACCAGTGYAGATATGATTCGCATCCTAATCCGTCCGCAGAGCACGTCGAATTTGTATAGGAATTGGGTATGACCCAAATAACAAATTTAAATATACTATCCACTAATTCCAGCAGGTTACTCTAGTTGACTCAGCACCCAACTCAAAAGAATTCTGAGCAAACCATACATTCACTTCTAGACAAAACCGGTGGAAGAGTTGTGATCTTCATTACAAGCAAAGCTCTCTAACCACTTTGACATTTGCTGATTCCGGAAAAGCAATTAGATTGTAATAGTCCTTTCGTAATTCAGTTTTATACTAAACAGCAAGAACATCCTGTGTTATAGCTACCAAAATCACAAGAAAAGACAGGAAGCCCTCTGCACCCCGACAAAGGATGATGTAGGTAGACCTGGTATTTTTGYAAGAACTCAGTCAATGTCCGAGGGTATTTTTCAACTTGCTTATTTGTTGCAAAATATTTCATAATATATAATAATGTGAATGATTTTGCTGTTTTTGATGCATCATCAAGAGGAAGCTTAAATTACCATACAAATCTAATACTACTACAACTTCTAATACCAACAAATACTAGTAGGAATCATGCAGCATGTAGTTCTACTAGTTATGGTGTCAAGAAAGCACATGTTGTATTTGGACTCACCATTAGATATCAATTAGTATATGCAGGATCCAATGAGTCTCTCTGTTAGTACTGCTTTACTTCCAATYGATTCACTTATTGGTTGTGATAGTGGTACTACTAGTAGTAGTACCACTACATGCCACGTACCATCAAGCTCTTTCTTTGTGAAAACAAATATAATCTTGCAAAGCAGTATGCATGTTTTTACATTTCTTCATTACATGCTAACAAGTGTAGCCAACAACATAAATCTGACTTTGTCTACTTTTTTCATGGTATTCGGTTTATTCGCAGTAGAACTGAATATTCAACATTATGAATAATTGCTAGAAATTCTTTCTTTTCCGTCATGTAGTGGAGACGAGGGTGATGCGGGAGAAARGAATTATTTGCCAAACAGAAACGTGATCCTATATTGGGCGAACCAAGATCAGCATTCCATCAGCCGRTGTTACACTCCCACCAACCACCAAAGCATCTCAAATCTGGGGCAGATCATGGTGTTACAACAGTTTTAAACATTGCTACTCTGGATCGTCGGGTGTTCTTGCTGAGAACCATCACGGCGGTTGCTTGCGTTCCTCTTTCTTCGACAGTCGACCCTACTGTCGATATTGCTTTTCGAATAGTTCGGTTGTGTGGGTATCCATGGGGTCGGATGCGAAGCCGGAACCATCGCGGACACATTGAAGATGATCTTTTTCGGTGAGAAGACAACAGGTGTCAGTTCTTTCTATCGTCCCGAAGATCATGCCTCCCCATCCCAGAGCACGCGAGCGTTAAGGCAATAGTAATACGTACCGAGCATCGGAAGCAGGAATCTTCTTCTTCTCCCCACCACAACCAATCAACGACCGTTGTCTCGGAAGCCAGAATTATTTCGGAACGATCGTTAAGCAATATATTTTTCTCTCGACGTCATCTGTTCTTCTTTTACGGACTAAAAGAACGAATCAATCAAAAATRTCAAAAGCCCCTCTCTCCTSTTCGATGTCCCRTCGCGATGGATTGAYTCGTACCTGTGTTCTGAACGGTACCAGGTATCACAAGGTACACGTAGTTCAATTGGTGTCACGAATGTGGTCGCGAACGGGATTCGCTTCGAACACCGTTTCGAACTTAGGGATAGGGCAAGCGCGGGAGAAAAAGAAAAAAATGAGGAACACCGAAGCTCCCGAAAATTCTCAAACCCAAGCATCCAATCACACTCCTGGCCCGTGCCCGAGCGGTGCGCTGCTGGCACGCTGATTGGCACAGAGAAAAAAGACGTTAAACGGCTACGAAAACATACACGTCTCCTGGTTCAAAAATCTACTGTACGAGCAAAGCACTCGTAACTACGTACCAGATACTGTACCGTGTTCTACTGCKGCACAAATGTACTTCAATGCCTTCCGTAGGGCACACGGTACCCTACGGTGATGTCATCCCTGCGACACAGATCATGCTTCCAAAAGAACAAAGAGCAAACAATTCTTCCGGACGAATTGCATTCGTRTTGATGACACTGATTTCCAAACTCAACGCGTTTCGYACTCGTAGCAGTCTACAATTGTTACKAGCAAGCACTACAAAAKACTTGCTTTCTCTATCGAATCCAGCGGGCTGATTCCACAAAACAAGGAACCTGCRGCACAAGTTCTTTTTCTTGCCATCGACAGACATCTACCACCTTCTGCMAAGGAAAGCAGCGGTCCATACCGAACGTTTCTCGAGMATTCTATCTTCTCGACCGCGACGRCATTGACACCTCTGCCTTTTGCATCGAAAGGAAASAAAGAAACGAAAAGAAAAGAAAAAAGGTCATTGCATTCCACGAAAAGTCCCTCGCGTGACGMAAGCGRAACCAAAGACAGAACCTGCATCGCAACCGCCRTCGCCAAAACCAAAACCAACGCCAAAGAACACAAAAAACCTTACCGCCATGGACAGCCCGAACCTATCGATCCGCATCCGGCGGCACGAATCCCTCCCGTGCCACAGCACGGTGGCGTGTGGAGCGGCCCAAAAGCAGGCCGGCACGAGCCGGATCCGGCGCCACCGCTCGATACAGACGACGCGAATGACAAACGGAACCACCCGGGCGGCGGGCCTCTCCCACTGTTCAGCCACCCAAGCARCCGTGCCCTCCTTCCGAATCGGGCGGAGGCTCGGAGCCACCAAGAACAACCCCTACGTGGGTTCCTTCCGGCACTCTCCCCCCACGAGCCTCCGGTCGATGGAGGCCTCCTCGCTGCCCTCGTTCTCCTCGCGAAACCGCGGCTCGTCATCGTCGCCGGTCTTTCAAACACCGTCGCTGGCATCGATGGTATCGCCCTGCGCGGTTCCCACCATGAAGACCTCACCCTACGTGGGATGGTTTCGCCACGCACCRCCCTCCTTTTCTTCCTACCGCTGCGTCCACCYCACCACTAGCCACAGCGGCGGCGGCAGGAACCACACCGGCCAAAGAAGAACCCTTGCGAGAGCCCCCCCGGTGCCAAGCCACGGAGGACTCAACCCCGACTCGCTCCGGAAACTCGGCCGTTGGCACAAGCAGCTCACCTCGCTGCTGATGGGGATGGAGCCCAAGACGCTGCTTTCGGACACGAACGCAAGTGCGAGTGCGAATGCGAATTCAAATGTCGAACCTCCCCCGTTCCTCTTGGAGAACATCGTAAACGGACGCCTCCCGGGAGGSAGCGACGAAGGCGACAGACACCAAAAGAGCAGCACACCCGTCCGTCCCACCACCGGCAACCACACCGTTGGAAACCTTCGGCAACCCCACGACGAGAGCAGGATCACCATCCTGCCCGGATACAACGCGGTTCTCTCCCGTTTGACCTCCTGGCTCTTGTTTCCGCTCCTCTTTGCCGACGGCGAATACGACTACGACGACTACGTTCTCAAGARCGGCGGCCCTGTAGCCACCAYCGGGCTCAAGTTTCTCGAGGACCGGTCGGTCCAGATCGACTCGGACGACGACGACGAGAGCGACAGCGGCAGTGGATCGGACGACGAAAACTGCGACGAAACCGGCGACGACGATTCGTCTTCGGTCGACAGCTGCGACTACAATCCCTCCACGGGAGGTGGAAGCGGAAGCACCGGCATGGATCCGGAGACCGAGCGGGAGTTCTTTGCCGAGGCCAACGTGTCCCTCTCGGAGATCGCCGAGGCCTACTACGCCCACCGGCTCCTCGAGAAACAAAAGAAGAACCCCCACCGCAAGGGTCGCTTCCGGAGCGACAGCGAGGCCAGCGAGGCATCGGCCGGCCTCTGCCCGGCGACCAGCGAGGGGGACGACGAGGGCATTGCGCAGCGGCTGGACTACGAGATCACCCAGATGGACATTGCCCGGATGACCCGAAACGCCTCCCGGCACCTGGACGTGGACTCCATCCTGCGGCTCCCCACGATATCCTACCGGAAGAAGCGGAGGCCGGTTCCCCCGAGAACGCCAACACCGCTTGCGGAGGGCCCGGAGCAAAGCTACCACCACGTGTGCACCCCGATCCACGAGGAAACCAGGGCCGCTCGTCACACCAGCAGCGGCACGGAGGACGGGTGGAGCTTTCTCATGGTCTCGGGGGTCCGGTCGGCGGCGGCGGAAGGCCCAAGCGGCGACCTAACGACCATTGCCGACGACGACCGCTCCCTTTCGTCGTCGTCGTCCTCCTCCTCGGGATGCACCTCCGGCGGAAGCGGCGACGACGCCTGCGTCATCTGCCTCGAGGCCTTCAAGGAGGGCGACCGGCTCCGGGTCCTCCCCTGCGACCACTCCTTCCACGTGGGCTGCATCGACCGGTGGCTCTCGGGGACGCACTCCCACAACGAGTGCTTTACGGCGGGGTGCCCGACCTGCAAGAAGCGGCCCAAGTGCACCCCCGTTCTTGCGCGGGCCGGGGACCCCRAGAAAGCGAACGACAAGGGCAGCAGCAACAGCGAGCGAGAAACCAGCGACGGCGAGACTGACGTGTCGGGGTCCCTCCCGTCCTGGGCCTTTGCGAACCTCGGCAGCGTCATGGCCATGTCTTCGGGGGACGTGGTGTCCGGCTACTAGCTTGCTGGTTTGCCGACGAACTTACGATGGACGGACTCACGGAGCAATCTGCCTGCCTACCTACAAACAAGCCAAGCCAAGCCAAGCTACGAACCGACAAGCGAGCGGGGTTTGGGTCCGGATAAGGAATGCAAGAGCGGACAAAAGCACATCCGTACTACTATTCATATTCCTAATAATTTTACATTTTTGTCTGTTGAACATAATCCTATCCGTGCGTTGCCTGTTTCGCGGTCAGTGTTTTTCATAGGAGAGGTCTGCGCATGCTAGCAATTTTGTGTCGACGTCGTTCCATCCGCCGTTGCTCGGCTTCTCCGAGCAACACTACACACTCCGCGTTCACCATTCGTATAGGCAGCAAACATCTAGCATTCAAGTTTTTGTGCTTCYAGTATAGCACAACCATACTACACGCAGCAACAGCGATTGCGGATTCGCTTGGATTCTGGCGATGCCATGCCACGCAACACTGGCTTTCGAGGTGTAGCARCAATGCACACTCAACGACTGTCAAAGCGAAGCGGGACTGGGTCTGCTTTTCTCTGCGAACAATCAGCCGTCGTGGTTCGACCGACCTTGGGGAAAATTTCCGATCGGTTTCTCGAGCAACGAAACGGGAAGCCATCGCCTTCCTTTCGTCCCCTCGCGAGCAAAGCCTCGCCCTTTTTCGGTGGTCTTTGGCAGGCASGGCGCCAACCGCTTCTTGCGGTCGTCACTCCTCTCTGTCCGCAAAGGCCAGGTCCCTCAGCAAGCCGAACCTCGACGAGACGYTGTGCAGGGCGGAAGCGTCGGAGGTGGGGATCCAGATCGTCAGGGCGTACCGGTCCCKGGCGCGTCGGTCGGWCTCGGTCTCGCCGGTGCAGGGTGCCGTCGGGAGGACCTCGTGGGGGATCTCGTCGCTCCAAAAGGCCAGGAGTCGCCCCCCCGAGGGCGGGAGGTCGACGGCCCGGAGGCCCCCGCGTTCGCTCTTGCTCTCSCTGTTGTCGCTGCCCTCGCTTTTGYTGTCGCACCGGGCCAGGTGSAGGCGGATGGCCCCGCCGTCGCTGCCCGTATCGTGGTCCGGGTTGAGGTAGAGGATGCAGGTGAGCTTGCGCGTGTCCCCGGCCGAAAGTCCCTGGGGGTTGTCCACGTGCAGGGGGTAGCCTTGGCTCCCGGCCTCCGTCACGGCCAGCTTGGCGTTGAAGGTTTCGCTCGAGAGGGACGGAAGAGCGCACGGACTCGGGCTTGCCTCGCAAGCTTCCCAGCGCGCGTTGAGGGCCAACGGGAGCGTCTTGAGCAGGACGCTCATGCCCGTGACGAGGTCGGTGGCGGAATGGTAGTCCCCCCCGTCGGGCTCGCAGGCGTAGACCCCCTCCTTGTCGAAGCGCTCCCTCGCCTTGCCGGTGGCCCCATCGATGGTTTCCGAGTAGGACTGCTCGAAGCGCCCGTGCTCGAAGCGCAGGGAGGCCGACTGCTCCCGGAGGCGCCGGACCACGGGCTCGGGGAGGACGTTTGTGGTGGTGTAGTAGCCGTCCGCGGAGAGGCCTGCCGCCATGTCCCCGGCCAGGGAGAGGAGGTCCGACGCAAAGGCCTCCGGGTCCAGGGGTTCCGTGGCGTTTCCGGGAGTGTTGTTCTCGTTTGTGGTGCCGAAGCACCGCCTCCCGTGGAGGAACGGCCGGGGGGATGGACCGCAGAGTCTGTTCTGGAAGGCAGGCTTCGTTCCGGTGCATCGAGTCTTTCCTTCCGCGGTGCCCGTTGCGCGACAGAGCAAGAGTTGCCCCCCGGCCGGGACCGAATTCCACCGCAACGGARMGCTAGAAACGAGGGAGGACGCCCTCCGGCAGCCCCCACGGATCATGGCTTTGGAAACGATCGCGGGTGGCGTCTCTCGGTGTGTGTATGCGTGTGTGTGTGTGTGTGTGTGTGTGTGTTCTCGTCCCCTATGCAGGCAGGCAGGTGGATTGATTCTCTTCCTCGCCGATCTCGTTCCGTACTCTGGGGTTGACCGAAACAAGCGGTGCGTCCACTCGGAGCAAAGGTTGGTTTCTAGCCACAGACGCTGCAACGCAGTGGAGAATCCTATTTGTATKATATGGTACGGTATCAGTGGAATGCCGTCACGCCACGAGCTCGATTCCGAGTTTGGTTTTGATGGCAGATAGTACCGGTAGGAAGTATGGCTACATACAGGGAGCGAGTATGTACGGTACCATACTCGTATTACCGTACCTTACTGTAGCCATGAAGTAAATCCTTCGACCCGGTCCTGTTCGATTTTTCGTAAAATCATCGCTGACCCCAAAAGGGGGCGTTGGGAAATCGGTTTTGGTTCGTGTACGAATGGAGAAAGGTGCGATCCGAAATCCGAAGGCTGGTTACGAGTACGACTACGAGTACGAGTACGAACTGTGGCCGATATCCAAGATCCGACCCAGGATGTCATGCGACACGTTGACGGTTTGTCTCTTGCCTTGTGCATTTTTTCTGCTTGTCGTTTGGTGGGTTTGGGACGGGAATGGGTTCTAGCAGCATTCGGTTCCGTCGTTCCCCGGACCTACGGTATGCAAAAGGGTAGTACAGCAATGGAACTAGACGGAATACTACGGAATACAGTACGTACTAGGTAATTAACTATGACACTCGGGTCGTGCTTGCAGTCCGCTGCGTGGGTTGTGTTTGTTTCGATCGGTGGTCCTTTCCGGATTGCTTGCGTGCTGGATGCTTGTGTGCGTTCTCTCTGGATTGCTTGCGTGCGCTGGCCGTTTTGCTCGCCGGATCGCATCGCATCGCATCGCATCGCCTTGCCTTCTCGCGGTCGTTGCCCCTCCTTTTCGTCGCGTCGCGTCGCGTCACTTACTTCAAGAGGTTGATGTAGTCGCCCTTGGCCTCCTCCTCCCGGAGCTTGTACCCCAGGACGAGCTGCCAGAGGGCCAGCTGCTGTAGGGCCGACCCGGGGAGCTCCATCTCCTTGTCCCTGTCGGCCCCGCTTGCGCCGCTTCCGCTGTTGCCTTTGTTGTTGTCCCCGCCCTCCAGGACAAAGTCGACGAGCTTCTTCATCGTGTCGACGATCTCCGGCTTGATGCCCTCCGTGAGGGACCGGACGTCCCCCTTCCGGGAGGCAATGTAGCCGGCAATGTCGACCATCTCGTCGGCCCCGGAGGGGTTGGAGGGGAGGTTGAGGCCCGCCATGGGGTCTCCCGCGCCTCCGGCGTTGTTGCTGCTGCTGCTGCCCTGCTYGTCGCGGAGGGCCAGCTTGAGCTTGCGGGCCTCCTCCCGGAGGCTGTCCATGTATTCCTTGGCGTCGACCTCCACGACCTTGCCGTCGTCCATCTCGATCTCGATGCTTCCCGAGATGGTTTCGGAGAGCCCGCCGGAAGAGGCGTCGTCGTCGTCGGTGTCGTCGTCGTCGCCGTCGCCATCGCCGTAGGCCCCGGGCTCGCCGGCCTCCATGCCGGCCAGCAGCCGGTCGGCAAAGTCGTCTTTCTTGCTCCGGGCCCTCGCGGCGGTGGCCGTGGTGGTGAGTCCCTTCTCGAACTCCTCCCAGCTGATCCTCCCGTCCTCGTTCGTGTCGAAGAACTCCAGAAAGGCCTTGACCTCAAAGGCCGGGACGTCCTCGTCCCTTCCCCCGTAGGCCTCCTTGAAGAGCTCCTGGATCTCCGAGGCCTCGATGTAGCCCGATCGGTCCCGGTCGATCCGGTYGAAGGCCTCCTTGTAGTCCTCGAKGGTGAGCTGGGAGGCGTTTCCCTTGAGCTTCATCAGCTGCTTGAGGGCCAGGACGTACTCGGCGTTTCGGAACATGTATCCTGGGAGGCAAAGAGTCGAGCGGAGAAGAGGTGATTGTGTGAGGGATGGAGCAAGTGGTTAGATTCAACCCAAGACAACCCCAAAGGTTGTTGTTGCTGACGATGATGCTATTGATGGTRCTATTGCTGCTCGACTGCTCGACTGCTCGACCATCTACTCACCCGTCATTTGCAGCTGGAAGCAGAGGGAGCCGATCTTTTCCCCGCTGGCCCGGACCAGGACGTCGACCCCCATGGCCGGGTTCGACAGGCCCCCCAGCAGGGAGGTGACGGCCCCGCTCATGGCCTGGACGACCTGCGGATCGGCGGTCTTGACGAACCTCCCGATGAGCTCGCTGGGGGAGTCCGCCGACATTCTCCGGAAGAGGGCCTGGGAGGGGTCCCCCCCCCTGCCCGACTCGAGGTCGTCCACCCGGGTCCGGAGGGCCCCCAGGGCGCCGCCCCAGTCCATCCCGGTGGTCATGGCCGTTGTGGATACGGACGCGGATCCGGTGGTGGTGGAGAGCGARGAGCTCGAAAGGGAGGAGGAGCCCGGGTCGTCCCCAAACTCGTAGGGAACCATTCCGACGTAGGGATCGTCCTCGGGKTCCTCYTCCTCCTCTTCTTCTTCTTCTTCGTCGTCGTTGCTTTCGCTTCCAAAGGCGTCSGTCCCGCCGCCCTCCACGTCGATAAAGTCGTCGTCGATCAGGTCGTCGTCAAAGTCGCCAAAGCCGAAGTCGTCCAAGTCGTCGTCGTCGGACATGAAGGCCCTTGTTTTGCTGGCCCCGGGAAACGAACACGAACGGGAACGAAAGGGCTGCACCGCTCGAGGAGACCCGTGGTGCCGCACAAAGGCGTGCGTGCTCTTCCGCTTGCGGGATCTCGAAGCGCAAAAGGCCGAGACGCCCTTCGCTTGTGCGGGTGTTTGTCCTCCGTGAAGAGCTGCCCTCCCCGCGTATGCGTATGCGTATGCGTATGCGTCCGCCGACCTGTTCGTGAACGACGCCAGGGCGACCAGGAGAAGCATCGATGCTTGGATGGAGATTGCCGGTGTTCGTGTTTCCATCCTTCCGTGTTCCTTTTGTTGCTTGCTTGTTGCTTGCTTGTGTCTGTTTCTTTTGTCGCGTGGAAGTGCAGTGCTGCTGGTGTCACCGGCTCGCTGTCCGAAACGCCGACGGCCCTCTGTTTGCCGATTCCGATCCCGCTGTCGATGCCGTGCCTTCGCTTCCGTTGCTGCTGCGGACTCGTTGTGGTATAAGTGCTTGTTTGGAAAGCTTTGTTTGGACKGTGTGGGTTGGAAAGGTTTCGGTTTTCTCGAAGTTGCGATTCGGATTGCCTCGGATGGACAACAAACACACGATTGCACCGTTCAAAACTAGGAGCAAGAAACTCGTACCGTACGACGCGGGTATGGGTTGTACCGTACGGTACGGTACGGTGATTCCCTGTAGCAGTGGCAGACGGGAAACAATCCAAGCAAGAGAAGAGAAAAGAAGAAAAACATTCCTCGACACCTTTCCGCAATTCAACAACAGAAAACACGTACTTTAGGTACCAGGTACAAGGTACAGTACAGTACATTAAGTCGTCCTCCGCGTGGAAAAAGGGAAGAAACCAAAAACTCGAAATTCGAAATTGTTCTGCATCTACTACCGTACCGTAGGTACGAACATATCCATGACAAACATATGTTCATACCTGTTATAGATATGAATATGAACATAGGTACCTATCACATYCGGCCGAGTGACGATTTCGACGATTTGTCAAAAGGAACAACAAATGACGTTCAACGCAGACAACACACGCAAGAAAAGGCTTGCCAACAAGGCCAACCAAAACCAAGACGACGAAAACTACAACAACRACGAAAACAACGACGATGATGCGAGCGAGGGCRGCGTCCCTGGTGGCCCTGCCGATGGCCCTCGTTGCGAGGCGGGGCAGAACACAAGGACTCGCCGCGATGGCGACAGCGGCCTTTTGCGTGTTTCCGGGATGCGGTGGTGGCGGTGGTTCCTCCCCTTGGGTTGCGGCACAAGTGCACCCACCGTCCCCCGGTGAATTCCGCGGATTGCGCTACCATTCGTTCCACCCGCTGCCACCGATGGGGCCGAGGGGCGGCGGGGAGGCACGCGGGAACACACCAACGACAACCACACAAAGAACAACATCGTCATCGTCATCATCAACAACAACAACAACAACATCAACAACAAGAACAACAACGGCGTCCCTGTCGGAGGTCCTCCGAAGACTGGCGGCGCGCTTGGACGAGCCGGTTCCCCTCAGRGCAAACCCCGCGGCACCTTCTGCTTCTGCTGCTGCTGCTGCTGCCACAGCGGGAAACGCCGCCGACCCCCGGCGGCTGGCGGAACTCGCCGACGAGCTGGCCAGGGGCTATCCTTCGCTGCCCCCGCTCCGGCCGATCGGAGARAACGWAAAGAAAGACGGCGAAAACAGCCACCACGGCCCCCCTCTCTGCGAGCGGGGCTCGGTGCTGGACATTCTGGCACGCGAGTGCCGCCCGGGGGAGGAGGCCGTCCTGGCCGCCGCGGAAGACTACTGCGGGGGCAACAACCACCACAACAACAACCACAACCACAACACCCGCAAGAGCCATTCCGGAAGGAGGGACCGCCTCGAACGCCTCCGGGGGGCCACCACGCCTTCCCACGAAAGGATCCTCGACCTCGTTATGAAGCGCAACGCCCTCTCCGGGATGGCCTTTCTGGTCGCCCTCCGGGAAGACCTCCTCACGACGATCCGGTCCCTGAAGCGCCGCAAGAACCAGAGGGCCTCTTCGTCTTTTGCCTTTGAGCTGGGGTGCTACGAGGACCTCGACGCCTCCTTCCGAAGGRTCCTGGAGCGGTGGTTCGCCCCGGGCCTGCTGGTCCACGAGCGGATCACCTACGAATCGACCCCCGCTTCGGTCGTCGAGGTTGTGGCCCGGACCGAGGCCGTCCACCCGTTCAAGGGCCTCCCCGACCTCCGGGAGCGACTGTCGGAATCCAGCCCCAAGCGCGCCTTTGGCCTCTTCCACCCGCTCCTCCAAGGGAGGCCGCTGGCGGTGGTCCACTGCGCGCTGCTGCCCGGCGGGAGAAACGGAGGCGGCGACGACGACGACGAACCGATCCACGGCCTGCCGGTCTGCATGGAGGACGTGTTGCGGGGGAGGGGCCCTGCCTCCGCCGGCCGTCCGTTCGAGGGTTCTTCGAACGAACGCGGGGACGACCCGGGGGTGGCCGCCTTTTACTCCATCAGCAACTGCGTCGGGGGGCTGGCGGGGGTCGGCCTGGGGGAATACCTCCTCAAGGAAACCGTGGGGGCCCTCAAGGACGAGTTCCCCTCTCTGGAGGTCTTTGCGACACTCTCCCCCGTCCCGGGCTTTCGGAAATGGATCGGCGTCCAGTGCCTTCTCAAGCAGCAGCAACAGCAACAACAGCAACAACAACAGCATTCGGGGGACGATCTGATCTCCCAYGACAACCGCAGGTCCTTGCTGGAATGCGGCCTCGTCTCTTCCCTAGACCCCTTTCCGTGGGGAGAGTTYCTGGACACCCTCGAGCAGCTCGATGCCGCGGACCTGCGAGAGGAGGCCGATCCAAACGCCAAAGAAAAGGCCAAACACAAGACAAGAACAACAACAACAACGACGACGACGACGACGACGAACACCGGAGGCACCCTCTCGAAACCCCAGCGCCTCGTCCTCCGAACCGTCCTCCTGGGGCTCCTGGCGCGGTACCTGGCGCTGGAGAAGCACCGGGGCAAGCCCCTGGACAGGGTCTGCGGCTTCCACGTCGGGAACGGGGCCGAGCTCCATTCCATCCGGTACGGGGCCGACCTCTCGGGGGCCGGCCTCTCCAAGAGCTATTGCCTCATGGTCAACTACCTGTACGACCCCGACCCGGACCGTTTGGCGGAGCGCCAGCGGGCCTTTGAGTCCCCACAGCGGACGGTCCCGGTCGGCAAGGGCGTGCGGCGGTGGCTGGAAGGGTGAGTGAGTGAGTCTGGCGGGTGACGTGCGGTGCGGTGCGGCAGTCCCGGGTCCGTGCGATTGCACCGGAAGCAAGCGTCCACGGGGAAACCGATACAGTACACCCACAGATGTTACCAAGAGACAACAAACAAACAAACAAACAAACACAATCGACCGGCCTCTTGGCACGACGGGATTGCCCTGGCTGTTAACCGAGCCGGGTCTCCCTTGCACCGATCCGTTCGGGATGTGTTGCGTTGCATTGCGTTGCGTTGCATTGCTATCGATTCGACTTTTTCACCGGGAGTTGTGGGTTTCACCGGCCGGCGACGACCGATGCATGGTTTCTGTTTCTACGGACGGATAAGCTGTGTTGCCTCCCCCTGTTCGGCGAGGGAAGGAACTAGTTCGTGGAGGCCATCGATCGAGAGACTCCACCCGATGATTTCGGTCGACCAAGCAAGAGTGGTGTGTTTTATTTTCCTCGCGGCACARCCACTCTCCCTGGTTGTCCCACGAGTCGAAAGAAGACACCGTGCGTAGGGTACAAGARCACGTTTTTGTTTGGGACCGGTACCCATGCACCTGGCGCGCCAAAACCCGGGACGGGTTCGGGATTTGAGAATTGCGTCTCCACGGCACTCACGGAACCATGCTGCATCCTCGACGAATTTTGTGAAGCTTGCGAATTGCTAATTCGATACAATAYGTACGTAAGGAAGGAAGAAGAACATTCGGTTCTACAGCACGGTTTGGCTGGATCATCTCGTTCAATAGCCCTGRTTCGTTGTTACCGTTCCGTACGGAAACTTCAGTTCTTTAAGTCCACACACAGCTATTTGGGAACTGCATGAAGTGGAACAAACTTTTGTTTTTGTTCTATTGCATCTGTATTGCTTCTATTGAATTCGGTACCGTATTTAATGTCCGCGATGGAACCATAAGTTGTACTGACGGAATGGATCTTTCGGGGACGGACTTAACAAAAAAACATCCTAAATAAAATTCGGAATGCCGGCTGCTGCGCTTGACTTTCTCGAGAATACGATTTACGTAGCGCACCGTACCTTATGCTAGTGTAGTGCAGTTTGAAATGGAGGCTGTGAGCGAAATACATATGTAAAAATGAGCCTTGCGAGTAAGTGCSTACGTACGTACAGTACTCGTACCACTTGTACAAGTAATCATTTTTGAGATCCATTCCGGAACACATGCTGTACCGAAAGAAGCAGGATTGGTTCTGAGCAACCAGAATACAGTACAGTAGTTGCAAACTACCTCAGTAGATTTTGTACTATGTTCTACTGTGCTAAGGATGGCATCAGTAAAATAACGATGAGAACCAATTTCTGACAATCTGCTCACAATCACTTGTTATGATATTCGTAGTAAAGGCAGATCCGAGAATTCTCCCTGCTTGCACAAAAATGATGTCGACAAACGTTCCTACAAAACWAGTTGCAACTCGGCCGATCCCTTCCAAGAGAAAACGAGTTAAAGATTCTGCCTCGCAATCCAAAGAAGCACATACGAACAGCAAGACAAACATGGGACTCAGTCGATCCACAATCATCCTCGGTCTAGTCCTTCTAGTCGCTACGATCAAAGCGTTCCAAGGCCTGCACTACATCTTTGAACTCCAGAAGAAGCAGATCGAAGAATTGTCCCTGGCCGCAGCGCTTGTTGCTCCGGAGACGAAACCTTGTCCGATCGTCGCTCCCCCGTCCCAGGGATTTCCCAAGTGTGCGATCAACCTGTACGGCCTGCCGCGAAACTTTGGGAACTACGTTTTGCCCTCGCTGCTGAAGCACGTCGTGAAACCGAACGCCCAATACGGCTGCGATTATTTCTTACACTTTTTTGACGTAAAAGCGGAGGCCGCGGGGCGGTCGGGGCAAGGGGGGGACATCAATTCCACCGAGGTGTTTCTCCTTCGCGACGCCGTGCATAAGCTCCATAAAGATTTKGACATGCCATTGGTCGGCGTCTATTTCTCTTTCGATGTCGAGGAATCCTTTCGAGAGGCCCGGAAGGACCATCTCTATGAAGTCGTGGAGCGCTACAAGGCTGAAAACAAAACCAATAACCCCTACGTACCCGAGAGATTCCCGGAACAAACCATGGTAAACATTCTCAAAATGTGGCACTCCCAGACCAGCGTCTTCGAACTCATGATCGAGCACGGCAAAACTATGAACCAACAGGATCAGGAGCCTTACTACGAGAGGGTMGCCATGCTCCGGTCCGACGTGGTCTTCATGTCTCCGATCGATATCTTTCGCGTCACGAAGGTCCCCGTACCGAGGCTAGACACAACGAACACCAAGCCACAAGATGCGAGAACCCCGACGTCCGTCTCCGTAAGGACGCCCCAGCCAGCATCCAAGTCTGTTCTGGAACGCTGGGATAAGTTCCAAAACAGACCGGGGCACTACAGCATGAAGTTTCCMAAACCTAAGCTCCTGCCAAAGGACTACGACTCCTGCGAGAAACCGGGCAGTTGCTACCACGACTTTGGTGGCACCGGGAATGCTTCCGCCGCCGTGATCCCGGGCTTTGCCTCCTGGCCCATCAACGACCGTTTCATCGCGGGGCCCTATCACGCGGTCAAGGTCTGGGCTACCGAGCGATGGAACCTATACAAAGACCACGTCAGACTGGTCCTGCCAAAGGTCGGATGGACGCAGTACGGCATCCACGACGAGAAACTGCTGGCCTTGACGGTCGTCCCGGAGATCCGGTCGGTGCCCGCGGTGGGTGCCCCGGGCACCGTGGACGTGGTGGTGGACGACTCGCTTTATTTTTTGCGGGTCCGGGCCGACGGGACCATGCTGGTGTACGATTCTCCGTACGTCTTTGATAAGAACAAGCAGCGCGTGCTGGAAACCACCCTGGGTCGCCCCTGCAACAAGCCGTACACGAAATTAGGCGTGTCGAAACCCATGTCCTATCTGATCGAATGCCCTGTTCTGTAGGAAGATCCGATGTGGGGCAGGCGAATGCAATCGAATGCAACGTGATTCTGTGGGAATTAATATTTCTGATGTGATGAAACGTGATGCGACCTGATGCGATGCGGCACGCAAGTTTTCGAGTCACAGAGCCATGTGCTGTGCTGTGTTGTGTCGTGTCGTGTCGTGTTGCTGGGACCATTCCTGTGTTTCGCAACGAATAGTCGATGATCCTATGCAATTCAATGAGGTGCGATGCGATGCGGCACGCAAGACGAACCAAAACAAAAGAAAAGAATGGGAAAGCATATGCTGTACAGAAATAAACCGTTTGCATTTCGCAATCGATCTGCTATTTAAATTGAAACAATGTATTATGTAGGTCTTTTTTGTCAAAAAAATCTTATTCTCAATGCTTGTGTTAAAAGCGCGTCCAAGGGTTCTCTTTTTGGACTTTTGTTGTTCCCGTCAATGATTCGAAGAGTGCTACTAGATTGATACAATTCCGACGTTGTCGTCACCATTTCAAGTTTATCTCGATAGGTTTGTTTCTCGTCGAGAACATTCCCAAATACAGAACAAATCGAAGACGGAAAAAAATATTGCTTCCCGTTCACTTGTTCCTAATGGGATACTTTGATCCCTGACGGCCGGRCAGGTGTCAGWGTGTGTTCGAAGTGATAKGTGTCACGGGGTATTCTGAAGAAAAATAGTACAGTGGCAATCTACGTGATTYAGTACTGGGTTCTCTTTTGTTGTCGAGATTTTCTGGAAGAAAATCGCRGAAAAGTACTCTAGTCGAAAGCGTTAGGGCTCAGCGACTGGAGGAAAGGAAGTAGTAAATCAATCTACTCGAGTGTTGACTAATGATGGTTGATGAGTTGAGGTAAGTTGTTGCTCATAACCTGTGAAATGTTGATAGGCTCCTTAGTGTACCAGGTACGAGTACTTATGGGTTTACAATAAAGAGTGAGGTTATTCACTAGCTACTCGGGATTGTATTTCTGTGGTGTTTAATGTTTCACAGTTCCCTCAAGTGGGTGCTATGGGAAAATTGGTAAGATTCGATTGATTCGATTCATAGCCTTGTATTCATAGCCTTGTACAGTTTCGTTCGTCAAGGATTGGCATGACTTCAAACGTTCAGAGGTACGTACGTCGTTACTGTACGATCTCTATTTTTTCATACCGTAGGCCCTAGGCTTAAACAAGACGTAAAATGCGTGTACTGCTTGCCTGCTTGTGTGTGCCGTATCGGTACCTCTAGTCTCGTCGAATGCCTCCGATGAAACTGAGAAAAACACCGAAAACTGAAAAATCGATGCAGGTTATATTGCATCTCACGATTACTGCTACGTACTCGTACCCGACTCGCGTGCTTCCAATACACTCTCGTGGCGTGCTAAGATCATAATCGAACAGGACCTCCCACCGCGAGAATGGCCAAAACGATCGTTGCCGCCTTCCTCGCCGTGCTCGTTGCCGCGGGGATCGCTTCCCCCGCCGTTGCCTCCCCGGACGTCGGGAACGAGAAGGCAGGGGCCATCATCAACGGGGTGCARTCCGAACCGGGCCGGTTTCCGTATTACGTCAGGGTCGCTAGGAACTGCGGCGGYGTGCTCATAGCGCCCGACATTGTCCTCACCGCGGCCCACTGYAAGGAGATAGAAGGCAAGAGGATGCACGTCGGTGCCTACAAACGGAACAGCACCGAATTCGGCGCCCAGTTCCGCAAATGCGAGCGACGGATCGGCCACCCGAGCTGGGATCCAGCCACCACACAAAACGACTACGCTCTCTGCAAGCTCAACGARCCCGTGATCATCGACGACTCCTTTGTCAAGCTGTCGCTGAACGAGGAACGGGACGACGCCATCCCGGCCGTCGGGACCAAACTCATCGCCATGGGACTCGGACACATCGGCCGGGAAAACAAAACCATCCCGAACCTGCTCCGCAACGTCACCTTTGGCAGGGAAAGCAGCGAGGCCTGCGAGGCCTTTTGGGAAAAACAWCCGGATGCGAACAGAACCTACAACCGCAGCGTCATGCTCTGCGTGGAGTACGACCCCACCACCGATCGGTCGACCTGCTACGGTGACTCGGGCGGCCCCCTCGTGGAACGGAAGCCCTACCGCGGGGGAGGCAACGACGGTGCCGTGTTCGTGGACACCTTGTTTGGCATCACGTCCTTTGGCAAGGAAAACTGCACCAACGGGGTGTTCTCCCGGGTCGGCGTGGCGATGGACTGGATCCGATCCGCCGCGTGCGACACCCTGAACAGCACCGGCGGTTCGTCCCTTTGCGAACCAACCGATCTCCCGGCTCCCAAAGGGTCGAAAAAGACCAAGAAACAACCACCGCGCAAGAGCCCGAAAACGACAAAGGCTCCGAAACACAAGTAACTAGCCAATGGGGAAAACAGCGAATCGTGCAGCTTCGGAAATGCCATTTGCCAAAAGAATGGCTTTGTAGGTGCAGCTGCTKTGAAAGTTTGGGGTATGTTTGTAGTAAAAAGCAGTATTTCTAAAGTAAATGTTTCRTTCATGCTTCGGCAGTCATACCGACATCGGACAATCGAAGAAAGCGGTCCTTTCGGCAAGAAACCGCTGAGTGTTGTGWGCRCAAAAYCTGCTCTGTTGTTGCATTCGAATGGATGGGAAGACATTTGATTCTTTCGTTCCTATATCGCTTGAMACGCTCCCTYATTGGTCTTTCTTGTCCGTAGCAGCGGCGGCTGCCGCCGCAACGGCCTCGTYGTCCACGTGGTGAAATCCGTCCTCGCTCACGGCTTTTTTCATGCCGCCGCCGACTCCCGGAATGTCCTCCTCACCGACAATTTTTTCCATAATGTCCGCCGAATTTTCCGACAGACGGCTRGTTACCTGCGTCCAATCGACGGACTTGCGGTGGTATAGCTCCCCAAAGGCCGGGCCGACCTTCTTGACAAATGCCCGCAAGTCCCTTCGGAGATCTCGCCGCTGCTTGGGCAAGGCCCTTAGTCGTTTTCGGGTAGAAGGAAGGAGCCTCAGGAGATAGGGCTTGAGCTCTTTCCCGTCGACCATTCCAGCCTCGCTCGATATGATTGCAGTGTAGGAAAACACGGGGAAACACATAAAGCACAGTGTGATAGTCTGGCCATCGAAATTGGTAAAGAAGACCATGATTAGGCCGTAAACTAGCCAGAGAAGGGGGACTACCACAATGCAGAACGTCAGTTTTTCCGTCAGCATGACGTCGTACCCGTGAATCTTTACTTTGGATGCCGCCAGGGCCTTTTTACGACGCCGCTCGGCATAAATGTCGGCCATGATTCTTACGGGGAGGTTAAGGAAGAGACTGGGCAAGGCGCTCAGGGCGGTTAGGACCAGCAGGTGTGCGATCCGGTAGACGATTCGAATATCGGTTCGGATGTTTTCCGTTTGTTCGTCGTCGTTATTTTCTCTGTCAAGTCCGGGAACCTGGTAATCCCGCAGTCCMAGCTCCTTGAGTTCTCTCCTGTACGCCTTGATTCGCTCTTGCAGATCAATCCAACTGGAAAATGAAGAGACAACCAAAAATAAGATAAGTTAAACACCGAAYCTGTTTGATGAGCAAGAAAGGTTTGCAATTGCTTGCAAAMAGATTGATCTGACCATTTGTCCGAATCTTGTCGTGTTGAAACATCACCAAGAACTTACGCTTTCGGCTTGTCTTCGAGCCCGCTGTACAAGATCTTGTAGCCGACGGCAAACCGGCGGAGAAGATCCTGCTTCTCCTGGCCGTCGATTGCCTCCGAGTTGCGCTGGTAGAGCCGGCGTGCCGTATGGACCACCTGTAGGGATTCGTAGTCGGGCATGGAGACAATGACCGAGCGCATCGAATCTTTGATGCGGTTCAGCAAGTCGTTGCAGACAGCCCGCTTGGCCGCACCGCCCTTTTGATAATCCGCGAGGGACCCGGGTTTGATGAAGACCGGGTCTCCGTACTCCACGAGGCACTTGCCCCTCCAGCGATGGGTACGGAAGTAGTTCAGGCCGACGGGGACAATGGGGACCGAAATCCCGTCTCGTTCCAGGGCCGAATATGCAATAAGAGCAACACCAACCTTGAGGGGGAGGAGGTCGGTCCGGTCGTGGCTCCCACCCTCGGGGAAAATTCCAAAGACACCCCCCCTGGCCAGCCGGTCCAAAACTTTTTCGAACATRGAATGCAGATCGACGTGTTTCAAAATGTCGTAGGTTATATTCTCCGAGTTCTCGGAGGTCGAGAAGATGGTAGCCATGTCGGCCTCGGAAACAGCGGTGACATCTACGATACAGGAAGTATCGTCAAGGATTTTCAGGACCTTGACCCCCGTGGCGGTTCCCATCGGACGAAGCTTGTCCCCCACCCGAAACGCCGAAGTGGTAAATCCATCTCTTCCGTGGATCGTGAGCTTTTTCAACGAGCCATCGTTGCTGTCATCTCCCTCACCTGTCTCGCCGTCGCTGTTGTTTTTGTCATTGTCGTTTTCGTTTTCGTCTACCACGACACCCGAATCGTCTCCATCCGAGGAGGGAGACGACGGTGCCGGCTTATCGACCGCGGCGCATTCCAAAAATCGAATGSTTCCCAGCCCGCGGATCGCCGCGTCCTGCGCCCGCTTGACTGGTACCACATCGAGCGCACTGGCAATGTCTCCAATGATTGGCCGGTTGAAGGACTTTTCGGCCATTAGRTAGGAAACCTTGAAGTTTTCGTTCCCGCAGGTTCCCAGCACCACCATGGCGTCCACGAACTGGTTTGCATGGTTGATGACCAGGATCATGGGCCCGTGGCGGGGGAGTCGGTCTTTCCCCAGCACCTCAATATCACGGAAGAAGATGGAAAGCATGGAATTGATGAAAATCTTGGCACCAAAGTACAACAATTCCTTGAATTCCGAGATCCACACGTAGATCATTGCCAGAAACGCCGTCAGCGAAAGCTGACGGGGGGTGATGTTGGGAAAGACATGAAGGAACAATTTCACGGGATTGAGCTCGTCAACGGCTAGAACGATAACTCCTAGAAGCAGCCCCAAGACCGTTCGGGTGAAGGCGATGTTCGAAATGTTCTTATCGACGGAACTGATGGTGCAATTTTTAATACGTAGTGAAATGGAAAGATTTCGATCATTGAATAAGGAACGAGGCACCAAACAATAATGCAGATTCAAATGCGCGACCAGATCAACAAAGCAATTCAAACTTACGACATGGTTGATTATATCCGAGTTACGAGTACTATTGAATAGATAATCAGTCAGAGTGTATTTTGTTTCGTCGTGTTGTGCTGTATTGCGCTGCCCTGCGTTGTGCTTCGTTGTGCTGTATTCTGTTTCAAGTTCAATCACAACGAGGGCTCCGATCTACTGCCTCGATACTTTCTGACGAGACGGCGTTGATTGTGTGTTTTTCTCAGTGCAATCTTAAAACACCCCCCGTACTCTTTTCAATAGTTCTACAAAGTTGTCGCTGATCAAATCTGACCCGATATGTTCCAATCTAATCGAAACCAATCCAATGAGATTGATTCCAATTGTTTCGATTAGCAACCCGCGATATCGTTTCTCTTGCAATTGATCAGAATCAGACTGATCAGATGTGCTATGTCTGTTGTTGTGGTTTTCTTCGCTATTTCGTTGCGATAAGACGGCATTGCTGGGTTGCAATGGTCCGTGAATTCGATACTGTCTGAAAACGCTAATCTGCATAATACGAATGAAAATCCATTCGACGCGAACTGCGAGGAGAATGAAATGGAAGGCTTTTTAATTTTGAAGCTGGCCCCTGGTTGGTACTTTACGGTAGTATTTGGTACATCAAGGACGGGCAACTTTTTTGTTTTGATGTCTGTCTGCGCAACAGCGCAAATTGAAGTTGTTCGACGGCGAACAGGTGGTGACAAAACTGCTGCACGTGCAGATCATACCCGCATGGTACGTATGGTTCAGTACTGTCAATATTAGAGTCGATCGAGTCGATTATCAATTATCTGAGTACCGTATCTCATGTCATAAGACATGAGATGTTACTTCTATGTGACAAGTGAAACTACTATTACCATTCTGAAGTAATCAAGTACGATACTGTTCTGTGCCAGATACAATAATGATCATAGTTTCTATCGGAACTCGGTAGTCTATTTTTATTTTATTTTGAAACGATACGTACCACGCGAACCTCATGCATTAAAATCTGCTATTGAACATTACAGCATTCGTCAATTTCGTATGCATTGATTCGATTGCCTCTGCAACAGCGCTACAACATAGAACCGTGCATTAAAATCTGCTATTGCACATTACAGCAWTCGTCAATTTCGTATGCATTGATTCGATTGCCTCTGCAACAGCGCTACAACATAGAACCATGGAGCGATGGTTGGATGGCACGTGTTTCGGTTGTTTTGCGCTACAAAAAATTCTTTTGCAGCCTGTGGATTCCATAGTTTCGGCACAGATCATAGCTTGCCTCCAGCAGGGGAAGGGCGCTCCCGGATGCGCTCTCCGTGAACTTCTCGGCCACCTCGAGAGACCGGGCCCGGACCGCAATCGAGTTGGTCTTTTTGGAGAAAAAGACAAACATCTTCGACAGGTCGGCGCAGGCCTGCTGGGTCCCCATGGAAGGCTTGCCGTCGCCCGTCCCCTCCARCAGAGCAGGAAGGAGCGACATGACCGCCGCGACGGCTAGGTCACCCGCCTTGATGTCCCAGTGATAGGTTTCGGAGTAGGACGATGGCAATTCACCGCCTCCCGTGCCGTGACTGCTCCCGTGACTGCTGCCACCGCTGTTCTTGTTGTTGTCTTCCCCCCAGTGGAGGGCGATCGCGTTGATGATCTTGAACAGGAGGCAAACGGAAGTGGGCAGAGCCATGACCTTTGTGTGGACGCAGGACGATCCGGAAGACGACGACGACGGAGAGGATCCATTGGCCTTTGCCGGTGCCGGATCCTTTGCCGCCGCGGCAGCGGTTGCCGGGGTAAGGGTGTTCTTGTTGATTTTTGACTCGGATGTTTGCAGGTTCGAGGCCGCCTCGCTGTAGTCCGCTTTCGCCGCGGCCTTTGCTAGGGCCGCGTAGGCGCTGACCGCGGTCCGCAGCAAAAAGTCGCTGTCGGTATAGGTAGCCTTTTTTCCGACCCGCTCGAACGTGTTGGCCATGAGCTCCGAGACGGCCCCGGCCGCAATTACCCCGTGGTCCGGAAACTCCTTCCAGTCCAACCCCAAAAAGGCACAGATCATGGTGGCCTTGAGGTTCTGGATCCCGCTTCTGTGATTGCTTCCRTGTGCGAGCTCGTGATTTCCGTTGTGGTTTCGATTGTTGTTGCCATCGGAAGCATCTTTGCTTTCTTCCTGGACGCTACCATCGGTATAGCTTCGTATATAGTGATCGTCGGAGTTGTTCATGATCTTCGTGGCAACCTCGAGGGCCCCCTTGAGCGAGGAAGGAGGGCAGACTTCGGCAAGGTGCAGCAAAAAATACAGGGARAAGTCCTCGAGGGAATTCGTCGCCCACTGGCTGCTGGGGGTCTTGGCCTTCCTGAGGTTGTCCACTGCGACCCGAGGAATTCCCGTCAGCCCAATCAACAGGGCGTTTTCCGGATACCGAGAGAGGTTGGCAAGCAGCCCAAAAGCCCAGCGAAAATCAGACGTCTCCCGCTCGGCACTRCAGACAAGGTCCTGAAGGATCCGGAGGAGAGATCTAGGGTTTTCGAGGGGCGTCAGCTTCTGTGGCTTGCTGCTCACGGCGGCTGCGGCCCGCTTCAGAACGGTGGTAGTGGTGGCGAGGGCCTTCTTCCCGGCCTTGGCGGCCTTGTTCGGACCACTGCCGCTGTTGTTGYTCTGGCCGTTGCCTTCTGCATTGCTTGCCGCTGGTGAGACCGGTTCCGGTTTGGGCGGCGCCTGGGCTATGTTCAGGCGCCTCGGGGGTGAGAACTGGCCGATGACGGCAAGCGCCGGTTCGTAGAAGGAGAGGTTCATGAGCACGATGCAGCAGAGGTGAGCCTCYTTTTTTCCCRAGGCGATCACCTTGCAGAGGTTTTCGATCAGACGTTTCGCACCCCTCTCCATGACCATGACGCGCTTGTTGTCGTGTGGGATGGATAGATTGTTGAGCGTGAGGCAGACGAAGTGCAGCTTATGGTCGACCCGCGGTTGTTTTTTCCGTTTCTGCTGCTTCTGGTTCACAGTGGAAATGGAGTCGGAGCAGGATTGTGGGTTGGGTGACGAAAGACGATCTTCTGCATCAGCGGGCGCTGCCGKTGGGATCGGTGCCGCTGTCTGTTCGTCGCCGGTCGGAGTAATGGGCTTTGAAACTTCGTCCTGCGTCGAATCTATGTGATTATTCTCTCCTTCCGRATCACCACCTGTGGTTTTGTTGTCGGCTGCGTCGGTCTCTACGCTCTCACCGTCAGCGGCATCGTCTTTGATTTCGGGCTGCTGCGGTACTTCGGCCGAAACTTCCGGAGCTGCAGATGTTCCTCCTGTTTCCTCGGACAAAGACAGTGGATCCACCGACACATTCGATGCCGATGCCGATGCCGAAGCGCTCGTGATGCTGTTACCGTTGTATGCCTCGTGAAAATAAATGGGCTCGTGCAACAGGCACTGCGTCAGGGGCCCGATGACGTCGTACTGGCCGCTCGCCACCATCGGCTCGCGGTTGGCCTTGTGCCCCACGTCGCAGAGCTCGTACAGCGTCTTCGCCGCCTGGATGGCCTTTTCCTGGGCCTCTCGGAGGGACGTCGATTTCGAGTTCTGCATCGTCAATTCACGGGTCAGCCGGGGAATGTCCCGGAGACTCGGAGGCCGCTGCTTTTTCCGAGACGATTTTTCCGACGCCCGCTCGATGCTCTCGAGGCTCCCTGGGTCGTCCTCGTCCCTCGACGACCGCTGGAACAGGCCCTTGACCGATTTCCTGCCAAAATCGGTGCAAATCGTGGAGTTTGGAGCGAATGTGGTRTGATTCAATTCGGGTTTCGAAMATCGGGTCATCGGGAGAGGTTAAGTGGTGTAGATGTATTTTCATGAGCCAAACGCAGCACTTTTTAAAGCCTAATAGCACAATTSGTGATTTCACTTTGAAAAAGACAATCTAGGGGATTCTTGCCACCGGTTTGGATGTTGCGAAACATTGAACACGGTTGTCGSCATTCATACATCGCACGCTTGYTTTGCTTACTCACATTGTTTTTTTTWATCAGTGGTGTCCTATTGTGGCATGCGATCTWTTGCGTACAATGCACCCGCCGAATGCGAACCAACAACCAATGGAATGCCTGGCACCGAGATATGATCGGAACTGAGCGGAGGGGTGTTTTTGCGTTCGCCCCGCAATTGGTTGTCTTGCGTGCTTGCGTTCGTCTTTCTCCTGTGGACCTCACAAAGCACGATGGCAGTCACTCAAAGTATGATAGATTTACAGCCAAATGAAGCCAGATATAGGGTAGTTTATGGTCTCGGTCCAGACAATGAAACGCTGCTCAGTCACAGCAAACTGGGAAAAAAAATATTTCTGGAACGACGAAACCGAGAATGGAATGCGGCTTCAAATTTACGTACCGGTAGGTACCAGTACCAGATAGAAGTGCGCACTGGTACGAGGTATTCGTACCATAAGTACAACAGGGTCAACCAAGAAAGGTCACAACTCGCAACACGAAAAAGTGACGGGAAATGAAAAAATAATCTGATCGCAACCGTACGGCAGAACAAGCGTTGCTACGATTGTATGAAGTACTAATACGGGTACGAGTACCCGTACTCGTACCTGGCGATCATACAGGTTTGAGCAATGATCCACGGGCCATGGTACCAATAGCTTGTGCTGTGTGCTCGATGCTCGACGCTATTCTTAAGTGTACCATACGATACGGTAGGTACTAACGTACGATAAATTTCCAAGTAGTTTTGTCCTGATCTAACAACGATATGGTACCGTACGGTACGTAAATTTCGGACGCATTCAACCCAGCGAAACGAAGACAAGTGACAGAACGGGGGCTGGCAGGAAGAAAAAGAACTATTTCGTACCGGGTACCGGTACTTGTACCTGTGAGAACAGTAGCATCAACCGTCAACCAACACAGTACTGTATGAGCTGTATGTACGTACCAGTGATACGAAATAAACATGATTTACTGTATTGTACTTGTACCGCAAAGTGACGATTTTCGTTCAGATGTTTTTAACTAGTAGTAGTAGTATTACATTTAGACAAAGATTTTGGTGTACTAGTGGTACGGAGGCACAAACTATCTCCGTACCATAAACTGCATCAATTTATTCTCATAGAAAGGCCGCTTTATTGAACGTTTCCAGCAACGAACGTCTCCATCATGAGACGCATCTCTTCGATCTTTCTGTCTTGCTCTTCAATCTTGATGTTTTGTCGATGAACCTGATCTCGCAGATGTTGGACGGACTCGTGGCAGTCAACCCTGTCCAAGTCTTCGGCCTCTGGCACATTCTCGATCTTGAGGTTTCTACGAACGAGGAGGTTGTTGATCTTTCGAAATAAATCGCCTGTATCGGTATCTTCCGAATCGGAATCGTCCAGGACTTTTTCGAAAACGTCACCCGGATCGCCAGACGGATCGCCAGACGGTGGCGATGGTCCGGGCGACCTTCCGCCGAGCAGATTCTTCAGATTGTGAACGTTTTTGCTGTCGATGGTGACCGCATCCTGGCCCTCGATGTGGATAGTGAACATTTGGCCAACCACCCGGAATTCGCCTTCGTTGTCTGCAGAAACCGTGCCCGCTCCGAGGTTGAAGACAGCCGATCGGTCACCGTTGGTACCGATCTCTACCTTGTTTCCAAACGCCAGGGCATGATCCCCTTCAACCTTGTTGTTTTTGCCACCAAGGATTATAGAATTCTCGCCTTCTGCGGCGTTGGAGGATCCTCCCAAAACAATGGATTGCGATCCCTTGGCCCGGTTCGACTTTCCACCGGCAACCACGGATCCGAATCCCTTGGCTTGGTTGTCTTCTCCACCACCAACGCTAGAAAAGGATGCAGAGGCTTGGTTCCTTCTTCCACCCGAAATGGTGGCTACAGTTCCTTTCGCAACGTTRTCCTTTCCACCCGAAATAGTGGATTGCTCACCCTCGGCCTTGTTGCTAAGACCTCCCCCAACCGTAGCTCCGTTTTTCTTCACGCGGTTGTATTTACCACCCGAGATGGTACCGGAGTTGGAGCTTGCAGTGATTTTGTTCGAACCTCCTCCGGCAATCGTACAGTATCGACTGTTGATTCTGTTGTTGTCCCCTCCAGAGATGGTACTAGATGTCGTATCCTTGGCCTGGAGATTCCTGGAGCTGCCATTCCTCGAGGACGACCCAATTTCGTTCGCATTTCCTCCAGCTATGATGCTGTTTTGGCCTACTACCGTGTTTCCGGCACCACCACCAATAGTAGTAGACTTGCTAGAAGCGGAGTTTCTAGAACCACCGGCAATGGTGGATGATTGACCGGCTGCAATGTTATTGTTTCCTGCTAGCACGGCGGACCTGTCACCAGAACTTGCGTTATTGGTACCTCCACCGATCACCGAATCATCGCCGGAGGCATGGTTCCTGTAACCTCCGGCTACGAGCGCACGATCACCAGTCGCACTGCTCGCCACTCCGTTGTTGATGGCATCTTGTCCGGGTGCGGCAGATGGCGTAACAGTTGGGCGGTCTTCGATGGTCGGTTCCTGGCTTGGGTATGCAGAGTCTGTGGGCACAGAACTCGGCATGCTGCTGGGTGTAGCGCTGGGTARACCGCTTGGAGTTGAACTTGGGAGAGAACTCGGTTCGAGGCTGGGAGTGGCACTGGGTAATCTGCTTGGCGTGCTGCTCGGCAAGGAGCTCGGCGTACTACTTGGGAGTGCGCTCGGCGCCTCACTCGGACTTTGAGAGAGAGAGGGTTGAACACTAGGAAGTCTGCTGGGCGTGCTGCTCGGAAGCACACTGGGAACCATGCTGGGCGATAGGCTCGGAACCATGCTTGGACGTGCCGATACTGAAGGTTGAGAGCTTGGGTTTATCGATATTGAAGGTTGCCCGGAGGGCATGCTGCTGGGCATACTGCTGGGCATACCGCTGGGCATTTTGCTGGGCTGTCTGCTGGGCATACTGCTAGGCATACCGCTGGGCATACCGCTGGGCTGTCTGCTGGGTGCGTTTGCTTGTGCTTCCACAATCGCCAAGTGGGCAACGACCATAGAGGCCGTTAGCAAAACTTTGCTCGTTGTCACCAACATGATCGGAGCGGGTTGAAGTAGTGTGTGGATCTCGATTAATTTGTGATCTCTGTCAAAGCAAAGGAGAGTTACTCTGATCGTTCAAGTAATGAGTAATGTTACGATTCTGCAATTGTGTTGATTGGGAGGGTCCACGCAATATTCGTTTTCCTGCGTGGATAATTTGAAAGCGCAGAAGGCATCTCTACATGGTTGCGTGAACTACAGTACTACGAYCATGTTTGGTTCGCAACAAACTAGGCGGAAGCTGAAAAGCGACTTCAGATGAGAAACGAAATACTCCTCGACGAATTCGTCGTTCAAGATCCTACCCAAGAATCTATTGCCAAAAACATGAAGAACGTCGACGAATTCGAAGTGTGACAAGTTTTTTGGTCATTACGAAGAACAGAAGACCAACAACAAATGACTATTCGTGATCGTGTATTTGGCAAAGTAGAAGTACAGTGTACAGTGGTACCCTACACTACGTGAARATTAGAAAGCGAATGAAAGAATCTTCCCTGGTCTCGTTGGTTCATGATATGAAAATCGTCAAAAATTGACATTACTACGGGTATGGTAGGTACGTACAGAGCTTCTTAAAGTGATGAGATAGCATAGGGAGTAGAAGTAACTAGCTACTCGTGATCCAGTGTCATCCTCACAACGAACGTGAACTTCCATGTACATTTACGACTACGTACGGTACCTCTACGTACCACGGAGATGGATGCGAATGCTRTTCCGTCTGGGGCCTAACTGGCATTCTTGTAAACGTCGAAAAAATTGCGCAGCTATTTTGTCCAGTGATAGCCAACTAAGGGCTTGTCCGTCTCGGAGTAAATGACCGTTGTATCTTCAACCGTACTTTTGTGCGGCGAATAACCAATAATAGGAGTTAACCTGGACAGTCCAGGTACAATACAGTAATACAACGGTAAAAAATACATGTGTATCATTTCTCACGTATTGTACACATACGAGTGCTGCAATTTCAATCTAGTGGGCATCTCTCATAATACTTACGTACGAGTTACTGTACTCGTAGGTACGTGTCAATTCGACTAAATGTACGGTACGATACGATACCGCAAGCCATAAGAACAAGCCACATGTGTTTTTTCCCAGACGTGTGCGATTCCATGAATCTACTGTAGGAATCTACTGTAGGAACAACCTCAAAATTGCACGACTAGACAACATAAAACAGTACGAGTGCTCTACGACTAGACAAAATAGAACAGTACGAGTGCTCTACGATAGAATTCCATCAATTGCTTACTTTTTATTCAACTTTACCGTACCGTAACGAGTTACAGGAGTTCATGATCAATAGTTTGATTGAGGTACGTAGTTTGAACTGGCCATCCCGAATTATACGATAGAATGATATCATGAAATGCATGAAATGACATCCTAGGGAATTTGGTGCGACTCGAAAGCGACGAAAAGAAGACTCTACGACGATAGGGCAATCTTGCTTTTGTAACTCGCAGATGCCGCTGTGGTGCAGTTCAATGGAACAGGACCAAACGCAATCGAAGATTATGAGCCCGGAAACGGTACGATGTGGTATAGAGCTGCATTGTTTTTGTGACTGTTCCTGTAAGCGTACACTGTAATTATTTCATGGTGAATGAATAATAATAGCTTTCGATGTAAGTGCGATGAATCACCTCGGGTTGGCAAAGGTCGCTGCTTTGTGATGCATTGCATAGATTATCCTTAAAATCCTACAGGTGCATTTGCCAATACTACGCACGGCACTCGTACCGCACTTGCATGCCGATAACTACCTACCAAAGGAACAACGTAAATACGAAAGTCCATTCGGCAACAATGAGACGTGTCGATTGCATTTGCCAATACCAAATACAGTACTGTAAATCAATACATCGACGAGCAGGATTCCGCAAAACTTGGATGCTACTCTATGGCAAATGGACGATTACCATACACATAATGATAATAGCTGCTAGTTGTTTTTTTTGTCTGTGTAGAATTCGCGTTCGAGTTAGATTGCTGGTAGGGCGATGAAACTAATGCGCATTATTTGCTTAAAGTAATGACAGAAAGCAAATCAGCGAATAGCTGGTCCTAGAAGAAGTAGAGATAATCCGTTGAATTACAATCGATATTATTTGAGTTAACATTTCCTAAATGAATTTCACGCCAAATCTTGTCATCTTCTCTGTACTGTCATTTCTGTCCAAAGTACATGTCGAAAACCTAAATTTAATGCGATTGACTTCTTCCATATTTTTCCATAACCTGGTATTTTACACCCATCCAAATTGCTTAGTGTATGTGATAAGAAGTGTTCTACTCAACACAAAATATATTCCTACAACGAAGAAGGAGAATCCGATCTACCAACGCATGGACTTTATGGTAGATCAAAGACAACTATTATCACTATCTTTTCCTTGATGAACTACTCTTCAAGCAACCCCACTGGTTGTGGTGCTTGGTGCTCGATAGGTTTCCATCGGCTTGTCCACCTTTCCGGACAAGATCTCAAACCGATAATCTAGAGCCCCTTCTTCGATCATCAGGTTCCCGCTGTTGGCAAGACTGAGGCTGGCCAAGAACAACCGACATATATCACTCTGTGTGCATCCTTCGGTCACACTTCGGAATTCGACAGAGTTGGTATTCATGCAAGGGCTATCTGAGGTATTATTCTGTAACTTATGATCCAAACTCTTCCGTTTGTTCTCTTGAACAGTTTCTATCGATGAATCCAAAAGCATTTGGGAATATCGATGAATGTCAAAACTGGCTTTCTGTTCTTCCTCTTCAAGAATTGGCATTAGATGGGCTTGCCACTGACTTATGCGCTCGGTCAACTTCGTCGTTAGAGCAAATTTCTCAGCAGTCTTTGCAAAAGCTTGGATGTGAGCACGGCAGAGTTCTTCAAACGATTGTTTAACGCCCGGGCCTGAATTATTCAGAAATTGGTATGCAATCAAACGTATGTGCATGTTAGAGTTAAAATAAAGCAAAGCTATATTCTGAATACCCAAGTGCAGAGACGTGTGTGCTTCCTTACCTTCGTCCTCGGCTCCATCTTCATCATATTGATGCCTGTTGCCAAAAGCATCTTCGAGGTCCACCAATCCAGAGTTTCCTGTTGCATAATCACGATCACCTTCATCGTCATAATCATTATCCCCCCCTCCAAAATCAAACGCAACCCCATTGTCGTCGTCGTCGTCGTCGTATATTTCATCAAATTTGCCCTCGTTACTGTTATCAATATCCCCAATCTTCTTTTCGCTTTGGCGTAACAGCGCTACACTAGATCGTTGCTCTTGCTTACGCTCTAACCGACGCTTTGCTGCTTTCAATCGGGCATTTTCCTTCGCAATGTACAAGAACTCATCTCCATACGCAAGTCCACGAGAAGATATTTTCTTGGAGGGTTCTAGTTGCTTCCCCATCGCCATCCGAAAGTTTTCAACTGCTAAGCTCGATCTCAAAGTCGGCTGTACCAATGACCGACGTTCTGGCTTAGTTGTGCGACTCGTGCTAGAGCCCGTGACGCATTCTGAAGGAGGTTCTAGGATTCCTTCTGGCAGTCGGTAGGTCTTGCCTCTCTTGAGGGGCTTAGGTTTGTATGAGTGTTCTCCAAGTGAATGTGGATCAAGTAGTTGCCATGGATCTTTCTTCTTCTGCTGCTGCTGCTTACGATGTTGATTCTTCTCTGAATCGTCAACAACGGAATCTGCAAAAGCAACCCTCTTGGCTGWTGAAGATGTTTGCGACGAAGCCAGTGCGCACACACCCTCTTCGGTTTCCTGGACATTCGCACACGCCATGTTGGCGTCGCCATCACAGTCGAAATCATCGTTCATTGCAAAACCCTGACCATCGTCATGATCGTCGTAATCATCGGCGTTGTAACCATCGTCAAAAAGATTTCTCGCGCCCGAGACCATAGAGTTCTCTGTTGGTGACGTTCCAACATCAGCACCATCAAAGTTGACGTTCAGGCTGTTGTCGGGATTGCTAGTGATTCCGTTGCTAAAACTATTGCTGTTGTGATTCTTCGGATTGGCGGACTGTGATCCAGGCATGAGTAAAAGCCCATCGTCTCCCACATCACAATGGCCACTCATTAATCTCAAACTCCCGTTATTCAAGATACCGAGTAGAGCCCGCTGTTGTTGCTGAGAAGAAATATTTCCATTACCAAAAGAATTGTTTCGTTCCATTCGTGTGACGGAAAGTCCCCCTAACGAAAGCCTCGTCATGTTGTTATTGTTTTGGCTGCGATCAATTGCCGATCTGGGACCACCAACTCCTCCAACCAAACTCATCCGGTCTCGAGTTTCTTTATCTTCCTCTTCCTCTTTGAGATTGATCTTTCGGTGTGTCGGAGTGAGATCCTCTGGCACAACATCGTCTAGCAATAGAAAGCACTCGTGAGGATCGAAATCGAAAAAGTCATCCACGTCTGCGTCGACGGATTTGTTCTTTCGGGAATTTTGACGCGAGGAAGATGTAGCCTTGGATGCCTGAAAGAACTCGTCCAGCGCCTTATAGACGAGAGAATAAAGATACTCAACCTTTCGACCGTAAACATTCGAAGAATTCTGTAGAATCAATGCTGCCTGTGCAAAGTTGGGAGCCCCATTATCGGTAGATATRTTTGGATTATTGGCCGACGCTCCCTCTGCGATTTTCTGGAGCTGTTGTGGGTGTATCCCAGCCAATTCCTGGAGGTATTCTTCCAAGCTAAGTTTACATTCAACACAAAGAATGCAATCACTCAGTTAGCGGTAAAAAGAAATATGCTTTCTATCACTGTCCATTTCCATTGTGGTATGACATTGTATGATTTGGTGCGGTGCGGTGCGGTATCGTATCGTATCGTACTTACCAAGACGCTACGTCTACGTCCCAATTTCTAGCCAGATCCCGCAGCGGTTGCAAGGTTGCTAAAGCTAGGTCAACACCGGAGGTGTTTGCGCTAGTGTTGAGTTTATTGCTATCAAGCAACGACCTTCCGTGTTCGCGGCCGGCGCTATTCCTCTTCGGTCTCGTCGACGACACCATAACGAAAGGAGTGGTGTGATTCGATATTGAGTGATGTAATGGAAATCTATCAAGTCCGTTCTTGTTGTGTCGTATATTTGTTCTTGTACRGTGCTTCTGCTGCTGATTTTCTCCATGAAATGAGGCTTGACGCCTTTGTTTTTCCTTGCTTTGCCACCGTGCGGTAGAACTTTTGCTGTCGTCACTCTGTTCTTGCACCTTCAGGATGGCGTTGATGTTTGATTTCAGTCCAGGAAACTCAACAAAATTCAAATACCTCCTGTATTGTCCGTTTTCGATCCATTTTCCAGATTTGGGCACAAATCTGTCACAAACAAACAACACCCGGACCCGCTTCAAAGCAGATTCAAAAATTTACCCACCCGGCTCGCTTGGTCGCAACGTCCGTCRCTCGGCCGATCAAGCAGCGGAGTCATATCCCTAACCCTAAAATTCTGACGTCAGTCACAGCTGGCATTGTGTCGCTTGCGTTTCCTTCTGCCTCCGGCATCGGAACCAGGCAAACTGCCGTAGCACGCGAAAAAAAATTGCGCGCAAAGGCTTGGTTTCTTGCACTTTGGCATTCCCGATTCTCTATGCCGACCACAGACTTGTTTTCGTTCGAAAATCATTTTTCTGCTCTGGAATTTTTCCATCACTATTCAGTTTTCGCAACTTATTATCGTAACTTCACCGAGCACCCCCGTCAGCCGAGATTCTCATTCCTGTACACTTTTACAATACGAAAGAAAACTAACCATGACGATCGCCAAGTCCCTCGAACCCTATGTTTGTGGTGGAACCGCCGCCACTTTCGGATCATGCTGCATCCATCCCATCGATCTTGCCAAGGTAGGTCTGATTTTTCAAAAAATGACCTTTTGTGTCCTCTTTCAGCCGACGACCGGTCTGCTAGACCCATTGCAGTTTTCCTTGCGATCATGCAGCTCACGACAGATATTATACCACGCGTTGATAAATCGGCTTCTTTCTCTTTGTTTGGGGTGAATTTTTGGAAACAAATTCAAATATTTTTTACCGTCGACGGGATTTTTCGCTCATCCATGAATGCCCTCGAATCTTATATTTCGGAACCCTGGAATTGCTAATTTTCATCGTGTTCCGCGGATCGAATTCCTGAAAATCTTCGCTTTTCCAATGATTAAAAATTGAATCCTTAGGTCCGAATGCAAATTTTTGGCCAGATTAACCCTGGAAAGCCAGTCCCGGGCTTTCCAACCATTATCAAGAATATGATCGCTTCTGATGGTGTGACAAGTTTGTACCGTGGTCTCGACGCCGCCGTCGGCCGTCAAATGGTCTACGGAACGGCCCGTATTGGTCTGCACACAAAGTTTTCTGGCATGCTCGTGGAGCAGAACAACGGACAACCCATCAGCTTCGTCCAAAAGGCGGCCTCTGGAATGGCCAGTGGTGCGATTGCTGTTAGCATCGGAAGTCCCTTTGATATTGCCCTGGTGCGATTACAAGCAGACGGTATGGCCAAGCCAGAAGACCGAAGAAACTACAAGAATGTATTTGATGCCTTGATCAGAACAGCGAAGGAAGAGGGATTTGGGGCCCTATACAAAGGTGTCTTGCCCAATATCTTGCGAGGAATGTCCATGAATGTTGGTAAGTAGTGGCTGCGATACTTTTTTCAGAAAATCCCTTGTAATCCGTTCGTTGCGGCACAGACGCTGATTCCAAAACTGCTTTTTAACATTTGTCATTTTTTATTAAATTCAATTCAACGAATTCCGACTGAAAACCATTTCGACGACGACAAAATTGTGGACGAAAAACGACAACATTGAACTGCATTGAATTGTCCAGGTATGATGTCCTGTAACGATCAATTCCAGGAGATGTACGCTGGTCTTCTCGGAGATCCCATGGTGGGCGGACCACAAATGCCGACACGAATTTTGGCTTCCCTAAGTGCCGGTTTCACTGCTGCTCTCTTTTCCATGCCCTTCGATTTGATCAAGAGCCGGCTCATGGCCCAACGGCCCGATCCTATCACCGGGGAAATGCCMTACAAGGGAGTTGCAGACTGCGTTATGAAAATMATCCGAACGGAGGGTCCACTGGGATTATATAACGGATTTTCGGCATACTACGGAAGATGTGCGCCGCATGCCATGATTGTTCTTTTGTCGAAGGATTCTATCACGAAGGCCTACCGAAATGCCTTTGACTAAGCAGGTTGCAAGAGGAAGCGAGAAATATTTCCAGAGCAACGAAATATGCCGGAGTGTATGGACTATACCGTGCACACCGCGATTAGATGGTTATATTGAATATTTTGAATAATTATAGATGTAAAACACTTTTCAGTGTAACTTGATGATTCTGCTGATGCAACATAGCCCGGACTGATGTCCTGTTTGATATCAGGAATAGATAAAGGTTGTACATATTTGGATCACTTTCAGAGTACATATGAGATTTTGGAGTTCAGTGAGCGCGTGCGACACTTCGACCACTAGCTGCTACTAGTCATTTCCATTTCTTAATTGTAGTTGTACTCCAACAAACCTACTGGGACTAGTATCAATACTACTACTACCAGTATAATAGTAGTATGATGAGTAGGAGTAGCTAGTAGTAGTAATAGTAATAGTAATAGTAATAGTAATAGTAATAGTAATAGTAATAGTAATAGTAATAGTAATAGTAATAGTAATAGTAATAGTAATAGTAATAGTAGGATGAGTAGCAGCAGCAGCAGCAGCAGCAGCAGCAGCAGCAGCAGTAGCAGTGCAATTATTACTACTCAGAGTTGTTGTTCCATGCATCTTGTAGCTCTGGATGGATTGTTATCATGATGGTATTAGTGGTAAGGGGACTTGTTGCTGTTGTTGGTTTTGTYAGTAGTAGTAGGGCGTAGTAGTATAGGAGGGTGCTGGTACTTGGTGGGTGTCACTACTTTCTTCTTCTTGAAAACTAGTGATCCCTGATTTGTACTAGTACTCAATGTAGAGATACAAGAAAAACATAGTAACAACAATTGTGGTGGAGCAGGATTAAAGAATCTTTGTCAATATTTGTCATTGTGTGAATAATACTACAACATTTGCTGGAAGAAGTACTACTAGTAGGATCTGACTGACTGAGGATGGTTGATTGAAATATGGCTAAAACTTTCCTACTAGTACTGCTGGTTACTGGTAATAGTAATAGGAGCATGCAGAGTGGCAGTATGATATTACCCCTGTTGGTAGTAGTTACAACAAACAAGAAGAAGTACTACTACTATGCTAGCTTCTGCCAACAGTACTAATACTAGTAGTAGTCACCAACACTAAAATGTTGCTGCTATCTCATCTATCATCAGTTTGATTTTCTTAATTGTTTTGATGTTATTGAATGCTGGCAGGCAATCAGCAGTAGTATCTATGTCATTTTTCCAAAGTAACATGATTTCAGTTGTATTAATACTACTAGTACCACCAGCAAGTGTTGGTACTGCTCCTCCTATCATTACTAAGAGCAGGAAAGAAGAAGCACAAGCATATCACCACTAATTTCTACTACTAGTTGCAGTATTGCTACTAAAAAAGGTTCCTGCTCCCATCTGCCTGTACCAATACAGAATTCAGATGAAATTTCCTCTAGTACTTCTTCAAACAGCACCAGGACAAAAACCATTCCCAGAAGCATGTGGACAATGGTGGTAACTTCAATTTCAACTGGGTAAAATTTTGGTCCTCAAGATATTCTTGCTGTTATGCAGCATCAGCAAGACTGTGAAGCAAAAAAACTCATTTTCTTGCTACAAAAATGAAAATATTGAAATGTGGCATAGTACTTCATCATGTTCATGCTGCTAGTTAGCTAGTAGTAGCATCATTTTGAATGATGGTCTTGCAAAATTTGGACTGGGGAGATTAGTGATAGCTTCTACTTGTTACTATTGTTGTGCCATTAAAAAGGCTATGTTACCAGTTCCTTTACTCTAGATTGAAAATCATAGTACTACTCTACTTATTTCGTATCATGCTTTCCCCTTCTACCACCAAGCCCAAAACATATGGTGGTGTCATTGATATCCTACTACCACCAGTATCAGTCATATTCTTTTGTCAAGCCCAACATTTTCTTTTTTGAAAGAATAATGCTACTACTGGTGGTGAAAGCAAAAATATTAATAGTAGTACTACCTTGTGGCTGTTTTTATTGCAATAACCCATCAATGAATGAACCAAAGGGATTGTCAGACACTTTCTCATAAAAAATTATCAAGTGCTTTTGTTTAATTCAACCCACAAGCTTGGCAAGAGACAAAAAAATTAAAATAATACTTTTTCACCCTCATCATCAAAAACAGTAGAAGGGGTAAATGTCCCCTTGAAAAGATTAACATGACGCTTTCCTTGGGAGTTCTTAATAATAGAGACTGATTCTCAATTCTACTGCATAAACTACTAGTGCTAGTAAAGAWAGGTATTACTAATGTTTCTACTATTACTAGAATTGAATTTATACATAATTTTTGATTTTTCTGAAAATCAAGTCCTGGACAATTGAAATTGTTTGTTGGTACTTATTGATAATGGAGCTGAAAAATTGTTAGTACAATCAATCATGATTCATTCATTTTTGTCTGTTGTGCAAAAGAAGCAACAAAATCAGCATGAGACAATATCTCCTGCAACCCTTGTATGWGATATTCTCCTGCCTTTCATTTGCAAGAAATCACACTAGTGTTTTAACAGCCTTGTTGTGTCATCATCAAAGCCAACCTAGTACTAGTAGTAGCTATAAGTTGCACCAACTTGAGAAAACTTAGAAACCATACTAGATTGGTGACTAGTACCAGTTGTAGTACTTGTACTAGTACTAGTGATTGCCAAAATGGTGTAACAACAACAAATTTCACTGAGATTGGACCCTTCAACAAGACTTGTACAATCCCACTACTAGTAATAGTAGAAGAAGCACTCCTCATGTGTCTACCAGCAGTGCACCAGTTCCAAAGTAAGAGGAGCTACAGACACTTGCATAACCATTTTCTTTCTTGTCCAAATATAGTTGCCACTTATGTCACTACTACTACTACTACTACTAATTATTTTTTTGGCAGTTTGACAATTTAGTAAATTAAAATTGTAGTAATGCCCCATGGAGCAACTGGAAGCATCCTTTTCATTAGTAGAAGTGATGGTTTTGGCCTTCCTTGTGCCTACTCTAGTAGTMATAGTAGTTCATGAGATAAGAATATATAATAATAAGATTTTTTAACTAGGCCTAAATCCGAAATGGAATTAATAAAGAATGACTTGAACAATAAAGTCATTGTCCTCCTCTCTGTAATATTGACACCAAGAATGATTGTAGCTTCCTAAATGTTTCTCCTCTCTCCTTACTACTAGTACCACTACTGGTAGTAGTAGCTCCATTGAAACAGTGTCATCCTTAAACAGTGTCATCCTTTGTCTTACCACTACCATCCTACAGTTATTTCTGCTGTTTCTAGTAGTAGTAGTACTTCTTTTACTGTTAAAAATCTTGATATTATATTTTACTTCGTGAACTAGTAGAGGCACTATATGGCCAGAACCATTACTACACCCGAAGGGAGAATGCAGCTAGTCGCCCCGAAGGGCGGCGCTTCACTCCGAAGAGTCTTTCCGAAAGCGCAACCAAGAAGTGGGGACTCGAACCCCTAACCTCAGCACCTATTGCTGGGATGCTACCATCTACTACGTAGTAAATCATAGGAGAAATCCTCATTTTACTTCTTTTACTGTTAGTATGCAAAAATTTGAATTTTCTGTACAACAGTGAGTATCCTCTGCCTCTACCTTGTTCTTGCTGGCAATTCAACAATATACCACTAGTATTGCTGGTACTAGTAGTAGTAATACTAAGAAATTATAATATTAGTACATTTTCCCTTGTAGTAAACTAGAAGAGGCCACAGGATAGCCAGAAGAGAGCCAATTAAAAACTAGTCATACTTCTATTCAATAGTAGTAGTGTTACTAGTAGTACTAGTGTAGAAGTACTTATTGTACTAGTTGACAATTTATATACTAGTACTAGTAAGAATGGTATTGGGTTGCACAAAAATCAAGAAGTAGTAGTAACCAATCAAATGATGCTGAAGAGGTGGTGCAACAAACTGGACCATTGCTTGGGAGTGCAGATACTTGACTACGTCACACGTAGTGGTAGCACCAGTACTACTTCCTATAGATGAGGATGCATTTTTATCACCATTGTTCTTCTTGTAAAAGTTTGTGGCTGGTGAAATTGGTACAACTCTTGTAAAATTGTAACTGTTTTTGAATGAGGGGGAAAAATCAAGGACAAGGAGGCTACATAGCTACTACTAGTACTACTAGTAGGTAGTAGTATTAGCAACTCCCCACACAAGAAAATGAAGGAGTGCCACTGGAAAATTTAACTTAAAAAAACACTACCAACGCACACAGAGCACAGGCATTTGATTGAATACTACTACTACTACTACTACTAGTAGCTAGTACAGTTTTTTCTTGTACTACTAGACATCAACTCAAGAAGTAGTATCACCTATTAGTACTATTACTACTAAGAGAAAGGACTAAATGGTTGGATGGACCATGATCAAACTGGCACCACCACCAGCCACCACTTTTGACTGGACTTTCAGTCCCCAGCACCATGTCACTTGTATCCTGCTTTTTGCCTTGCTTCCACGACAATAACTTGCCAGACAGCATCCACCACCATACTACTTGGTGCCAAACTTATCTGGCAGCAGGGTGAAGGCAATAGCAACTGCTACTACTACTAAAAGTACTTCTAGAAGTAGTACTAAAATACTACTACTAGTAGTACTGAAGTATTCTGATTATGGACTAGTAGTACTATTATACCACCACTCGTAATGCTGCTACTAGTAGCTCGTTCAAGAATAGTACTAGTAGTACTAGTGGAATTCATTCACTTGTTACACTATTACTACTACTAGCACCAACACTTCTTGCATGGATTCAGCCCAAGCATCCTACACCTACTAGTAGTACTAGTAGTACTAGTAGTAGCAGATTTATTTGTTCTTGTCCAACAATTGATCACCACATTAGTATTTCTTGTTCACAAAGATCACAAAATTGATTTTTCATGTCAGCCAAGAACTTGTTGTTCTTCTTGTTCTTCTTGCTCAGCAGATCATGGTTGTTTTTGTCTCATTCTTTGTCTTGTTCTTGTTGTTGTTGTTCTTTGATGGATTGATTTTGATGCTTGCTTCTTCCTCAGCAGCATAGTACCATGATGATCAGCCACCCCACCAGCACCACAATGGTGGTGCCCACCAACAGCCAGCAGTACTAGTAGCTAAGGCGGTGCTTTGTTGGATGGATCTCATTTGTAGTAGTGGTCCTAGTAATGTGAGCTGGTTTGGGCTTGCTACTGCTGCTGCTGCTGCAAATGTGTCCTTGTAGTCTTTAGTCTCCTTGTGTAGTACGAAGTAGTTAGTACTAGTAGCATGTGAGTACGAGGTATGAGAATTACGTACGTAAGGTATGTATGCATGAGCATTGGGTACGATGGTCCAACGAACCGGCTGTTCCATGATTCTGCTACTATACCCGTATTTCTCATTGTTGTTGGATCGGATGGATGGGTTCGTTCTTCTTTGCGCACTGCACRGTAGTAGTTGTACGTGCCGTACGACTTCACACTCGCTCTACTACTCGTACCCGATCTCTCCCGTGTCGTCCGTCTCGGTCCACCTTGATGGGGGGGGGGTTGTCACGAAACGAAACGAAACGAAACGAAACGAAACCAAAACAAACGGCGATCTTCCAAACAAACGTTCACGTTCCAACAACCTGTGTTTGTGCTTTGTGCTTTCTGTTTCTGTTTCTGTTTCTGTTTCTGTCCGTGTGCGTGTGCGTTGGTGGGTGTTCTTCCCGGGAAAGGCGCTTGCGGCTGGTTGTCCGATCGTCCGATCGAGGGAGCCCACCGCTGCTTCGGAGTGTCGTTGCGCAGCGGAGCAGCGGCAGCGGCAACCACGCCTGCGTCTTCGGCTTTGCGTTTGCGTTTGCGTTTGTAGCAGCAGCAGCAGCAGCAGCAGCAGCTAGAACCAGCATGGGCGGCAACTGGACGTTCTTTTCGCAGGGACCCGAGGACCAGTACCGGTCTGTGGCCAGCAACCGTAGAGACGGATCGGCAGCCGCTTCCAAAACCACAGGGAGGGGGGACAACATCGACAACGACAAAAACATCGACAAAAACAACAACCTTTGTTCGAAAGACCCCGTCCGACGGCGACAGAGWTCTCGTCCGCAGTCTCATTCGCAGCCGAAGCAACACGTTCACGATCGAAGCAGMGACAGAGGCAGAGACAGAGACACCGGCGAGTCGACGCCCCTGTTGACATTGTCCAGAGACGAGACAAAGCCACCGGCACCAAATTCAACACCAAGGCCAACACCAACACCAACACCAACACCAACGCTGGAACAGGCACGAGCGCCCCGCAAGACAAAAGGCACGGTCCCTCCCCCCGTCCTCGGCTCGCCACCCGCTTCCGGTGCCACCGGGTCCCTCCTCCTGCGGTCCCTGAGGCACTGGGAGGTCGCCCTCCCGCCCGTCAAGAAGCACGTGGTGGGGGGGGAGCTGGTGGAAACCTTCCGGGGGTCCCTCTACGGGAGCGACGCCAGGCGGAGGCTGCCGGCCGCCAAGCGGAGGCTGACCGTCGAGGTCTACGGACCGCACGATGAGCGAGGGGGATGGGGGGGGAGCCTCGGGAGCGGGAGGAGGAGGAGGACCGGCCGGAGGAGGAAGCGGGCCTTTCCGGATCCGTCTTGTGCCCGCGATCGGAGCGACAACGACAACGACAACGACAACGACAACCACAACGGCAGCGGCAGCGGTGGGTCTGCACGGGAACGGCGGTCCGTTCTGGGGCTCTTTGGGGGCTTTTGGGCCGGGGATTCCGCGGCGGTGGTTGGCGAAAGGCAAGCGACAAGGGCGACCGGGACTATAACACCAAGCAGCAGCAACAGCAGCAGCTGCAGCATCGAAGCGAGGGACCGCGACGCCGAGAACAACCACCACCACCAGGACCASGACCACGGCTACGAGCTGGGCGAGAGGGACATTGTCATCCTTCGGGTCATGAAGCCCAGGCTCGTCAACGAGTACGACGACGCCTACGGATTTGGCCTCAACAGCATMTCGGGGGGCCTCAAGGACCGGGAGTGGGAGTCCCAGTCCATGTCGGACCGGACCATGGCGTGGATGGTCGACGAAGAAAGCRAAACCGAGAGCGGCAGCCACTCTTGGTACGGCTACGGGGCCACCGCGGACCGCCGCGGGAGCGGCCGTTCCCCCGGCCTTCACGACGGCGGCGGCGGCGACGACGACAGCAGCATCCTCTCGGAAATGACCACCCACACGAAACCGCAGCGGAAGGCCCAAAAGAACATCCAGTGGATYGAGGTCAGCCGGACGAGGCTCTCCCAGGCAGAGATCGTCCGCAGGGACTTCGAGGCCAACGAGGTGGACCTCGAGATGGGGGTGGGCCCGAGGACCGTCGTCCGGACCCTCCACTTTGGGGACGGCTACGGGAGCCTCGACGGGAGGACCACCAGGGGGGACGAAGCATGGGCCTTTGCCCGCCTCCTGGACCTCCTCAAGCGCCTCCAGGCCGAGCGGGCCCGGAGACTGGCCGACCGGCACAGGGGCCTCTTTTCGCCGAGGGGCCTTTCCCTCGGGCCGGGAGACGGTGTCCTCGGCACCGCTGCCGCTGCGGCGGCGAGGGCTGCCGGCGGATGGGTTCCGGGCCGCCACACCGGGGGCATTCCTCCGTTTTCCGGCGCGGCCGGCGAAAGGGGGGAGGACGAAGAGGGACACGACGACGACGACGACGACGACGACGACGACGACGACGAAGAAGTGAACATCCTGGTGGAGATCGTCTCCGCCTCGAACCTCTCGGGATCCGGGGGTTCGCACGGGGGCGCAGGAATAGTTCCCCGCGTGGTGGTCCGCGACGGGAACACCGACGTCCACTCGACGGGCCGCCCCCTGCCGGCCGGGGACGCTTCAGCGTGCAAAGACCCGATCTGGACCCTGTCCACCGGCTCGCTCTGCCTGCTYCGGTACACCGGCCTCCTGGATTTCTTCGAGCGGTCCAACGTTCTCGAGTTCTCCCTCAAGACGACGACGGGCCGCGGGCCGGTGGCCGTTTCGGCAGGGGACGACGATCGCGAAGAGGACGACGATCGCGAAGAGGAGACCATCGGAACGGTCATGGTCCACAAGACGGAACTTCTCGGGGGGAACGGCGAGCGCAAGCCGTACCAGGTCCTCCGGCCGTCCCAGCAACCGGMGGGCGGAAGGCAYCGGGCCCACCGGCTCCCGCCCGCGGCAGCCCCTCTTTCGCCGGACGSGGATCCCTCCGTTCTMTACCTGCGGTATCGCAAGGCCTCTCCCGAGGACATTGCGTTTGTGACCGCCCTCCGCTTGCACAAGCAGAGCCTTTGCACCGCGGAAGGCACCCTTCGCGAAAGGGTGGCCGGGGTGTACGCTTGCGAGGTCCTTCTGGCCCCGAAMGACGGGAACGGAGGGCCCCCCGCGCAGCAATCGAMGACCGCGAGGACCGAGGCTTCCACCGGCGAGATCCAGCACCGGGTCCGGCCGGGGCCGGATCCCGAGAACGCGTCCAAAACCACGTGGATGACARGGGCCGAGATGAAAGCWWCGGCTCTGGAACACTCCCGGGCCTGGGTGCTGGCCGGATCCGGATCCATCGGCAGGGTGTACGTCGAAATCCTGCGCTGCGAGGGGCTGTCAAAGAACAAGAACAACACATCGATGGAGCTTTCCGGGAAGAACCAAGCTAACGGCAACGATAGCAACAGCAACGATAGCAACAGCAACGATAGCAACAGCAACGATGGCAACAAGAACAACGAGATCAATCCCTTTGTCTGCCTTGTCTACGAGGATTCCCTTCTCAACACGGACGTGATCCACGGCTGCTCCTCGCCGATCTGGATGCCCTGGTCGCAGCGGGCCTTTGTGCTGAACACGACACGCCCCTGCTCCCAGCTCTTTCTCGGRGTTCTGGACCGCGGTCGTTGCGACCCGAAAGAGAACGAYCGCCCCCTCGGCCGGGCCGTGGTAAGCCTCACCAACCTCCGRCCGGGGGCCATCAACACTCTCACGTACGCTCTCTCCGACGGCCCGGAGAACGACACCGAGAAAGGAAGCATCACGATCCGCCTGCGGATCAAGATGGAGGACGAGCGGAGGGCCCTCCTGTCGGAACCGGGCTTCTCCGGGGACGACCACTACTGCGTYGCTGCCAACGACCCTTCGGACTATTCGGCMGCGGTGTACTCGCTCGGTGCCGGGAGCGATCCCCAACCGGAAAACCTTTTYYGGTGCTCGGAGGAGCTCTTCGCCGGCTGCTCGGACGCCCTGGATTCCATCGCCGATGCCATGGTGACCCTTCTCCTCTGGAGGGGGCACTGCCCGGTCACCCTGACGCTCCCGTTTCGCGACTCCCAACGAAGGAYCGAGGTCTCGTTTCGCCTGCCGCTCCACTCCATGGTGGCCTTTGCGTGGGCCATCGCTCTGGCGCGGGATTTCCAGCTGGTGTTTAGCTTCCTGCCCTTTTCCGTGGGCTGGGCCCTGCTGGCCACGATGGAAGAACAGCGGAGGCACCCGTCGCCCTGGAGGCGGCCTAGGTCCTACCGGGAGCTCCTCAGGGTCCTTCTCTTCAACAAGAGCCGGCGCTTCCCCCTGCGAACCATCCGGCCRAACGAGCGGCTGGAAGAAACCGAGCGCTTTGACTCCGCGGCCTCCGAGCGGGCCGGTGCCAGGAGGCAAGCCCTCGAGCGGTGGAGGGCCAAGCGGGAACGGGAGCTAGGGGAAACGGRTYYCCTTGCAGCCACGGGGGAGGATKCGGCCTTGCTCGGGCAGCAAACACGAGGCAAGGTTTCCCCGGAAAGCACCGATGCCACGGCCACCAGCGGCAATGGGGAACCACTGGTGGTTGTTCGGCTCTTGCCTCTGATCCGAGCCGCGCTGCACAGGTGCTGCGTGCTGCTCCGGATCTCCCGGAGCATTGTCTCGTGGCGGGACAGCTACGCGGCCTTTTGGATCGCGACGATGGGCTTTCTGGGATCCTTTGTGGCCCTTTGGATCCCCTGGGGGGTCCTGGTYCGCTGGGGATGGACCGTTCTCTTGTGGACGCTCTTTGGTCCGTGGATGAAGCTCGTGGACCTCTGCCTTTTCCGCCCGGGGGAGGCAGCGAAGGGGTACGAGGACGATCCGGGAACGGCTACCGAGATGGAAGAGAGGTACGAAAGGCGCTACGATTGGTGGCTGGGAAGCAAAAAGCGAAGGAGCGCCCAGCACCGCATCCACCGAGAGAACACACTCAAAACCAGGGACGCAAWGCGATACATGTTTGGGAAGGTGGGTTTRTTGCATTGCATCGCATTGCAGTTTTGTTTTGATTTGGACGATCGGTTTTCGGGCGTCTCGCTGTATCGGACAGTGGCAACCCTTTGTGTCGTTCGAAACGCCGCGTTCTACTTGTTGTTTTCTAATTCGTTTCGTTTCGTTTCGTTTCGTTTCTTCGTTCCTTTTTTTCAGTATCTTACGAGGGTTCCTATCTGGAAGGAGGAGCGTTTTCCCTCCAAGCCCGCCATTTCGTCTTCGTCCGTACCCTACAATGCCCATCCACGACCAGTGAACATCGTGAAGCGGATCCACGGGCAACGATTGACGGGTGACATGGTTCCCCGCCGGGAATACAACTACGACGAAAACTATAGCGGCAGCAATTACAACACCGTTGGCAGAAAGGAAGACGATGGTTGATGGGAATCCATCCTTCGATTCGAACGGAGCAATCGAGCCGAGCGCCTAGCTAAAGATGGTAAACTACTAGAATCACCGATCAATCTAATTAATATCCCAACAAGCTTACGTASAGAGCCTTTCGAATTTCCCCCTATTCGAATTGCGACGTCGGAAGAAACGGTGAAATGCATTGCGAAAAAACTCTAAATACCGCATAACGCATTAGGCGTACGAGGTGCACTTGAAGAATAATTCCTACTATTCATTGAAGCATGAATTTGTTTGTAAATCTGCTGAAAGAACAAGGAATATATCACAGATGCACACATCCAGAACATAGGTATTTGTATACCAGGATAAGTGCTGTTCTTTTGCGTTGAAGTGTTTTGTCAGTGTACCATACTGCCCCTTTGTTCCAGCAGTACTGSAATCAATCGTTGCATTGCACCAAAACCCAACGCRAGGGATGATAATTTTTTCGGACGGACGGTACGGTTCCGAGGTCACATGCGTCACACGTGGAATGGAAAAGCACTTGTGCTCTTGTCCCCAGGCGTTCAACGAATTCGAGCCAGGAAGACAATCGAACGTAGGCGTTGACATTCGAGGGGTTCTGAATTCTTCTCCAGGTTGAAGAGCTTCCTCCATGAGACGCGGCAACTGAGCTTCGTAGTACTCGTACGTACAAGTGCACGGCACCAAATCATCGGATCCATGAAAGCTCCGCAAGAATTTTGGGAAGTAGAATTCTCAATTAGGCAGGCTGTTGTTCTTTGCGGACAAAATAATCAGTATGATTGGTCGCGCCAATGAACGCATGCCCTTCCAATGATCTAGTTTCAAACCTAAGAAGCTGTAATGCAATTTTCATTTACAGATATYCATACTAGAAAGAATGATGTAAACTCGGAGTGCACGCTTCAAACGGTTAAATTGAAAAATGCGATTGCATTTGAACCAGTCAATCAATAGGAGGATTGATTCTCATTCGTTCAAAACTGCCCACGCATTTCTTTATATTAATTACGTTGGATTGCCTACGGAAGAATTTTGAATCATCGCATCATGCCTYGAAAGAATGCCAGATCTACGGTTTATTTTCCTACGGGGAACGAAAATGTCGTAACAACATAACGAACAGAAATTCGAGTATTCGTAGTGGTACGAGTACGAGCAGTAGTATTTTTTGGTCGAGTAATCGAACAGCACGGAAACAGCGCGGCCGGARAGTTATCTTTCGTGAGAGTTTCGTACCGTACGGTACATTTTATGTTCTGCCATTTTCCTATCGGTAGTCTAATGTACGGCAATCTACAGTGCACAAAGCTTCTTCACCACCGTGGATTGACTACTCGTAGTGATTCTACTAGTTATGCTGAAAATTCAAATACCGTAATAACTTTGCGCAATAGTAATATCAGAAGTAAGTCGTCGTACTCTCAGTACCGTAGCAAGTACAGTACTCGTGAGCGAAATTCAACCTCGGTGATACAGTCTTTTTCACTTGTTGCATCCCTCCTCTCGAACCTACATCGAAATAGTTGCTACGATTGACCTTGTGTCTCTTACTCCAAGTCACARCAGCAACAGCAAGATCTCGAATTGGCAACCAAAGCCATTCACCACTCAGTTCCGGACGAGGTCGTTGCCTTTCTGGTGTGAGTGTGCCGCTCTATCATATCATACCATAACGCGGTGTTYTGGAATAATCTTTACAACCGCTGTTCTGTACGGTAGCACACGCGTGAAATACTGCACGTAATAAATWACCCTGTTGCTTTTGGACACCAGCAAGAAGGCCTTTTACGTGATACGTGATACTTCATCACCAACGGTCTCTTTCACCACTAATTTCTCTTAGGTGTTCCCGCACCTTGTTTGTTGTACCTACCTACGCTATACACATAGTGCTTGCAAGCTATMACAAACGTAGCTTGGATCCGGCCTTGCGAAACGTTTGTGACTCCATCTATTCACTTGTGTARAAGATCTTGTAGATCTGGAACTCGGAACTCAGCAAGCCCAATAGTTCGCATTCACATCTACGGCTCTCTTGACCAATAAGTTACTCCAAACAGCAAGCTCAACTTTACACATCATGAACGCGGCGCACCAGCTAGCCGCCCGTCTGCAGCTGCAGCAGCAGCTGAACAATCAATACGGGGACGGAAACCAGAGAGGGGGGCTACAGCAGCAACAGCAGAACCAGCAAGGCCAAAATCTCATGATGAACAACGGAATGGGAAACAGCGCAGGAGGAAACAACGGTATGGGGGGCCTGCAGCAGCAACAACAATTGCAGCAGGCCTACCTCCAGCAGCAACAGCTACAGCAGCAGAATTCCCAGGGCGGAAATCTTGGTGGCCTCCAAGACATGAACAACATGCAGCGAAGAAATCCGCAGCAGCAACAACAGCTCCAGGCAATGATGCAGCAGCAGCGATTGGCTGCCGCACGAAGCAATTCCCAGATTTCGGGGAGCAACAACAACATGGCGGGAAACGGCAGCGGTGGCATGGCAAATTTTGGCGGAGTTGGAGGCCAGAATGCCAACTGGGGGAATGCCCAGCTCGGCAACCAACATCAACAAGGMCGGCAGCAAAACTCGTTGGATCTCTCCAACAACCCGAACCAAATGGGAGGAATCGGAGGAATGAACAACTTGGGAGGATCATTGAACAATGGCAACAACAACAATAACAACAACATGAACGCGCAGCAGCAACTCCAGCAGCAGCACAACAATGCCCTTCTCGGCCAGCGAAGTACCTCCCAGGGAATGAACCAGCAACAAGGCTTCAATCCGAACATCAATAACAATTCGAACATGGGGATGGGTGGAATTGGGGGCGGAATGGGAGGAATGAACAACGCCGGAGGAAGCGGTGGAAGTCAGAACGACACTACTGCATTGCAGCAACAAATCGCCTTTTTGCAGCGGCAGCTCCAACAGCAACAGCAGCAGAACAACAGTTCCGTCCAAGGTCGCAACAACAACAACAACAACACTGGCATGAGCCCAAGTTTCGGGCGTCAAACCAGCCAATCGACACCGGGCACCTTTCAGAACCAACAAGGAAACCAGAACAACAACTCCCTATTTTCGATGCAAGGAATGGACGGCAATATGAACAACAACAGTCAGCGATCAAACCCGAATAGCGGCAGCATGGGGTTGGGCGCACACAATAACAACGTAGGAAACAGTGACCCTTTTTCAATGATGATGGGAGGTGGGCAGAATCAAAACAAGCAAAACCAACCAAACCACCTTGGATCTTCGGTGAATAATAACCTCAACGAAAACGATCTACTTCGTCAGCAAAGAATGTTGGGTCAGACCAACAATACCGCGAACAACGTCGGCAGCAACAGCATGATGGGTCTCCAAAACGACTTGATGGGTCGGAGATCATCGGAGTTGTCCATGTCGAACAACTCAAACAACAACAACAACAACAACAACAGCCTCGATGGCTCCACGCGTTCCAACCAAGGCGGCAACAAACTCAAGAACGAAAACGCCGCTGGTGGGGCGGACTACTTGGGTGGCTCATTTGCTGGAGGTTGGCAATCCAATGCCGATCTTCCAGATCGGAGGAGGGTCATTTATTCCATTCTTGAGGTGATTAGGATGATGCGGCCCGACTCGAATCAAATTTCGCAAAAGTAAGTTATCCAACTGAGAGGTGCGAAGGGCGGTTGATGAATCCGGTTTTCGTCCAGAATAAGGGCAAGGGAACTTTTTTTCTCATTCGTCTGCTTCCAAAACTCGTTTTTTTCTTTTGAACACTCTCGAGCAGGTTACCACACATGGCAAAGAGTCTGGAAGAAAATCTTTATCGAACCGCTCAGACTAAGGAAGAGTACATGGACCAGAATACCCTTCGGGATCGACTACAGAATATTGCCAAGGAACTTGAAACTCACTCCAGCAACCCTGGGAACGGCATTCAAAACAAACTACCGCCCAACGAATCGCAGCAGCTCCAACTGCTCCTAGGAGGGAACAACAACAATAACAACAGCAATGGTAGCATGAACGCCTTTGACAACGGCAATAACAACATGATGAATGCGAATGCCACCGGWAATTCCAACATGATGGAACGACGGCGGAGCGCCCAGCAACAGATCGACATGATCGCCCAACGGAACCTGCTAAACCAGCAAAACAATGCTGCTGGTAACAATAATCTGGGAGGCAGCCTGAACAGCTCCATGGGTGGTGGCGGTGGCAGTGGCAGTGGCAGTGGCAGTGGAAGTAGCAAGGGAGATGCACAAAAAGTGATTCGTCAGCAGCAACAGCGTCTTCTTTTGCTGAGGCACGCTTCGAAGTGTCAGCTAGGACCAGAGTGTACGACCAAGTTTTGTGCCCAAATGAAGCCTCTTTGGCAGCACATGCAGTTGTGTCGAGACAGGGACTGCCAAACCAGGCATTGCCAAAGCAGTAGATGCGTGCTTACTCACTATAGGCACTGTAAGGCACAAGGAAGGACCGCCAGCTGCGAGATCTGTGGTCCAGTCATGGAACATATTCGACGCCAAGAAGCGGCGGAAGGATTGGATTCTAGCGATCCTTTGGCCGAGAAGGAAGGAGACGGAAACGTTCCAAAGCAACAACAGGATGGTGATATGAGAAATATGTTTGGTCAAGATGATGTTCTAAGACAACAGCAGCAGCAGCARCAACAACAACAGATGCCGCAAAATCAGTTGAACACACCTCCGCAACTCATGCTACAACTCCACCAAATGCAAATGAAGATGAAACAGCAGCAGCTAGTTATCAGCAAGCTGAAAAACCAGCAAGCGCAATTGATTGAACAGCAGAAGCAATTGCAAATGCAGCCTCAGCAAGGCCAACAAGGACAAAACGCTCAGAACCAGCTCCGGCTTTTGCAGCAACTTCAAATGCGAGCCGCGAGTCAACAGCAGATTGAATACAGGGAACTCGTGTTGCAGCACAAGGCAATACAGCAATTGCAACTGAAGATTGCTCAGCAGTCAAATCAGAATGCTGTATCACTCCCCGTCATGGGAGCCGGTCAACAAAATCAGCTCCCGCAACAGATCGCTGCGAATAATATGAACATGAATAACAACATGAGCATGAATAACAACATGAGCATGAATAACAACATGAACATGAATAATAACATGAACATGACCATGAATAATAACATGAATATGAACATGAACATGAACAACACGAGTAACAACAACATCATCAGTCAGAGTAATTCGCAATCACAACTCAACACAAGTCAACGTTCTCACCACAGCAACACCAGCAATGCCTCACAACAAAGACAGCAGGAGCAGCAGCAACTCATGAATCACGCAAAGGCAATGGATGATCCCAGTCCGAGTAAAAGTAACAAGGACGACGAGCCTCTTGTTGGAAATCTACGGTTGGATCAAAATTCATCGAATCTTCAGCTTGATGAGTTGGATGCAACCCTTGATCTGGACGACGGCCAAGAAGTTCTTGAATTGCCCGAAAAACTGGGTTCTTTGGATCCACCTCTCGAGGAGACACCCAAGAAAGATAGCGAAGAGAATGACGCGAGCGAACAGGGTGACTCGCAACAGACATCTCCAAAAGATTCATCTACCAACAAAAGAGATCGCCCTTCTGATAAACTTCCTAGTGCGGGTCTCGACGAAAATAGCGAGAGAAGCACTGGTTCGAAGTCGAAGAAACGAAGAACCATTTCTAGTGTAGACAAGACCCCAAGGGGGCGWGGAGGGGGAAAAGGAAAACGTCTGCGCGAGATTCAGAAGATCAACCTTAATAGCGAGTCAGATAGTGGGAATGCGGGTCCTATAATCGGAATCAAGCGTGCCGTCGACGTTGCTAACAAGAACAAGAGCAAGAACGACGCATCTCCAGACTTAGCGAGCAGTGGAGCATCGAAGAAGAGCGGGGGACAGCAATCTTTGCCAAAAGGCGACGTTGAACAGCATCTCTTGATGCTAAACAAGGGGTTGCATCTTACATCACGTACCATTACACATAAATGCCTACCAATTGTGCAACAACTCATTGACGATCCATATGGTTGGGTTTTCCGAGATGCTGTCGATCCGGTACTGTTTGGTCTCCCCGATTACTTTGAAGTTGTTAAGAATCCCATGCATTTGCTTTTGGTTAAGAAGAAGCTTGAGAATGCTGTTTACACCGATATGGCATCATTTGAGAGAGATGTGAAACTTGTCTTCGAGAACGCAATTTTATACAATGGTGAAGACAGCGATGTAGGGACACTTGCCAAAACGATGAAGGGCGTATTTGAAACGGAGTACAAGAAGGTTTGCGAAGGTATGTGAGTGCTCTTTAGACTATACCGCACTCGCATTCTAATAAGTAGAATTTTCATAATGTATACTCATTCCATCCACTGTGTATTTACAACCTATCGATCAATATGGCTAGTGCTTAATGACCTTCCACGTCTAGACCCCAAAGAATGCGCGTTGTGTGGGGTAAGCAAACTGAAATTCGAGCCGCCGGTCTTGTTTTGCTCTGGAATGCAGTGCGGTATGGGTAGGATCAAGAGAGATTCCGTTTACTACACCGATTCGAAGCATCGAAATTGTTGGTGCCAGCGATGCCATTCGAAGCTTCCAGCCAGCAAGCAAATTATATTGGATGACGGCGTAGAGATCAAGAAGTCAAGTCTGATTTTCGACAAAAACGATTCGACCCCCGAAGAAGACTTTCTCGAGTGCCATGATTGCAAATGCAGGGTTCACAAGATTTGCGCGCTCCACAATTGTCGGAATCAAAAACCAAACGAGCTGTTTCGCTGTCCRAAATGCATTAATGTACACAAAGAAATCAACGGACTGCCGCACAATGCTCCCAAATCTGCCAAGGATCTTCCTACGTGCTTAATGAGCGACTTCATCGAGAAAGGCTTACTAGAATCTCTCGATAACTCGTACCGAAAAACCGCCGAAGAAGATGGCATTCCTATCAGCAACRTAAAAAGAGCGGATGATCTAAGTGTGCGGGTGATGTCACACGTTTCTCTCAAACATATGGTCCGAGACGAGGTACGTAATCGAATAGGCAATCAGTTTCCGAGTGCTAGCTGTCATCAAATTACCCCTTCTCTAACGCAGTGCACAACTTGATGGCAATGTACAGATGTTCAAGAAATATTCGAGKCAAGGCTACCCCAGTGACTTCCCGGTTCATACGAAATGCATTGGTCTCTTTCAACAAATCCATGGTGTAGATGTTCTTCTGTTTGTCATGTACGTGTACGAATACGGACACGAATGCCCYGCACCGAATCGAAGGCGAGTCTACATATCGTATCTAGACTCGGTCAAATACTTTGAACCAAGGCGCTACCGGTCGATCGCTTATCAATCCATCATCGTAGAATATCTTCGCTTCGTGAAGAAACGGGGATTCCACACGGCCCATATCTGGAGCTGCCCCCCGGCAGACGGCGACGAGTATGTCTTTCACTGCCATCCATCTCACCAAAAGGTGCCAGACGAAGCAATGCTGCGCCAATGGTACTACGATGTTATCGATCAAGCCACAAGGGAAGGAATCGTTGTCGAAACGACCAACTTTTACGACGAATATTTTCAGTTCAAGAAACTGGGATCGGCATCTCCCTATCCAGAGGGAGTCAACCCCATGTCGCTGCCATACTTTGAGGGCGACTACGTTCCCGGTGAAATCGAGACCATCCTCTCCAAGTTGAACGAGGAAGAACTTCCCCGCAAAACGAGGTCAACCAACAACTCAACGGTGCCGGTTGCCGACGCAGAACCGAAGCGGCAGAGGCCGGGCTCGCGCCGGGGCACCCGGTTGAATTCGGCCCGTTTGGGGAATGCAATCCACGACAAGGTAATGAGTCGATTGGGAACGGCGATTCACAACATGAAGGAAAACCTCATTATAGTTCGGTTGCGCAACAAGCATTTTGCTCTGGCCGTAGACCGGGGGGAAGACGTATCGGAATGGCCCGACGACGATGCGTATKCACCCCACCCTGGCGAATCGATCCGGAGCAGCAGCAGCAGCAGTACCAATGAGTATGCCAAAGAATACAAGCGAACCAGCAGAAGGTACACCGTCCCGGACAAGATCCGTTCCACCATCGAAGAAGACGAGGAATTCGAGAGCGAAATGTTTGAAAACCGGCAGCTCTTTCTAAACTATTGCCAAGGAAACAACTGCCAGTTYGACGAGATGCGCCGCGCCAAGCACTCTACCATCATGGTCTTGCACCAGCTGCACAACCCATCGGCCCCCAAGTTTGTTCGCAGGTGCCGTGCCTGCCAGAAAGACATCGGCAGCGAAGGGTGTTACAGGTGCAAGGTTTGCCCCGATTTCGACCTGTGCATGGATTGCCACGGGCCGGTGACAAAGGGATTGTGGGCCTCGAGGGGATTCCGGTTCACGCACGATGGGACCCATTCGTTTTCCCTCGTCCGGCCGGCCCCTGCCGATGGCGAGGCCCCGGCCGTGTGTCGTCCCGCGGGCGCGGCCTCRCCCGCGGCCAGGGCGGAGCGGGCCAGGGCCCTGAAGGTCTACCTCGGGGTCCTGGTGCACGCCGCGAGCTGCGGTGGCGTTTCCGAAGGCTGYCTMCTGAAGAACTGCGCCAGGATGAAGGAGCTCCTCTCCCACGTGGTCTCGTGCCCGCTCTCCTCGGGCGGATCGACGGCGGGCGCCGCCTCCTGCAAGATCTGCGCCCGCGTCCTGTCGCTGATCATCGTCCACACCCGGTCCTGCCCGGACCGGGACGGTTCCTGTCCAYTGCCGTACTGCAACAAGATCCGGGAACGGAACCGMCGCCTCCGGCGGCAGCAGCTCTTTATGGACGATCGGCGCCGGCGGGCCCAGAACGCGGTCTACTCGCGGCGGAGGCGATAGCCGTGTGCTGCGGGCACAACGCCGCAATGGCCCGTCACCGATGCACCGCAAACAAACAAACACACACACACAAACACACACTTGGCTTTGTTGTTGTTCCTGGATCTTTCCTTGAACTACTACTAAAAGAATGAAAGTTTTCAATTTGTTTTRGTGGCGGTACTGCTGGTGCTAGAACAAGAAGCTATTGCGGATTCAAATTATAGTACCCACGTTCAAATCATRTTACCCATAGTATTTAATCATGAGTACGCACGGTACCACCAGCAACAGATAATCAAGGGGAGAAATGGTATTGGTGCTSGTATTAGTGTCACCACCCAATGATATACTTGGCTACTAGCTAGTAGTTGTTCGGAATGCTATTATAATGGTARCACTAATAGGTACTTCGTAGTAAGAGCGAAGTAGCTCCTTCGATTGATATTGATATCAGTAATAAATACTATGAGTTCCGTCGGATTCTATCTTCCCGTATTTTACCACCAGACCGATTCCTTCTACCGGTACGATGAAAATTCCATGTCATATCTTACAGTTAACCCCAACCCTACCGTACGGTAGCACTACGTAGTACTTCTACTGTACGAAGTACGTAGTTGTGTACGAGTACTCTACGCGTACTACTATCGCACCTCTCGCTGCCGTCGTCTTTTTTTTCTGTTCACAAGGATCAATGACCTTACGACACGACACACCTCTGCCGAACGAGCGAGCGTCGACAGTAGGTAGGTACGGTACGTACCACGAACGTACATACCGTATCCTGGCTCGCGGCATTTTTCGACGAAAAAAAAGCGCGCGCYACGAGACATCAAAGATCGGCATGTTATTTTGAATATTACTTCGAAGTACAAACTAGCGTGGGATCTCCTACCTCGTACGGCAWTTCTTGTACGTCTGGCTGCGGGTACTCGTAATCAATACGACAGGTACGTAGCAAAAAATCGTTGCGATTCAGTACCGGGTTCATCAAAAAAATGAAAAATTGTCGTCCAGGGAATGTGTGTAGCAATTTCCGTGGATTGCATTGCTCCAAGCGTTCGCTTCGAAACAACACAGAAAAGAAACCACCCGATCGGCGGATCGGCACRTSATTCGCTTGCATCCCTTCGCTACMAGTCGATCCCATTGGCACTACCACAAATCCGTAGCTGCGAATTCCGAGAATTTGAGCCATCGACCATGGATCCTATCAAGCAGGAAGAGCCCCAGCCGGCCGATGCCGCGGAAACAAAGACGACGACTGCATCAACGACTACGACAACGACGAGGACGAGGACGAGGACGACGAGGACGACGAAAATGGAGACGGGAAAGACCCAAGCTCCGGCCCCCTCCCCCCGCCGCTCCKGCCGGGAGCGCGTTTCCACCACAATGACGATCCAGGGCCACACCGTGCTGCGGAGAAACAACTACCGGGTCCAGGGAATGACCTACGTCTACGACGACCACCAGGAGGACGTCCCGAGGCACAACAACAAGCCATCGAAGGCCCGTTCTCCGGCGCAGAAGGCGGCCTACGTGGAGCCGCCCCACGAGACCCTGCGCAAAAGACACAACGAGGCCGTCGAAGAAMGGGTCAGGGGGGCGGAGGGCCTCCGACGGGMCTTTCTTTCCGACCGCCTGGAGCTCCTCCGGCCCTTTTGTGAGCCCGCGGTCCTGGAACGCCTGGAGAAATGGGGGGCCGAGCGGAAGGAGGGGAGCGAGCCGAAGCCACAACCACAACCACAACCACAACCACAGGCGTGCGTTTCCCAGCCAAAGATGATCGAGAAGGCGATCCTGCGGCCCTACCAGCTCCGGGGCCTAGAGTTTATGGCCCGGATGGACCAGCAAAACCTCGGGATAATTCTCGGGGACGAAATGGGACTGGTGCGTATCTCCAAAGCTGCCCCGGGGGCGATGGAACGGTTTGCCTTGCCGGGCCATGGTGTGCTTTCGAGTGTGCGGGTTCCTTTCGAGACAGCGATCCACGATGGAATCCCATGGCATGCGAAACCATTTTTTTTTTTTCGATCGAAATCTGCCGAAGCTCACACCAGCGTTTTTCTTTTGCTGTTGCTCTCGCGCGACTTGTTTCGTTTTCCACCGGACAGGGGAAAACACTCCAGACGATTTCCCTCATCTGCCACCTCAAGGAAACCGCGGGCGTCACCGGTCCCTCGCTGATCCTCTGCCCCCTGTCGGTGTATTCCAGCTGGTGCAACGAGATGAAAAAATGGGCCCCCTCCCTCCGGTTTCTGCCGCTGCACGCCAACACCGAGAAAGAGCAGGTCCGGCAGAGAAAGCTCCTCGCCGAGCACGYAACCGAGTATGACGTCGTGCTCACCACTTACGACATGGCCAAGGTCCCAAACCTGTCCTACTTTTTCCAGAGGACCAAGTTCCACTACCTCGTGCTGGACGAGGGCCACAAGATCAAGGGGCACGACACGATCGTTGCCAAAAAGGTCCGCAAGATCCACGCCGGGAACCGGCTGCTGCTGACGGGGACCCCCCTCCAGAACAACCTCTTTGAGCTGTGGTCCCTCCTCAACTTTTTGTACCCCGACGTTTTCACCGATTCGGAACTCTTTGCCAGCCACTTTGACCTGAGCGAAAACGTTGTCGACAAGGCCTTTCTCGCCAAGACGCAGAAACTCCTGGAGGTATTTATGCTCCGGCGGCTYAAGAACGAGGTCGAGAAACTCATACCGGAAAAACTCGAGACCAAGGTCTACTGCCCCCTCAGCAAGTCGCAGACCTACTGGTACAAGGCCCTGCTCATGAAGGACGTTGGCACCCTGGCACGGATGGACGTCAGGGACGGCTCCCGACCCGGTGGCAACCTGGCGGTCGTCCGGAACCTCTTTATGCAGCTCCGYAAGTGCAGCAACCATCCCTTTTTGTTCGACGGGGCCGAGGTGGACCCCAACCTCACCTCCCTGGAAGACCTAGTGGGCGCCTCGKGGAAGCTGGCCGTCCTGGACATGCTCCTACGCTCCCTCTTCCAGAAGGGACACCGGGCCGTTCTGTTTACGCAGTTCACGAGCATCCTCRACCTCATCCAGGACTACTGCTCCCTGAGGGGATGGAAGTACTGCTCCCTCGACGGGAGCACCCCGCGGGCCAGGCGAAACTACCTCCTGAATCGGTTCAACGAGCCAAACAGCCCCTACTTTTTGTTCCTCATGTCCACCCGCTCGGGGGGCATGGGACTCAACCTGCAAACGGCCGACACGTGCATCCTTTTCGACTCGGACTGGAACCCCCAGTCGGACATCCAGGCCATGGCGAGGGTCCACCGGATCGGCCAGAAAAACAAGGTCCACATCTACCGCCTGGTGACCGCYGGGACGGTCGAGGAGCGAATGCTCGAGCGGGCCGAGAAGAAGCTCCTCCTGGAACTGGTCAACAAGGAAACCAAGCACCACGAGAAAGAGGACGGCCAGGAAGCCACCGCTAACGGGGCACAAGAGATGGCCATCCGCGGAATGTCGGCGGGGGAATTGCTCGAGGACATCAAGTTTGGTTGCGAGGCCATCTTTGGGGCTTCTTCCAACAACGCGCTGCCCACCGAGGAAGAGATCGCCTCTATCACGGACCGGGCCCGCAAGGAATCGGACTCGGTGGGAAAGCTCACGGGYGGGACCTCYAAATCGGCCAGGAACTTTGACGCCCAGAAGGAATTCTCCGACGGCCAGTTCTTTGGCGGGGCTGACTTTCGGGAGATCCGCAGGAAGCAGCAGGCGAAAGAAATTGCCAGCATMCCCAAGAACATGTCGGGGATTGCCCATCTCTGGAGCGAGATCAAGTCGATCGAAAACAAGAAGCGCAAGCGCACCTCGCGGCTCTTGCAGATCGAGGGCAAGGGAACGGGGTACGGAAAGTCCTTTATCCCCGTCCTGGCTGCCAACAACTACGATTATGGCGGGGAATCCTCGGTCTTTGATCGGGAGCTGCGGGCGGACCAAAAGTGCAGGTTTGTGGTCCCAAAGAAGAAGAAGGGGGCCCCGCCCTTTGATAGCGAAGACTACTGTCTCATGTGCGGCGACGGGGGGAGTCTGGTCTGCTGTAGAATGTGCCCCAACGTGGTACACGTCGGGTGTGCCGGCTTGACGAGCGCCAGCGGCGATTATACCTGCAGCCACCACCTCTGTGYGGTTTGCGGCAAGCGCCGCAGCGACGCCGGGGGACTCCTCTTTCCGTGCCATGCCTGTCCCAACGCCTACTGYGAGGACCACCTCCCCGAACGGGGGGTGACCTTTCTGGAYAAGGGCGTCGAGCGCTACGAAAAACTGGGCTTTGAWTCCACCAAGCACAACGTCTACATCAACTGCAGCGCCCGCTGYGAGTTGTACGCGATCCACGAACTCGGATACAAGCCACCCAACCCCGGGTCGACGAGCGGCWCCTGCCCGGGACCGATGGACCTCTCCGGTCACTTTGGAACTGCCTACGACCTCACCGAGGCAGCGWCCGAGGTGGAAACCGCCAGGACAGCCGAGTTTGGACGCGGGAAGCGTCGGAAGGGAACCCGGCCGGATTACAACCTCGGGAAGAAGAAACCGGAAYCCGGCACCGGAACGGCCACGCCCACGGGCCATTCGTTGCCCCCGGTGGTGCCTTCCACCGCCGGTGTCACCCCTGCAGCTGCCACCCCCTCTGCGTCCCGCCTCGGGAAGATATTTCCGGGTTTGTCCGATGCGGATGCGATCGCAACTCCCGCAACGGTTGCTTCGTCCTGTTCCGATTCGTCGTCTCTCGGCACCAGCGACTCGCATCCACTACTCCCAAACAAAACTAATTCCTCGCTTGGCGCTGCCACCCCCCGGTTTGTTTAGCAGTAATTGCCTCATAAYAGAAGGAGATGATGGAGAAAGCTATGTCCTGGAAAAGAGCTATAGGCGTATAAATACTCCAKAATWCAAGTACTTTGTAACAAGAATCTTAKRGGCGGTGTCTCCTAAACAAACAAAATTCAAGCAAAAGTGACATAAGGATACACTACGCACAAATTTTCAGCCTAACAGACGAAGCGTTCGCACTCCTGTTCTTGTTAAACAAAT